GTGATGTTCCGTCACTAGTGATCCTACGGTTGGACTGAGCGTTGTACGAGATAGAGCACTCTACATGCTAGTGGGTAGCCCTCATAAACATCCTCAATAAACAGGTCACTAGAATACTAACCCCATGCTTATTCTAACTAACCAAGTTTTGCCTGGCCCGTGTAATTTCGCCCCCGTATCCGGCTCTCGCTATCCGTTTATTTGCCTTGACCTGTCCCGCGTTTTGTAGACCATTTAGTTAGCGCGGGGGATAGAGTCCTATTAATAACTAAAAGAATAGTAGTAACTTGGTCTTCTAAATTGGATTAATCGCGACCTTATAGATTTATTCGGCCCAGAAACGGTAACCATACTCTAGCTCGCACTCGTCGCGGCTAACTACTAGAGAAGGTCTATAGTATGATATATGACGTAAGTATTGACAGCAAGACAGAGTATGTGGACCGCGCGCTAATTCATGCTTAAGACGTTAAATCGTAAAATCATTTTAGAGATCATTCGAGGAGGCCGAACAATATTGCCTCTGATACGTGGAGGCTAATAGGGTACTCCACCTTCAGAGTCGATCGCGATTTAATAGTGCCGCCACTTAACCAGAAATCGAAAACATATTGTGGACTACCGGTAAATTAATCCTGTGGCATAATTTCCACCAATCCGTGATTAGGAGGCGTATGCCAGGGTACGGTACGCATTTAGCCTGGACTAACTGGCATACCAAGATTCTGTCCCATGTGACACTAGCTCGGTTGGCTTTTCCTAGGCGGCGCCTTTAGATCTTCCCCTTCTATTTTCTCTCTTCACCCTTTTCTCAGAATTAGGGCCGTAATCTTCCCTCCAGGCAGAGAGTCTGTCCTCACAAGGTTCGGCGCCGAAGTTCCAATTTGTAATAAATATCCTCGGGAGGCCCTTCCAGGATGGGGCGCCTTAAGAACTAACGGGTGTCAATAACATTGGCGTGGCTCGTCCTGGTCTATCATTGTTGATGTGTAGACCTGGTAGGTTTTCTTAAGCGATTCAAAGTTTGGCCGGTTACATTACAGAGGGTTAAACCTAGAGGCAGTTTCTATACTCGTGTAACCGCATATAGCCAGAAACAAGCCTATACGGCCCGTTGAAAACCCGCAGAAAGGGATGTCTATTAGGGAAGGCTCTAGTTAGAGGATGGCTATGGTTATAAAGCTATATATGCTAATGAAACATCCTTTTTTGATACAGAACAGTCGAACTGCTGCTTGCTTTAAGCTGCCTACTATTGACGACTTGGTCCTTATCTTTTCTATGGATTCCTCGGTAGGTTTATAGGATTACTTAGAAGCCCATCTAACCTAAGAATAGGAGTATCTTCGTATCCTTGCCAGGTTAGACACTCGGGCCGTCCGGGCAGAAAGAGCCCAGGCCAAGCTCGAACAAGCACTGGGTGATATGTAGGCTACCCTCAAACACGCAATTAAGGATAGGGACCATGTATCCAGGTTAGCGGATATCTTCTATGAACTCACTCAGAAGATAGGAGGCGTGATAGATTATCTTTTGAAGGAGCGCGGTGCTAAGGAACCCGGTCATAAGCCGGAGTCAACATATGTAATGCTTGATGTATTGTTAAAGTAGTTGGAAATAAAGGAGTTAAATACTAGCGGTGGAAATGTCGGTGACTCGGAAATTGATGGCATAAAGGCCGTAGAATAGGGTAGCTAACTCGATGCTAAACAATGATATAAATGTGCATGGTTCCTATTTCATATATGTTGATGTCCGTTTGTTAACTTGACCGAGGCTGTGAGAAGCAAGCCTTACGTCGCCAACGGTTACATATACTTAGGATCTACTTTGACCTTTTGCTATTAATAGTATTGGCAGAATTCTAATCGGGTTCGTTTCTAAATATATACATCCCTGTTTGGATACACACCGTCACTTCCTTACTTCACAGTACTTTTTAAAAAAGCCACGGAGCCATTTTAATTTAAGACGATATGGATTTTCGTCTTGCCTAGAAGCTGACGCGAGAGCTTCAGCTTATTCTAGGGGAAGATCCTCCTAAGCCTACTAAAACCAGTCCACGAACTAAGTCCGCTTCTAATACCCTTTAGGCTGCATTTAAATAGGACCGCGTTTAGCGGTCTGCAGCTCCATCACCAGAGTTGCTGCCTGGTGATAGATCCCAGAAAGTACACACACGTATAGGCAACTTCGAGTTTGGTATGCACTCCAGCAAGATTAAATATACATTCATGCTAAATAGATATAGGCGAGTTCCATTCCGGGGAAGGTGGTAGGGCTAGCGCTATCAATAGGCTACCTAATAAGCTTGGTCGTTGCCGTGTAGGGGAAAATCTAGTCAAAAGGACAACATAGGAGGCAGTAAGGAAGAGGATATTGTTTTAATCATGGTCAAGCGGTGATAGCTATTATTAGGCCGAACGGTTTAGATAAGGCCTGCTTATTTGCCAATGATTGGCCAAGATCTCAATGTAACGATCTCTGGCATTCCTGGCTGCACGAAGAGTACGTTGTGTATGTCCTTCATTAAGAGATTTCTGCCTCTATCTTGCCGCCTATAAAAACTTATCATGGGTTACATAATAGGACAGAGGCGCTAATAGAAGTCATTCGGTTCTACTAATGCCGTAGGACATAATAGTTGGCTAACGATATACTAATAGATCGTAGTTATAGTCATATTACTGAATTGGTGTGGTTCTCTCAACTTGATTGGCTTAGGCGTGAAGCAAATGCATCCATCGTTAGGCACACTTCCTAGCCCTAGAGGAATGACGTCTACATTCTGTATATAGCATATAACTTGCTACTTTTAATAGTCTTAATATAGGTGAATTGCCGATAAGAAGCTCTTGGAACGTCTTAAGGTATATTGCTCCATTTCTCCTTAAATCTTTCGACACGGTATTTCGGCAACAAATTCCATTCTCTTCGACCCATATACACTCTAAACGGTGAGTGGGATCGCTAATAATTCGACCGAACATTGATTGTATATGGTCAGAGCTCTAGTCCATGTTTGCAGCGATGAAAAGAGTATATGCTATAGATATAATGATGACCGCGATTCAACTTGAAGTGAGATTTTTAAAGCAGAGCAAGTGGCTAAAAGGTGTATATATTCAGTTATATAAGAATTTTGCATTTATCAAGTACTTCGGGGGCATAGTAGAGCCTCACATACGACCAGTTCAGATGGTCCAAGCACCTTTCCAAAAGAGGTGTAGAGCCTTCACGGCTATTAGTGAATGTTATAAATAATGGTAGCTCCTAGGGTGCGCTAGATGACTCCTAGGAACTCTTGTTTAGCCTCTGGGAGCCTAAATGCTCCCGGGAGCACAACCATCTACCCTGGGAGTTAGTAATTAGCGTCGCGTGCCATGCAGCCAATATGGACTTACGTATCATAATTGCAGGTAAGAGAAAATGATTACTATATATGCTCAACTAGATCTTCACAATGGTTTGACTTTCTACCGCTATAACCATTGCATTTCAGATTTGCCTGAATCCTTCTCCCCTATATATATTTAGCGCTTAAGATGTCAGACTCTTAGTGGCTTTGGGACCCCTTGACTATCTATTAGATAGGGCCCCTCAGGGAGGATAAGTCCTACTGTGGCATTACCCAGAAAGGAAATGCCTGTAAGCTCACTGTGAAGAAAGAGACCCTAAAAGAAGGTCGGCACAAGCTAAATAACCTTGCACAGAGCCCATTCGATCTTTCTACACTTGACTCTCAGCTGGATGGCATTGTCTTCTTTTTCCTCTGCAAGAGGTGGCACCAAGAACGTTAATAGAACGATGTCAAACAGCGGTGGTTTAACGTAGCCGTGCGTAACCAAGTCCACGCGTAGATATCTCCGCGCCATCTTTTCTCGCCATCTACAGCTGAAGAGGTTGATAATATAGAAGAGGAATCAGCCGGAATTTCCTCTAAGCCACATACGCTCTCTCCTCCGATATAGAATATTGACGAGATCACCTTCCCGGGACTTCCTACCCCTATATGGTTAGGGGTATCTCAGCCTCCTGGTCGTGAAGTCACATTAGATATGCTTGCAATGGATCGGGTGCCCTAGGATGTTTCACCGAATGATCCAGCCATCCTATCCATCAACAATGAGCATAGTGGACTGCACTGCATCCAGATTCACAGCTTCGACCAAGGGTCCTGTCTAGATGGCGAGGTGTGTCCGATCTGCTTTGAGGAAGACAGCGATGATCCCGTCATTCTGCAATGCGATGTATATAAGGGGGTGGTTCATTTAGGGTGCATAGACGGCTGGCTTGCCCATCGGTTGCCCGGGAATAATACCTCTTACCTAACACAGTACGTAACTCATCACCCTTTATTCCCGTGGTCGGTTCACTAATTACGGATACAGTCGATGCCACGGGTCTTTCAGCGCCCTCCTTTCCTCTTCGGTGGCTAGGGATATCACTAGCGAGTCGACTACCGAAATGCCTCTCGAAGTCATACACACAGGAGCAGAAGGCTCGGATATTCCAACAGTACCCTCGCAGCTTCGATCGCCTCGGCTTACCCGGCGTTCAGATCGTTTCCCGGTCTCTATCCCCTCAAGCTCATCCGTTACTCGTCGATCTACTCGACAGAGACGGGTTCCCGATCGCTTCCGGCCGTAGGAGTAGATTTCAGATAAACGAGAGGTGGCTAATGAATACACGAGACCATTTTATTCGATATTACGGGATTCACCCGGGGCGATACGCACCATCGTTTCTAAGTAAAGACAAATAGTACCTTAACTCATTCCAATTCTGGGATGCATAAACATTGAACCCGTACATTTTTGCGGGGCAGGGCCGGTTTCTACCGCGACGACCGTTTGTGTAACAGCAACTTTCAACGCTTGATCACTGACGTCGTTGAACACCCGTACAACAGCCCATGCTCGGCTTTGATGGGTCAGCATCAATCTAGTTCCATAGGGTAGCAGCCATCTCTGCGGCTCCATTAATATTAAATAGGATGGATGCCTCAACCACTCCGCAACATTTCCCTCTACTCAGGGTTCCTGGCACCGCCAAATCAAAGCTATCCCCTCGCACTCGACACGCTCCTAAGATGGATTCCATTCAGCGTCAGCCATCTAGACCTCCTACTATGTGGTGTGACGGAACACCCGATTGGGACACTTTAAAAAAACCAACCTATCCATCTACACCGTCTTCCAGGCCCTAGTCCGACCTAGCGGCAACTACTTCTGCTCCGGCTTATCCTGAACTAGCGCAGCTGAAAGATCAAGACCAAGCTTGGAATATTCAGCCGGTTTTCCAAAACCTATGGCTAAAGTATAAGGCGATCGTGGTGATTTCCCAAGGACAGTCCGTCTTCTTGGCCCGGCACAGAAATAACAAAGTGGCTCTGGTCAATATCCACCTTCTGAAGCAGCAGTTTTCGTCTGTCAAGCCACTGTTAGAAACCAGGAGTCAATTTTCTTATCCCAGCTTTCTGGGTCTGCTGGGGTGCTACTGTTGGGAGGATCAGGTATTTTTGGTCTGGGAGTCAGTAGAGCTCTTAGTGAGTCAGATCCTCGCATCGAGGTGCACTATTACTGAGGGTGAGGTTGCCGCAATTGTTCGGCCGGTAAGTGCTAGTCTCAGCGCCCAATATGAGAAAGTGGTGCTCATGCCTGATAGGTCCTCGAAGGAATTCAATATCTGCGCGGTCGCGGAAGAGCCCTCGCCGCCTTAAGTGCCGACACCATATTGCTCACGGAGTCCGGCGGAGTCAGGATCGGTGAGTAGGGAAACTGAGCACACCTAGTGGGCCACATAAGCATAGTTTACTAACGGTGATCAATGTTGTAGTAGGAGTGGAGCACAGCTGCTAAATCGATGTAGCCGAGATAGACGCGGTAACTCTGAAGCTATTCGCTTTGGCTGAGGTTATAAAAAGGCTGATCATGAAGAATCCTCCACACTATCTATAGAGTGCCGAGGCCAAAGGTCTGCCTAAGGAGCTGAAAAGCTGCTGTTCACCGGAGGAGCTTTTACGCGTAAGTCTTGACCGCCTAGTTAACCCCACTATATACTGACCAATTAGAGCAAATTCTTCGAGCAATTGGGGGATGAGGGCGAACTGAAGATGCTGGTGAACGCGGCCAATAAGACTGCTTATCACAACCTCGAGTCATTCAAGCGTATATGAGCGCGTTATGTTGGGCAAGGTGTTGGCTTCCCGAATATATTGACAGGCAAGGAAGGTGATCGGGTATTGGCTCTTGTATGCGCCAGGTAAAACGACCAACATTGCTCGCCTTGCTTGACCTTTGAGCACCAGTACACGAAGAAAGCCTTTACTGTTCGGGCTAATTTCTGGTGTTGGTGTGGGTGGATGGAAACATCGGTAGTGTCCCGAGTGCATATTGGGTTGGCACTGCAACATATGCCACGGATTCAGGGATATATGAAGCCAAGGATATATCATGTATGTATATATATATATAACACGCTTGAATGTTTCACCTATGAACCTCATGTCACGGCCATCCACAGTGCAGACAAGCCCTTCGTGCCCACACTCTCACTTCAAAGTTATTAGAAATAAACATCGGCAAATTTACAGCTAAAAACGCGTCATTCGTATTGCCATAATCGCGGTGCCATTGAAGCAAAATGATATTTCCTATTACGGGGGTTCAACATTAGACCCACTCAAAAGTCCCATTGGCCGGAGCCCCAGCTTACGATAAGATAACGTAAACACGCGACACGGAAACATGAAAACACGCTGAAGCTTTGACTCTCCTTCGCAACTTTTTTCTGTAATCGCAAGGCCCACCAAATAGTCTAGATGTGAAAGGCCCCAATAACGTGTTCGCTGTCGTTCGCCTACAACATGACATTCATCAGCAAACAGATCTTATACGTACATGCATAACGCCCGCCAACCGCAATGTGAAAGAGGTCAAGACGAGCCATCGCGTATCGGAGCCGGCGTTTCTAGCACTGTGCTGTCTATGCCATCACCGGATTTCTCTTGTCTGTCTCCATACGAATCTGACATGCTCCTCTCCTGCGCCTGATGAACCTGTAACACCTGCATAGCTTTGGCAATCCCCCCTGTGACACGAACCAGCTCGTTTTCCAAGTGACTTGCTCGGGATGAATTGCACTCCAGCTCATCCTGAAGCCGACGGACTTTGGCTTGCATTTCGCGGTTTTCGCCGAGGGACTCCTCCAGATGGACGCGTGTGCGGTCAAGCTCGCCGCTCATGTCGTGGTTGGCGCATTCCAATTCGCGGATTTTTGCCGTGAATGATCCGCTTTCCTTTTCGCTGCATGCCGGTCGCGCCTTGCGTCTATCTTCAGCGCTGTATAGGCCCTCGGGGCGGCTTGATGGATAAAAATGCTCACCTCTTCTCTAGGCAGGTGGTCCCGTTCTGATTGGGCAGCCTGTAGCGTCTGCGGAGTAACCGCCTCAAGCGACCGGCCTATTTCTTCGCAAATGGACCGGTACAGGCCCACACTTCCACTGCCCAAGTTCGACTGCAATAGGCTCTTTTTGGATTCCGTTATCGACCAAGCGTATCCATCCCCGCCCGATGGCTGTAGACGGACTTGGCTGGGAGCGACGACAAGGTCAAGTCGGTCAACTGAGGCGCGTTAATTCGTCTCATCAGATGGAGGGAATATAGCCACCTACGTATATGGGCTGCCAATGCCTCACGGCACTGTTGTCTGAAGAACGCACGCTTCTCATTGCTGCTAAGGACCATGATTGCTTTTGGTCTGTCAAGCAAGCTGCAAGCCCCTCTATATATTCAGCCCATGCGTTAAAAATCTTATTCAAGGCGTTGAGGATTGAACGTTTGACGGAAATCATGTTGTCGTTCAAGCATAAACATCCCAGTGGGGCCCAGCCGGTAACCGAAGACCAAAAACGTTGAAAATCTTTGATAGGACCTTAAGTCTAAGTAATTGAGTATAGGGGGAGAGAGACAAGTCTGGAGACAGTACAATCAACTTTCTCGGCCGCCCAAGTATGGACCTGCCATCGACCACTAATTTCTCATTCTATCCCCTCTAGATCCACTAAATGAGGGACGAGACCTGTTGTCCAGGATTTTTAGACGCTGCACTTTCCAGTGATAGTAATGACAAGGAGGATGATAAATAGCCTGATTTCCTCTCCCACGTTGTTTTGGATAATGGCTAATATCTCTCGTCGGTCGACGCGCCGCTTGCGAGATACATCTGACAGCATGGCTTTGCTTGACCATTGCTTCAACATGCAACCGTCGCCAAAGACCAAGGCTGCCCACAGCCCAGAACCACCCTTGAAGCGGTCACAGACTACGATTCGACTGCGGCTTCAGCAGCGATGCTTGAGACCAGAGACGTGGTGGAAATCTCTCACGGCGTTTAGTCCCCTTAATGAGGGCTTAGAACAAAAGTTGCAACATGAGAGAGCCGTTGCCCAGGAGGAAGCTCGACAGGAGTGGATGCAACGTCTGCGGCCCAAACCTCACCGGCAATGCCCACCGGCAAAATGAGGGAAAGGATACAGAAGGGGCTAGCAGAGAGAAACTATGCCCCGAGAGGCCGAGCCTTCAATTATCAGAATTCAGAAATTGATTTAGTGACCTGAATAAACCGGGTTGTTGCAATACTTTATTCAAACGGCCATCAATCCAATACAAACACAGTAGAAAAATTCAACTTACATGTACCGTGTTGAGCTATGAACAGCCTTCACCTAAATGGCCTTCGTGTTCCTGGGATAACACCAGGTCAAACCTAAGGCTTTGCAAGCCCCTGGCATACATCTGCTACTACACCAACTAAAAAGCAAAAACAAAAAAAAGTCATTGCAAGACAAGGGTTCTGTGTAGAGATAACAGCCATTGCTTGGGCTCTATGATGAGTAATTGCGCTGAATTAGCTCTCCCCGGCCTTCTTGGAGTCGGTATTACTGCGCACTCTGTAATGCAGCACAGCAGCATGAATAGGGCCTAGGCTGCCCTTGCGCAGCTCAAAATTTGAAGTTTAAGGAGGACACAAAATCTTATTGGTAGCTGGAGGCGGTACTACATCAGAGGAAGGCAATGCATTTTTGAGGGCGCCAGCAAACACCGTTTACTCTTGACGTTACTAAGTTTCAACGAGTAGGTACTATAGGCATTCCTGAATGAATTTCACCAGTCCGTGTAACTCTGTTTTAGGTAGTTTGTTTTATGTAGTTCACATAAACGTATGCATCCGATACGAACGCGTTTTTTTTTAAAAGTGTAAATGTGCCAATTCTGGTTCCAAGAGCTGGTTTGGAAAATCGAGTTAGACCACGGATAATAGACGGACAGCTTCACCAGTTGGATGTCGATATCGACTATAGGCTCCGCGGACAGGACCACGAAAACTTGATTACTGCGGCTCGGAACAAGCTCGGACCTGGCAAACAATGGTGGATGGTGGATGTCTATGTAACAGAGAAAATCCGTGCGTAAAATGGCCAAACCCAGCTTTTCCCTAAGTTTCTCCACTTACTGTTTTAAGCCTAGCGAGGGGCTCTTACAAAAAGAGTTTGTTCGCTCACTCCAGGAATGGTTCCCGAATGATCACAGACCACCGGATGGGTTGATTTATCAACGAATACGATATTATGAAGGATACCTCGATAGTCCTATAAACAGGACCGCAGGAAACCATTGGTGGGCAGTTCTGGAAAGGGGTCCTGGAAGCAAAAAGGGCAAATATCTGCGAGCTTTTTTCAAGCACCCAACCTTACCCGAAGCCTTTGATGAACTGCTTCCTATAGCGGGTATCTGGGAGGGCATGCGGATCGATTTACTCCACAAGCTGGTGGCAATGCGGTGCGATGAGGTAAGATATTCTTGCTTTGAGGCAGATCTCGGTGCTTTAAGATCCATGGTTTACTGACAGAGTAAGAAAAAAGCCTCTTCTGTGCTATTTGAAGCACATCAAAAAAACCTTCTTTAGTCTGATGGGAGACAGGAATGATCTTTTGGCTCAATTGGATGGAGCGACCGTTAAATTATTAAAGTCTCAGGTGCCCAAGGTCTCTGTTCGGGACTTGAGATTTTTGCAAGAAAGAATGTCAAAGGAAGAGAGAGTTGTTCCCTAATATTGAAGATCCTTAGACGGACAGGCCCACAGCCCAGCACAATCAACACAACACTAAAGTGAGGCTAAGAAAAAAAGTCCATGATTCCTAGGGATGAAATTGTAGGCGCTTTTAGGTGATTTAACGTTGAGTCGCTCACAGATGAGGTGATCAGAACAAGAAATATGAGCCTGTCATTGCGGATTGAATATCTCCCCAAACCCTCAATTTAAGAGGGCTCTGACAGATTCAACAGTCAGCCAACGTTTCTTGATCGACTCAGCCTCACTTTTTCTCACCACGACTCTTACTCATCTCTCTCCCTGAGCATCCAAAACATCAGAAATGTCACTGCAAATAGTTGTGGTAGAAAGAAGACATGGGTTTCAATAGGCCTCAATTAAGAGAGGTGTCCCTCAATGCTTCCTACCAAGCTTGTAGGTGACTGAAGCCGTAAAGCCTATAAATACGTTCTCTACCCCGGGCAATTTGCTCTACGATCAATTCACTTGACTCTGCAAAGTCGCGCAGGCTTGTGTCTGAGGCACTTGGTAAGTTCTCCCCTTTGATCGAGTACTGGAATTCGTACTGTACTGACAAATATATAATACAACGTGGACCAGCAAGCCAGACAGTCCTTGTGAAAGATATTTTTCTCAGCAGATTAACTGTGCCAACCAGCCAGCTGACTAAAGAGACAAGACTTAGGCTGGCTGGTCCAAGTGGTGTCTATGCGAAGATGTCTCTCCGACACAGCAGCCGATTGAGCTGATCTACTGTACAGCCCCTGTGTGTATTCCCAAGGCAAAAGCGCGAATATCCACGTCGCAGGTATGTGAATCTTAGCCTGACCTGTCTGGAACTCTACTGATCCTGAAGACGATGCGATTTCAATAGAACCGAGGACATTTGACCACAATGCACCAGCGCAAGGGCCACAGCTCTTTGCCGTCTCTTCGTCCCTGGTCCACCAGAACATCTGAGTCATGAAAGGTATCTCCGACCTAAAGGTAATGAATGACAGTGAACCATTGACATCGCACCAGAGGGCCCCAAGGATGCAGCATCCCCGTTAGTGCTCTACACAAAGCCATGGCTTAAAAAATATTCCCAGCCCCGTCGCTTCAGACCACGCAGCATACCCTAGGTGAAGATTATGAATTAAAGGAGCGGGCCAATAACAGGTACGGACATCCGATTGTGAGCTTCGCTGCATAGAAGCTTGGGACGTCCATTCTTCCTGGCAATGTGAGTGATTTATCGCGTCCACTGTTGCGCTATATCATTTATTTGTACACAATTTTGTGCTCCAAAACACAACACCATCATTGATTCTTATGCCATTGTTCATAGGAACAGCCCATCGCCACCCGTGAAACATCCTTATGGGGAGTCCTGTCGCCGGATCGGAGATAAGTCCAAGGTGGCACTACGACGCGTGCTCCATCGCGTCTTCCGCCCTCGACCTTACCGCTTTCACCCCATGAACAGCGGGGAGTATGAACCTCTCGCCGTCCCCATCGCGAGGTCTTATCTCGTTACGACTGTACGAGTTCTCGTCACAAGTGGGTTCGTCACGCGCCTTTGGGTTTCAGAAGTTGCCCGGTGCACTCAGCGCACCTGCTTCGAAGCGACGGCCAGAGAGTTCGACGAACTGGATACAACATCATGTCAACATGGCATGAATGGTGACTGCATCGATGAAGACAATTGTAAGTGATCTCGTCGGTGATATGATCACGAAGCTAATTGATCGTCTCGTCTCAAGTTAATGTTCTGCGAATTTAATGAACAGGCAAGTCATGAAAACTCGTCCGAGTGGTTCAAGTCTTGCTGACTCGGATCGTACAACAGGACGCCCCTCATATCCCTTCACTCGAGTCGAATGCGAAGAGAGCAAGTGTCTTGTCTGCTCGAGCTTCCCTATACCGATGCGACCGCATGCTGTCTATCAATTCCACAGGACTACTGGTGGCATCGATGATGAGCCAATGTAAGGTTCAGATCGTCTACCTCGGCTCTACTCTCTCAGTCGACTCTGTGCATCAGGTCTTGTGCTGATGTGTCTACCTGATACAAACCCCAAGCTCCAACGGACTTATACCACTATGTGGAATCAGCACTTTCAATGGGACCGATGTTCCCCCTTTTCGCCGCCGAATTCCACCTCAATGAGACGCAGCTCAGTTTGCTAACCGGCGCGTGTGTATTGGCCCTTGGCTTTTCGAATTTTCTGATCGTCCCTTGCTCAAATATCTTCTGTCGCCGTCTGACAAGTCTCGTCTTTTGCCTGCTTGGCATCGTTTCTTGTATCTGGCAAGCCCTGGCTGGGTCATATAGCAGCATGCTTGCTGCACGCGTTGTGAATGGAATTGCCACGGCCACCAGTGAGACAATTCTAGTGCAGGTTGTTGCAGATATGCTCTTTCTCCATGAAAGAGGTCTCTGGACAGGTGTTTATTTGTGATTTTCGCCTACATGATTCTTCTTACACTATCTAACAATCTATCAGCATGGGCTATTTTCTCGGTCTATTTATTGGGCCTGTTATCTCCGAAAATATCGCGCAAAGGTTCGTTATTTGAAATCTACCTGCTTTGGTGACTGAGCCTAGAAAGCTAACCCACACATCACAGATATGGCTGGCGTAGCTTCTTCTGGCTTTCCCTCGCGTTGACTTGCTTCAACTTTATTACCCTTGTGATCTGCTTCCCCAAAACACGGTTCCGCAGAAGCAAAACAGCAGTGGAATTGCACCTGAGTGCGACTCAAAGCTCCGGTGAAGAAATAAAGCACAGCAACCACGAGGTTGCCTCCGAGCAGCTCGAAAACATCGAGCGGCCCACTGCTATTGTTGGCGCCGGCTGACCTTCAAAGTCGCAGTTCCACCTATAAAAAGCCCCGGAAAGGGAATGGAAAGCATTTCTCATACGGGATATAATCTCGCCGTTCCGCTTATTTCTGTTTCCGATCATCCTCTGGGCGGCTCTGAATGTCGCTGGTCCGGCAAACCTTCTCCTTTTCTGGAACCTCACCGAGTCTTCGGTTTTGAGCGCACCTCCATAAAACTTCTCGCCATCTAGTGTGGGATATGCCAACTTTGCGTTCGTCGTTGGGGGGTCTGATCGGCCTTGGTACCGCGGGACCATTTTCAGATCGGATTGCTGTCCGGGCCACACAGCGCAACAATAACATTCGAGAAGTTGAGATGCGCTTGCCAGCTCTAATCCCGTATCTCCTCCTTACAATCGTCGGAGTTGTGATTGGGTGGGCTACGATCGGCTGTGGGGCTGGCCTGTCATTTTGGTTATTGGGTATGGCTTGCGTGACAACTGCTCCCACTATTGCCATCGCCTATGCTGTCGACTGCTATAGGCCTGTCTCGGGGGAGATCATGATTGTTGCCACTGTGATCAAGAATACTTGTGGCTTTGTGATGAGTTATTGGGTTATGCCGATTATAGCTCGAAGAGGCTGTTTGCTGCCCACGATGGTTGAGTTTGCGTTGACGATTGGGCCGATGGTGTTAGGGCTTCCGATCTATCTCTATAGAAAGCGTTTGCGTAGGATGACGAGTCATTCGAGCGTACATTCGTATGCGGGTTGATCGTTTGAACCCTTCATTTATTGGCTGATAGCCTAATAATTTGAAGCCCCGGAGCTATAGTTCACAGGAGGATGTAGTATATGAGTACAATGTACACCTTTCAGTGCTTTCTTCAAAGTTAGATGAGCATCCTGCGTAATATCACGGCATTTGAGAACAAGAGGTCCAATCAATGTGGCTATCAAAACTTTTTGAATGTGATATCTGTCTGTGGTTAAATTGCTCGGGTCTTTGCTAGGCAACATGAGACTTTATCCACAGGCATAGAGAATCCTTATGGCGGCCAAGAGCCCCATCATCACTACGGCGCCCCGCGCTAATACGTATTGGATCCGAATATTATTCAACTCCAGTCAACACGGAATCACGGTTAAGCGGAGTGCGATCGCGGAGAATCGGACATTAAATCTCCGTCGCTCCATCGACCTGCCTTTTCGTACCTGTTGGGTGTCTTTGGAGGCCGCATGTTTCGGCCATGCTTCCTGGGAACTCACAAGAATGTCACCAACCTTCCCTTTCCATTCTCTTCCCTCTTTTCTTGTCTTCCCGAGTAACAACTTCAATACTGAATGATTTCAGGCCATCTAAATCTTCAGGGCGCAGTCTCTCCCAGCCTCTTCCCGTCCGTGGACGTTCTTTCGTCCGCGGACCAACACCTTCCCCGCTGTGGACCAGAAGATCGTGTGGAGGTCCTTCTCGTCCGTGGACTTCATGCCATAACATAAAAGAGATACTTTTACGGCCAAAAGATATCTATACCAGTCCACAGAACACAATTTTCCACGATGACTACCACCCAGAATATCAAGTCTCGGTTTCCGGATCTGAACTTTGTCAAGCCTATTCCCGTCCATGGACACCCGAGATACAAACCATTCAATGTCAAATTTGACCCAAAGCGCATTGTCCTGCCAAAAGGCCATACCAAAGAAGAAGGGCGGAAGCAAATGCTGGTCGACTCCGTCCTTGACCGCGACACGGCGATCCCTTTGCGAGACGGAGTTCATGTGTACGCCGACATCTACCGCCCAGCTTCTTCGGGTGAAGCCACAGTCCCCGCAGTGATTTGCTGGAGCCCCTATGGCAAGTCTAGCATTAGCATCGATATTGCTTGGCACCGCTCCGGGGTTCCCAAAGACTGGACATCCGGATACGAGACATTCGAAGGCTTGGACCCAGCAGACTGGTGCAAACGGGGTTATGCTGTCGTCAATGTTGACGCCCGCGGTGCTCAATTCTCCGAAGGATCATTCTTTTTCTGGGGTGACCAAGAAGCGGAGGATATATACGACACCATCGACTACTTGTCAAAGCAACCATGGTGCAATGGCTCTGTCTGCATGGGCGGCAATTCATACCTGGCAAAAGCCCAAGTCAGCTACGCCTCCAGACAATCTCACCCGGCTTTGAAGGCACTGGCTCCATGGGAAGGTTTCACGGATATTTACCGCCAGCTTCTTCGCCGCGGCGGGTTTGCGATGCATAACACCTTCGTGTCGAAATACCAATGGGGTGTTGCCGGCAACCATGAAGTGGAAGACATGACCCAAATGGTGAAAACCCATCCGCTTTTCGACGAATACTGGGCCGGCAAGTATGATGAGGTTGAGAAGATCAATGTCCCGATGTACCTGTTGGGGTCTTTTTCCAACCCGTTCCACATCTACGGGTCCTTCGACACCTATCGCCGCGCTGGTTCAACGAAGAAGTGGATGCGTGTTCATGCTACCTTCGAATGGTATGAAATGTATGAACGCAACTCGAACGATGATCTGCAGCGCTTCTATGATCGTTATTGCAAAGGAATCATGAATGGCTGGGAAACGGATACGCCTTCTTTGCGCTTGTCTCTTCATGGATTCGGATCTGTTCCCAACATCGTGGAAAGACCAGAAACCGAGTTTCCACTTCGCCGACAACGGTTGCAAAGTTATTATCTCGATGCGGCCACCAGGTCACTCAATCTGACTCCCCGGGACTCCGAGGCTTCCATTTACCACGACGCACACGGTCTTGCGGCTCCCACTTCGGTAAGTTACCACCCAGTTGTTTACATATTTGATTTCTTTCTGGTTTGGTAAACTGACAACCACGACCAGGATTTCGTTCTGAAATTCGATGACTACACTGAAATCGCTGGATATACCAAGGTCCGCCTCTGGATGTCCTGCAAACAAAGGGATGATATGGATGTTGTTGTCCAACTCCGTAAGATTGATGAATCTGGTAATATGCTAGAGGGCGTCAACTTCCCGTGCCCGGTACCAGCAAGCGCGATCCCGGATGCTGAGACTTCTAAGCTCTACGGTCCTCAGGGATTCCTCAGAGCGTCTTCCTCTGTCTCCCGTGATCAGGCACGATCAAGCTCGGACGGGCAGGAGGTCTTTTATCGACACGATCGCGAGGAAAAGATCACCCCGGGAGCTATTGTGCCATTGGATATTACCCTGTGGCCCACAGGTATGGTTTTCGCAGCTGGTGAAGGACTTCTGCTTCGTGTCGGAGGTCACTTTTTGAGTGCGCCTTCGGCTGCAGCGATGAAGCCTGTGGAATCTGAAGATGAAAATGTGGGCCAACACTACATCCACACAGGAGGTGAGCATGATTCGTGCCTTGTACTTCCGGTAATTGCCGGAAGCAGACCGTAAGCCGAAATTCTGCTATGGAGTCGGTCAAAGCCTTATTACAAATATGAACTTCTTCGGCATTCCTACCGAGGGAACAATATAAATCCTACCATTCATTAAATAGACTTCGAGACTGATATATTAAAACAATGTATACGTTCCACCACAAGCTGCCGTGGACAGTTCTCAGTAAGTCCTGTCACAAATGGCCCCTTTCGCCCGCTCGTTCCAAGTCAAACAAATGGCTTCACTTATCATAGAGGCGGTCATCGTCTTTTGTTGAGACTCCCACAATACGATCTAGCCACCCATTGCGGATGGGCACGCAATCGGTAAACAATGTACCCTGGCATTATCTCCCGCCCGGGGTAGATGCCAACTCAGCCGGTGGCGGTAAAGGCTCATGTGGCGCCGATTTAGTCTCCTGCGAGTGGCTATTTGATGCCTGCATTGAGCTTCCTGTCACCTCTCCCGATGATTCATTCTGTCGCCGCCGGTAAAAGAAAAATCCTAACGCAGCGAAGAACGCCAGGCCACAGAGGCTCACACCAACACCGATTCCCGCTTTTGCGCCAACGGATAGTCCGCCTGTATCGAAAGATGTAGCCTTCGAGCTTGTTGTGGAAGTAGTAGTCGGCGTAGATGAGGATGTCGATGTGGATGAGGTCTTCAACGACTTAGCTAGGATGTTGAAACCCTTTCCTAGTGGCACAAAGCTAAAACTGTACTCCTTGGTCTTTGATAGGGCTTTGTCATCAATGCTGACGGTCCAATCGAATGATCCATCAATCGCGATATTTCTTCCAGCTATTTCAAAAAGCTGTTAGTACCATCCATGACTTTATGACCGGAGATCGCGTACAAGCAAGAGTAGCTGAGTATGTCGCGTAATCGGGATTCCATGCTAGGAATATAGTGTGGCCATTGTCGCGTTGTCCATGAGGATACTCGTGTAGTTGACGTTCCAACCAGCCCATTGGATGTGGATTGGATCGCCGACGTACCAGTTGAAGTTGGCATCGACTTGTCCATCATGGATGATCCAGCGGTGTCTGTCGAGCACTCTCCGTGCTTTGAGATGCCTGGAATAACGAGATAAGTAGCAACCAGACCCACAACAGGTTGGCCATGAAGCCTAGCAGAACTCTAAATGAATGATCGTGTGTCAAAGTCAAGAACACAAAGAACCCAGGTAAGAACCGTGGGACGAGATCCCTAGGATGTTTGCTCTGGGGAGGTGAGAACAGCAAGCAACCCCTCAAGAAACAACCCCTGCACAAATCGCTCTGAAACCCGCGCAAACAACCTGAGATTGACAGAAATTGAAGAGGGATCACTTCAAAAATGGATTCTTTCATGGACTCTCGTGGAGCAGCCCCGGCTCTCTTCTATACGAAAAATGGCGAATCTTCTTCTCCAAAAGCGTGGTACTACCCCGGTTATTTCGGTCGGCGAAAATTGGGCTACAAATTTTGTGAAATAACATCCTCTTCTCTCCTCTCGATTCTCGAAACGGTATGGCTACGAGCGTGCGAAATGCGAAGACCCGAAAATCATCGGGGAGTGGTTTAATCTCGATTAAAAAACCATATTTTAATTTAGAATCGACCCCGATAATATTGATAACTTTGAAAAGACCGGTTTCGCGGTAGGATTAACGGTAACCGCGAGAGTTATTACGAGGAGTGAATGCTACGGTCGCCGATCGGTTTTATAACCCGGAAATCGAGAGTGGGTGACTATTATCGAGTGTACGAATGCTTCCGGGTGGGTGCTTCCACCGTGTGTGATTTTTAAAGGCAAAGTCTTTATTAAATCCTGGTTCTATGGCCTTCCGGATGATTGGCGATTTGAGCTTGATCCGAGCGGTTGGACCTCCGATGAAATTGGACTTCGATGGCTCGAAAAGCTCTTTATTCCCTCCACTTCTTCGTGTACGAAGGGGAGGTATCGACTTTTAATACTTAACGGCCACGGAAGTCTTTCAACCCCGAAATTTGACGAAATTTGAGAAAAAAATAGAGTCATACCAATCTGTATGTCTCCGCATTTATCCTATCTTTCATAGCCTCTTAATATGGGTTGTTTTGTAGTCTTAAAACGGTTATATAGTTAAGAGGTTGAATCAAAAATGCGGGACGGAATCAACTATATCGATAAACTTCACTTCCTCGAAGCATACCAAAAAGCACGAACTAAAGCTTTTAAATCGGAAAAGATTCAAAATAGCTCGGGCGATATCATTGAATATATGATGTTCTTCTAATCGCACTAAATTTGCTCGTAATGTGATATCCTCATCCGACCGCCCGTTTGTCAAATGTGCGCGGACTGGGGAACTACTTTTTCGTCCGCGGACAGAATCACGACCGTGCCGAAGCGTGCCGACCACGACCTCAGAACTCGTCCGCAAAAGAAACTATTTAAATGAAGATGAGATCCCCTCCTCAGTTCTTTCAAAGTTATCATTTTCCCATCAAAACGCAGAGTCGAGCTTCAAAATCAACTTCTTTCAATTTTTTCTGACTCAACAACATGGCTTCTACTCCCTTCGCCATCGACGTCCTGAAAGGCCCTCTCAGCAAACGTGAAACTAAGGACCTTGAGGCAGGATTTGCACGTCGATCAATGATGCTGGTTCGTCGCCTGCTAGGCGAGGACCGCCTGATCGAGCTTCTTCGTGACGAAACGGCGGCCAGTACCGAATGGTGGAAAAAAGTGTGTTCCAACTCGAACGGAAAGTGGACACCAGCTCGTATAGCCCTTTCTGTACGAGGCGTCCTTTCACAGGAATTTGTTCAATGGTTCCTTCCCGCACAAGGTGGCATGCTTCCCGAGCCAGAGAAGCTTGCCGCCCACCCCGAGCATTGGGTTGTTCGCCCTTCCAAGGAGTCTAAATCAATGGCAGTGTTGGAGACACTGGGCGAGAGGCCAACTTTGTTTACGCTGGCTTTCGATGTGCAAGCTGCCGAATTTGTTCAGGATGAGCCGACTTTCACTACCAAGATGACTGCTCGAGGCTATCTTGAAGATGGTTCTCAAATTATAGAGCTATATCACCAGTTCAGGGACCATGCGGATGGCCAAGGATTCGACGTTGATTTGGCGATATATTTCCCGGTGGGAGCGGGGGAAAGCGTTGTTGAGTGCCATCGTCAGCATTTGCTTGTTGAGTTCAGCAACTGGTCCAAGCAAGCCTTTGAGGCGAAGGCAGCGCGATGAATGCCTTCTTGTTCGTGCATTGACGCTCGATCACAGAACCCTGTTCCAAGGTTTTGAATGACATTGATTACTCCAACCTTTTGTACTCAATAGATTATAAATCATGATCACGGCTTTCCAAGGTTGTTATATTCAGTGCATGGTGGTCTACTTGGTAAATAGTATGCTAATTATTTCAATGAAAAGGTATATACCTGAGGTTCCAGTTTTGTCCAACCTTGGAATCACATATTCTGCAGATCAATGGAAGGCTCTAGAGACATGTAGGAATCGGGGTTTAGTTGAAATATCTGTTCGCCTGCGTTGCAAAGTCCGAGAGCTGACATGAAATCCGAAGACCAATCATCCTCGGATTGAGAAGTCTGCTCATTGCGTTTGACTTGCATTTTACCGAGAAGCGGAGCATGAAATGCTATTTGGCATACATCAAAGCCGTTTTCGCCAAGCAGATCATCGAGGGAGCGAAGCGTGGTAAAACCATTATAAGCAATACAGGATCCAGAGGGACAGTCAGACTTGTCTTGGAGAAGCTGGATGACTTGTCCCACCTCGTTTTTGATCTTGATTTTGTCGATACCGACTTCCAAAGAGCACTGGGAAAACATATGAGATATGAGAAGAAGAGTGACTGCAGCAGAGAACGCCTGTATGTCCAAAATTTCGGAAAGGAAGAGACCAGGTGGAAGCGTTCGTCTCAGCAACTGGTATCGCTGCACCATCGATTCGCAGGCGGCGACACAAGCCAAACAATTAAACAAGTTTTCGCCGTCTGGGCCCTGTCGCAAACTGAGAGGCAGATGGATTCTCATGGCGACATAATAATGCAAGAACTGCACTATGTGGTCAGGTTGAACATTGTTCGCACCATGCACACCCCCTGACCACCAAGCTTCTGGGGTTTGGGAGGCCAGTGCTTTCAGCTCCCTAGAAAGCTCCAAAGCAAATGCGTAGCTCTCCGTTCCGGGTACATTCGATTTGCGGATTAGATCCAGATCTTGGATCTTGTTGGCTATGTCTGTCAACCGAAAGAGATACAATCGGGTTTGCACGATGCCATTGATAGATAGGGACTGGTTTGTCAGTTGTTCATGACGGCCAGTAATTGGAGAAATGTTGAGAATCATCCCCAAAAGTCTGTCTGCGGCACATATTAGATCCCATAGCCGCAATTTGCCGATGTAACCTTCATCAGCAGCCTCGGTAGCGGAACCCATTTGGATTACTTGAACCAGGTTGTGAAGTCCCATCAGCTCTGCGATCGCAATAGCCCGTCGCAATTTTAACCATGCTTTATGGATGTTTCCTCGGCCCATTTCCCTAACATTGGTCAGCTAATACGATGGGCAAAGTCGGGGAAGTCGAATTCTCACAGCCTGATAAACTGCATCAACAGCGAAAGCCCCTCTATCGATCCCGTCAAAGTATCGTAGGCCAAAACTTTATTTTCCACTGTTGTGGATATGGCTTTCGAAAGTGAACTATGTCGCTGTCGGTTTTTGAGCCGAATCTCCATTCTCACATTTTCTTGTGGCAGTTGCTCGGTTATCATAGCAACGGTTACCATCCAAGAAGCTAGCTTGATGGGATCAACATTGGGACTATGCATCTCTTCATAACCCGCAACGACTTCCTCTCCACAAGTGGTGCCGCATGGTAGCGGAAAAAATGACTGTAGCATGCTAAGCCATTCGGAAGCTGAATCGCTGGTTTTGAGTATTTCGTCTTTCGAAGGAATCAACACCTGTAGCGATTTTCTTGCGACAGCGAGTGGATGGGCAGTGCTAGTGATACCATGACCTTGTCTGACCCGGCTTTCCGAGGGGCCTTCGATACTGAGCCAGTCATTCTGAAACAGCAAACGCAGATGAAACGGTTGCTCGGCAATCGACTGCTCGGAAACGGAGATCCCAGGGCCATTATCTTCGAATGGTTGCTCGAGACTCATATCACCGTTCTGCGTGGCTTGGACATTGAGTTTCTCTTGCATCTGACGAACAGTCTCGGCCAAACTTAAGACTTTCGATTCAAGTTGAGCGACTCGTTGTTTGGAAGATAATCTTTGGGTTCTTGTTGAGCCTGAAGTATGTGTTTGTGCAATACATTCCAAACCCTGTTCTTCGCACCGACGACATGTTTGTGCATTCTCAAAGCTTGGAATACACCGGATCTTTCGCCGTCTGCCTAATTCTGTTAGACTGACGACAAAGGAGATAACAAGAGAAAGAGAATTGTAGTCACTCACATTCTGTGCAGCTTTTGGTCCCTTTTCTGATTGTTCGAGCTTCCCCGGGCATAGCTTTTTTCCACTTCAATGATTCTTCCAGTGCCTCTCAGAGGGGAAAAGGGTTCGGCGTCGTCGTACACAAAGCGGGGTTATACGAAAGTGGAGAAATGACCAAAGGATTTTGGCGAGCTTTCACAGATAATCAATGTATAACGAAAACCATCAATAAACTAATCAAAAGGAGGTTTCACGAAAATCACAGACACCCTGAACCTCCCTCGGCGTTCGGGCTTCCGCGTCTCCGAAGTCTTCGCTTCATATCCGCGTTTCAGCCCGCCCCTCGGCCTTCACTTGTGTCGATCGTGTCCGCTGTTTTGGCTTTTGTGCGCTCATTGGAGCTAGAGATATAATTTGTGAAGCCCAGTCATTCTCCATGTCTGATTTACATTTACTCATGGAGGATTCACATTGCGACTAATGTGTATCTGTACATGCCTCCCTCGTGTTTGAAAGAACACGGGAACCCAAAATTATTTTCATGTCAGCGATCTCCTGTCAAGAATCAAATAGGGAACAACGACAAAATCATGCTAAAATGCGCACACGAGAGAAGGAAGAACAAAACAGAGGAGAGAGAACAAATGTTAGAGGGTCAGGTGACCTCTAGCGTTGATGATCGTTGATGGTCGTTGACGTGGTGGGTGTTGATGTGTGTTGATGTGTGTTGTGGTATATGACCGGGCGGTGAAGGTGAGTGGTGGTCATCGTCTCACGGACGCAGCGCGAGCCCTTTCTCGCCATCTCATCCACATGACAGATGTATCAATTTCATGGTTTCAATTCGCGTCATTTCTTGTCCCCAGCTTATCACTCAGTCAAGTTGGCATACGGCCTCCAATTCGATTGAGCTGGTCGAATGCAAACACCGGATTCACCTCCATTGGTTCACTACAATCAGGCAATACGCTCAAGATTAGACCTACCAGGTGTAGAAGCATTTGATGAGGAGCCGCTCGAAATATAATTTGTTGTCTCAGCTAAACATCGTGATGCGATAGACTGTTCCTTGCATAGTCAAATTTATCGCTTCAGGCGGCTTGCAAATCACTCAATCCTACTCTCCAGTAGAATGCCTACATCCTAGAATGGTCGCGATAGTCAAAGTGGATTCGCAACAAAGACAACCAAGTTACAGAGGACTTTGGCACAAGAATATCTGATCGGCTCCTTCCAGATATAGGATGTTGAGATTCATGAAACTAACTAACGTGTTTCACTACCGAGCTGCGCACCCAACCTAACCTATTAATCTCAAATGCATATATCTCAACCAAAACTCCATTAAATCAAGTACACTGAAATCATCATCTATCTGGACATGCATCCCTTCTATGACCCTGGTTTTTACATAGCCCGCACGTTGGTAATGCTCTCGTTCGTGGTTGTAAAGGTGGCGAAGGCCTTCTTCGTAGGGAGCCGGGGGGGTTGGTGTTCGAAGCCGAATATTTAGCTTTGAAATCACTTGATCAGGTGAAGACGGTACTAAACCGGTAGCCCTAAAGCTGCTTTTAATAGTATCCGTTTTAAAAGCTTCAATTCGAGCCTCTAGGTATGCTTCGAGGAAATCAAGTTTATCAATATGATTTATTCCAACCCGTATTGTTGATTCAACCAGCCGGCCGTACGCACGTTTTAACACCGCAAAACAGCCGATATCGAGAGGTTGTAAAAGGTGAGAGGAGTGCGGAGGCATACAGATTGATCGAAATCGTGGAGAAAGCTAAGACAGACAATAGGAGGCGGACATGGCAATTCCCCCTGTCCCAGCACTTTTCACGAAACCTCGGACCGCGATAGCCAATCCGTATCCTGATACCATCAATATCCCAAAGTTTGCTCAGGATGGCACGAGTGATTATGAGGCAGAATTGGTTGTGGTGATTGGAAAGTTAGCTCGGGACATTACCGCCGAACAGGCGCTTAGATATATCCTTGGGTTTACTGCCGCCAACGACGTTTCAGCGCGGGACACACAGATGAAAACCCCAATGCCTTGCTTTTCAAAGGGCATGGACTCTAGCTGTCCTTTGGGTAAGTGCAAAGATGCTTTGATGGCAAGGAAAATCATAAGAAACAAACCCTGACCTCTCTATCTACTAGGCCCTGTTTTGGTCTCCCCGGCCATTATTCCAGATCCCCAGGACTTGCAAATCGGCGCAATCTACAATGGCAAAAAGCTTCAGGACGGTAATACAAGTGACATGATCTTCGGAGTGTGCGAACTCGTCGCATATCTGTCCCAAGGGACTACACTAGAACCTGGAACAATTATCCTAACTGGAACCCCGCCGGGGATTGGAAACTTCCGGTCCCCCAGAATATTCCTTGGGGATGGGGATGATATTTGAGTCCATATTGAAAAGATTGGGACACTTGTCAACAAGGTTCGCTACGAATAGTTGTGGGATTCAATAATGTGTTTTCATGTAAATCTGGAATCTATTCATAGTTTCATGGGCCATTGCTCGGGTTTCGTGTAGATTTCCAGAATACCAAAGTCTATGAAAAGAGTGATCTAGCCGAATAACAACTTCATCAAAGGAGGCATCAAATAAAAAGATTGAAGAGAAATTCCGAACACATATCATCTGAAAGTAGGCAAATAATCCATGTCCAAGCCAGATTTATAGAAACCACAGTATATACTCTCCCTAGTCTGTCTTGAAGTTCAATTCTCCACCCCAAGCCCTCAACTGTTTACCACGGAATTGCAAAAAAATGAAAACGGGAAATATGACTGCACATATAGCTGCTTGAGTCCCAAATGCCGCCGCCGCACCCACACGAGTAACCCATTCAACCTGGAAATAACTGATAGTAAATCCCCCCAGCGGTGCGGGAGAAGTTGATCCACATTCCAACTTCACCACTGGCCTCCGGGTAGCAATTCAGCACATACATATTCACGCTAGCGGAGTTGATAATCACCCCAAATGTGTGGAACCCCCAGCCCAGTGCGAGTAGCATGTAGTGGTAATGGTATTGGAATGCGAAGCCAACTAACACCAAACCCGAGAGCATAAACGGCATGGCGAGCCACACGATTATGAGCCGTGATTCGGGGTCAAATCGGCCTTCGTTTCGTCGCATGGAGAACTTGGCCAGAGCGTCATGAAGCCAGTGGCCTAGGGCATATGCCAAGATGGATGCGACGACGGGAGAAAAATACATAAAACCCGATTTAGCCATATCAGTATTTTCTTCCTGACCCAGGGCTTGCATCAGAGGGAAAAAATCGGAGCCTTCGGACGTACCTATCTGCTTAGGCCCAAAATTGTACAGGGGAACAAGAAAGATGGGAATTGTCGCGTTGATGGCAACGAGCCATGCAAAGATGCAGATGTAGTAGAGATTCGTTAGTAAAATAACTGGTTTCTTCAGTACCGCGAAAGACCGTGAAATAGCTTGGTATAATGTGTTCCTTTGTGAGAGTGATTGCCACTGTTCAACTCCCACTAGCCGCAGCCACCGAGACCGAGGGGTCGGCTGCTCTGATAGTGGAATTTGTCGGTCGTAATATGTTTCCTCGCCGAAGAAGATAATCCCTACGAGAGCGAGGCCTGTCACAATCGTATAGATCCAAAATGGCCACCGCCATGATACACTGATGGTCATGAAAGATGCGATAAGAAGGCTGAGAAAAGGCGAAAGGAGCACACATGACTGCCAAAGATTGATCTTGCGCCTGAAATTGATTATTGGTTGAGTGGGATGCTTTTGGAAGATAATAATCGGCTTGGCTTACGCTTGCTCATGAAGGAAAAACAGGTCCTTGATAAACATTAAGCCGCCCTGTAAAACTCAAGTATATCAGCCACGTATTCCCTTTGAATTGAATTGGTCTATCAGGGACCTACTCCTTGAGCAACACCTGGGAAGAACCCGTTCAAGACTCGTGGTATGAAAAACCCCGTAAATTCACTAGAGCCCGCTTGACCAGCAGCTGTTGCGAAAGAGACAACTATGAACCAGAAAAGCACCGGTAGTCGACCGCAGATATTGACATTGCATCACTACTCGAGCAGCAAGCTCGAATACCCCGGATTTCCCCATAGTGTTCACACAGCGGGTCCCGAACAGATCGGGTTAGTCAAAGCTTGGAGGGCTCAATACCATTGACCACAAATAAAAAGCCCTTGAAGGATGACTATCATTGGCTCTGTGCTGGTCGCGGTAGCTCGTATCCGGCCAGTTGACTGCTTCATGTGCTCGGCCTTTTGAAGGGATATTATCCATGCATTTGAGCAATTGCCATAGCACAGAAGGATAGAGTTTCAATTCCCGGCGGGGTTCCAGTCAGCATTATGGAAGCCATTACATAGCAACAACCGAAATCCAGATATAGTGTAATGGGATAGGTGGTATATTTAAGGTATGGCAAGTAATGACGAACCTCACAGGAGGGGAGATCTCTGATAGATAACTTCGGGAGAGACAGAGAGAAGACCTATCTAGCAAGGAAGCAGGTCCTGATAAACGTAATTAACCACCCAGCTGGACAAACCCCCGAGCTGGACACTCAAAAACACTATAGTAAATGGGATATATATTTCTGGCTCACAGCAACGTAATTTTCAATACCATAATATTGTAGATATTAGATTTATTCGAAACTGATATCTAGTTTTAATAAGGCTTATCAACAGTTACCTACAGGAGATTAAATAAAATTAAAGAGTGGTTATTGAGATATATGTGTAGAAAATGTCTCCTTTGCTATGGTGTTTTTGGGTGTCCAGCTCGGGGGTTTGTCCAGCTCGGTGGTGAATTACGTAAACCGGGAGAAGCAAGCGTCAGACAGCCACCATGTTACGGAATAAGCCAGGTGGTGGTAAAGATGATCCATATTACTATGGCATAGCTACGTAAGATAACTACCCTGCTTAGTAATATCTAGTCATACCCCCAGGCCCTCACAACTGCCCCCTTCAGGAGCCTGCTATCGCCCTCGGTAGCATGGGGAGACACGGGAAGAAAAGGAAAAACAGTACATGTATTGCGCCCCGAGTAAAAGCACCACCATCACGCATTGCGTCCACAGTGCTCAGAAATTCGCGGTCAGCTGCTCCTCTTAGGGGAGCGGTGTCTACGGCGGCGGTCGCATTGAAGTAGCAATTACTTTAACTTGTGCTCTGATTGCGCCGTCCTTCATCGTCTCAATACATCGATCAACGAGTAGGAGGCCCTTAGCAAAAGCGGTGGCGTCCCGAATGGCATTGAGAGAAGACCTCGCTTTGGGTCGGGTTTGGGTCCAACTTCATGACCCGTACCCGCGGGTCAGGTTCATACCCAATACCCAAAACCTATACCCGTAGACCCGTGGGTTCTTGGCGGGTACCCTCGGGTTACCCGCCAAGAGCCCGTTTCAGCATAAAAATCCTAATTAGTCTATGCCAAGACGTACAAAACTGCTGATTTACCTTAATAAAATACTGTTATTTATATCTGTTCCGATCACCTCTATGGTTCTAACTAACAAAACCCTCTTTTCTCTATGAAAGATTAAGAAATTAGCCTGTTTTCTAATTAATCAATAGTAGTAATATTATATATTTCGCTTTGAGGACTGTATGATATTGTTATGGTTATAAAAACTAATATTGATCAAAATTGTCGTCAGAAGTGCGGAAATATATACATAAACTGCAGAGTTAGACTGCGACATCGCCCATCCACGGTGGGCCTTGGGCCTTTTGACTCTTAGGGGGCCCGTCCAAAAGGCCCAAGGCCCATGGGCACGCCCATGTTGGGCATTGCCCAAGTGCCCATGCTTGCATAAAGTCACCCAAAATGGACGCATAACCTACTGACATAGCAGAATAAATTACTGTTATTTATATGCGTTTTGCCAACTCTATAGAAAATGTCATTATTAGTACACAAAATATTTGAATCCAATCAAAATATTTTGATATTTAATAGATGGCTATACCCAACATGCGAGCAAGACAAAAAAACCCTTCTAATACTTGTGATTAGTTGGTATTTTTAGAAATCTATTAAATCAATCCTATCACAGCTGGAATATATATTTGAGACATATAGTAATTCTACCAGTTAGTTCACATAAAATAGTAATTAGAGTAAGATTTTGTATCTTGCGATTAATACGGAATCTATGATTATAATTCAAATTTCTATCAATATCAGTCGCATTTTATCAACTTATATCGCCTGAATTACTATATTATATTACTCAAAGGTCGAGTTTTAGTTCTGCAATGTCACAATATTTAGATTCTCTAAGTTAGATGGGCGCTTGGGCACTATCCATGGGCATGCCCATAGACATGTCCGTGGACAATATACTAATATAGCCAATTAGCGCGTAGTATCGTAGTAAGTCTACACCTAAATTATGATATATCATATTTAGATGATTACCCTTTACCACGGTCGCAAGTTCCCTTAGGTAGGTGAATAAGATCACACTCTCCCTGAATTTGTATACACGTGGATTATCCCTTACATTTCTATCGATCGTTATTAATTATGTCACACCCTAGAGCCTATAACGTGTTTCACTACCGAGCTGGACAAGCTGGACACCCCCACCAAGTCGTTATTTTAGAATGTATTTATCTCAACCAAAACGCCATTAAATTAAATATACTAAAATCATCTATCTAGCTAGGCATCTATTAATCTTATGCCCTATTTCTCCACAACCACTGCACTTTGGTGGCGCCCGTATATGTGGTTGTAAAGCCGGCGAAGGGCTTCTTCGTGGAGGGGGAGGAGGTGCTTCAATTGCTTCCACCGGCTCAGTAATCAATTGAGAAGCTTCTTGAACTGAGAGGCCTTCTTCGGCGGGTATCTGCCTCCTAGATCTAGTACGCTTTTGCTTCTGCTTCTCATTGGCGGCGCGTAATTCCTTGAGTTCTTTGGCGAGAATGCTAGCACCTTGCATTTGAAGACGGAAGCCTTTCACAAGCTGGTTTAATGCACGATCTGACGGGCTAGGCGGGCTTCGAGATCTTGCACGAAGTAAAGCTTTGATTGATGAAGCTTGACGGCGTAGTTCTTTCTCCGTAAAGGGGGTTTTTGGGGTAAAACTCCGGCTTGATTCACTCCCCCGGCTAGCTGGGGGGTTGGGGTTCGAAGCCGAATATTAAGCTTTGAAATCACTCGGTCGGGTACAAATGGTACTAAACCAGCTGCTCCGAAGCTATTTCTAATATTCTCCGATTTAAAAGCTTCAATTCGTGCGAGAGGGTATGCTTCGAGGAAGTCAAGTTTGTCAATATGGTTGATCCCGTTCCGCATCTTAGTTTCAACCATCCGACCGTACGCACGTTTTAATACCACAAAACAACCAATATCCAAAGGTTGTAAAAGATGAGATGAATGCGGTGGCATACAGATTGGTATCACCTTGTTTTGCTCGCAAATTTCGTCAAATTTAGGCGTTAAATGACTTCCGTGGCCGTCAAGTATCAAAAGCCGGTATACCCCCTTTGTACACGAAGTACTAGGAATAAAGAGCTTCTCCAGCCAGCGAAGTCCAATTTCATCAGAAGTTCAGCCGTTAGGGCTAACTTCGAAGCGCCAATCCTCCGGGAGGCCGTCAAACCATGTTTCAATAAAGAATTTGCCTTTAAAAATTATACACGGCTGAAGTACCCATCCAGAAGCATTCGTACATTCAACCACCGTCACCCATTCACGATTTCCAGGTTGTAAAACCGGCCTCCGACCGTAGTATTTACTCCTCGTAATAACCTTCGCAGTTGCAGTCAATCCCATAGCGAAACCAGTCTCATCAAAGTTATAAATATCGTCAGGATCAATTCCAAATTGAAGGATCGTCTTTTGAACCAAATTAAACCACTCCATAATGATTTTAGGATCTTCACATTTCGCACGCTCGTAGTTATACCGTTTCGAAAATCGGGAGGAGAGGAGGGGACGTCGTTTAACGAATTCTGTAACCCAGTTTTGACCGACCGAAAGAACCGGGGTAGTTTCACGCTTTTGAAGAAGAAGATCTGCCATTTCTCGTACCATAGAGGGCCGGGGGGCTGCTCCACGTAGATCCATAGAGAGAATCCATTTTTCAAGAAACTCCTCTTCAATTTCTGTCAATTTAGAGCAATTTGCGCGAGAAATCGCGCGGGTTTTAACACCATGGAGACGTGTAGAGAGTGTTGAATTTGGTACGTTAAATCGGCGGGCTGCTTCACGAATTGAAGAGATTTCTTGATTCTTAAAAGCCTAGATAGCTAGTAAGATCCTACCCTCTTGCTCTATTAAATTTTTAGAGCTTCGAGAGCGTATTGGTGGCATGGTGGGTGGTTGAAGAAGCAGGGTTTAAATTAATTGACACGTTTTGGTGGGGTTTGTCCAGCTCGGGGGTGAAATACGTTATCGCTGGGCCTTCGTCGATTCCTACGAGCTCTCAACTAGACGTCTTATACGCCGAAACCCCTTCGATCCTAACCTCGATCCCAATCTTTTCGACAGCCAACAGACAGCTACATCAGTAGTAGAATTCGACTTTATCGACCTAGCCATCGAACACTCCTCCCTCCAACGTATCGGCCCCGATCGGAGGAAGCATTTCGTTCTATTTGCCACAATGAACGACGCGTCGAAGGCGAAATTCATTGAATGGTGGCGTACAACCGTACGTGGCAGCGAACCAGAAACACAACGTAAGATACGATAGGATGCAAAACATATCTCAGATATCTGGAATAGCTTCGAGCAAGTGGCACACCATACTACAGGCGAACCTCTAGTTATGTGCCGGTCTTGCGGAGTGTCACTTCCGCATCCACATTCAAAACAGAGCGGTACCAACACAATGAAGCGCCATTTAAGCACGGGTAAATGCCAGAAGGCTGGCCGAAACCCAGCGACACAACAATCAATAATACAGACTATGCAACATGCAGCAGTATGTATTCTATATTAATATATTCTTTATATTATAACTGACATTGATATACACTTGATACTTGAGTCTTCTCGCGCGACGAAAATTTCACAAGATGAAAGGAAAGAGAGTAGATTGAATGTATCACTGCACTCAACCTACCTTTCCGCAGTCTCGCAAGGAAGCAGCTTGCTTCCCTTATTAGGATGGCTCAGAGGGCTCCACCTGAACCTACTTTACTCCATCCTCGGACTGCTTAGCGCCGGCTAAAGAAAATAGTGTATGAAGAGCACCATACTATTCTCTCTACCCTCCCACTAAACGCGAAGCTCTCTATCGCTCTTGACTGCTGGACATCACCATTCCAACAAGCATTTATGGCGATTATAGGGTATTTTATTAATCAGGACTGGAATTATCGTGAGCTTCTACTTGGCTTCGAACCACTCAATGGGCCGCATTCTGGTGTGAATCTAAGCGAAGTGCTTATAGAGATCTTCAAAAAGCACGATATCGCCGATCGTATTCTCGCGATAACATCGGATAATGCATCAAATAACACGACCTTGGTACAGTCAATTCAAGACTCTATCGACTCTCTGAATCTACCAAGCAGTCCAGTGGTTGTTCGGATCCCATGTCTCGCTCATGTTATCCAGCTGAGTCTTCGCGAACTACTTGGATCTGTGAAGGCCGATCCCCAGAATGACACGACGGATACAAATTTCTCCAATGTCGAAGCCCAAGCTCGGTCGCTTCGCGCATCCGAGAGCCAGCAAATAATTGTACAAACTCTTATAAAAGTAAGTGTCTTCCTTTCTTCTTATCTTAAATGATTCTAATATGTTTTATAGATCCGTGGGCTTGCTGTGTTTATTTACGCTAGCCCCCAGCGCCGCGATGATTTCTTCCGTTTACAGCCCGTAGGACTAAAGCTTGCTCCAATACAAGATGTCCGCACACGTTGGAATTCAACATTTTTGATGCTTCGTCGTGCGAAACGCCTTACGAAATTCTACGATGAATACTGCGATAACATTGGGACGCAGAAATACAAACTTAGTAAGGCAGAATGGCGGCAGGTCGACTACCTTCCGTATATTACAGAGCCTTTCTACCGGTTTACCACAGTCCTATCAAAAACTAAGAAAATCACCGTGAATCATGTTTTCGGGGTATATAACGCGCTTTTCGAGCACTTTGAGAAATCTATTGAGCGACTTACCTTAAAGACAATACCCTGGAAGGTAGCGATGCTTAGTGCCCTTCATGCTGGTACAGCAAAGCTTAGGGTTTACTACACAAAGACGGAAGAGATCCACGGGAGTCTATACGCGATTGGGACCATTCTCGCGCCCCAACACAAACTCAATTTCTTCTCAAGCAACGCGTGGGGCAAGTCTGTAGACGATATAGACTGGAGCAATAAGTATAGGGAAATGCTTCCTGAATTTATGAATCCTTATACCCAGCGATACTCCCATACTAAGTCGCTACAAGGCGAGCAACTACCACGGGGTTGTTTGTCTAGTATTAGTGACTTTGATGCTCTCCTCGACCTTACGGCGCCTCAAGTGCACTCCGATGCATCTAACTCAGATTATGAACTAACGCAGTACCTTGAAAAACGTATGTTATATCCATAATAATATTATTCGCCTATACTAATATCATATATAGCTCGAAAAAAGGTCGATCCTTTGCAATTCTGGAAGGAATACGAACATGAATTCCCTATCCTCTCAAGTGTTGCTCGCGATATTCTCTCTATCCCAGCAACAGGCGCGGGAGTGGAGCGTTTATTCAACACCGCTCGGGATATTTGCCACTACCGCCGTGGGCAGCTAAATCCGGAGACAATCCAAGATATCATGATGTTTCGGTGTAAGACCCTGTTTGATATTGAACTTGAAGAGTCACCTAAGGAGGACCTTCGCCTAGATGCAGTACAAGAGGCGGACGAGCAACGAGAGGCCGAGCTTACTATGAACGTACCCGAAGCGATTAGCGAAGGAGAGGATTCTGATGAGAATGATGATGACGGGAATGACCCTATTACACTGATTGAGGCGGAGTTTGTACTTGAGAGTCAGCGTCGGCCTATGATTACAGTTCCAAGTGCGGGTAAACGACAGAGAAGTCTCTCCGTTGATAGTGAGGACGAGACAAGCCCTCATCTGCAGATAAAGGTGGCACTCAGAGGCGCTCTGGACTAAGAGAGACAAGGAAGCGTAGTAAACCTGATGATGATGATCAATGGCTACGGTATTAATTTATATATGAATATAAATCAATGACTGGATTCATCTAAATGGCCGTGTATAAGATATTATCATAAGATTATAATAAATGCTGTAAACAAAATACTTAAAAATACAGAGTCAAATAGCATAAATAATGCAAGTCACGAGGTATAGAAATTTTGCTTACTAAAAAGGCCCATGGGCACTGCCCACCGGCCCGTCCATGGGCGATGTCGCAGTGTAGTATTTAGTATCTTGAAATCAAATGCACTCTATTCATTGAAGAACTGGCAGGTCACAACCACCAACACAATCATGGTATAATAGTCGTTACTTCTAAGAAGCTATGCTTATTCATTAAGGCTTACGGAGACTAATAATGAGATATAGACTATTAAGTTACTCGCCACTATCCTAGACTTGCCGACCAAGATTCTTTAGGTGATAGCCGATACCCTAGGGGGACACGAAATTTCTGCCCTTGCCCGAACCAGCCGAGTACTCTATCTAAAGCTACTATTGGCCTTGATCAAATACAACATCAAGCACCAGAACAGTTCCGCACTTCACTGGGCCGCTAAAATCAACCGTACCGACTTTACAAAAACCTTGCTCTCCTACCGAGCCAACGTTAACGCATTAGTTGATGATTGGTCCCCTTTGATGACAGCCGTACAATATGGGTCCGGGTCGACATTCAAGCTCTTCCTGAAGAATCAAAAGACAAAAGTCAACCTAAGGAATAAGGCTGGAAAGATTGTCCTGTAGTACAGCGTGGAGAAAAATTCATCGGCCGTCGTGAAGAGGCTCCTCTAACACCCTGATATCGAGATAGATCTTTTGTATTGCCAGCGCTAAATCGCGCTCTGGCTTGAAGTCTTTTATGAAAGCAAAGAGCTTGTGGCCATGCTCCTCTCCAAAGGTGCCAACCCTGACGCGATGGATTAGGATGGTATATCGCCTTGGATCGAAGCCTGTATCAAGAACAGGGAGCCCATCAAATATTTATTCCTAGATCATTGCAGAACAGTGTGCCCCGAGAAAAAGAGCGAGACGTGCACCGGCAATGCAGAAATGATTAGGGATGATGCGGACAGCAAGGACCCTGGTGCGTTGCGAATGCGGCTTAGCCGGGAACCGCTTCAGATACAGGCGACGGAGACGAGCAAGCTGAAGCTCGGCGAAGACCATCCCGACGCACTGACGAGAATGGGAAACCTGGCTTGGACATATAAGGAGCAATGTCGGTGGGAGGAGGCTGAGCCGCTTCAGATAGGGGTGATGGAGTCGAGCAAGAGAAAACTCGGCGAGGATCATCCCGATATGCTAACGGGTATGTCCAATCTTGCTTTCACCTGGGAACATTCAGGCAACGTTGTTGAAGCCATCAATTTACTACGGGATTGCTGTCCCAAGCTCCAACACTCACTAGGGCTGGATCACCCGGCCACTTTGTCTAATTATGAAACATTGCAAGAATGGGAAATCGAGGCACTGGATAGGAATGTCTAGATAAGCGCAATGCTTGAATATCATATGTTTACATATCACTGCTTTCTATATTATTTGTGAAATGATCTTTACTATCATACATGGACTTGGTATGCATCACTCGAAACGGATTCACCTTGCCACTTCAAAGAGCACAGCTGCCAAGAGATTCAGGGCAAGGGTACCTGCGAGGTGCGAGTATTTTCGGTAAGGGTTTTGCAAGTAATTTATAGAACTCTATAGCACGGGATAGAGTATTTTATCGGGTTCCTAGAGACACAGTATGCACTAGTACTAGAATGAACCAATGAAGCCATTGCACAGTCCTTGAGATGTGTCTCTCTATATAGTTCTGATAGCAAGATAAAGGGCTCCCTTGTGCTTATTCAGCAATTGATGCCTTTGGAATCAGGAAGCAGTGGGTGTTGAATAACTAGTTAACTAGTTATGATAAATCACACTGTAACATTGTTCTTCACTTTTACTGACATGTTTTAATACGATTCAATGTTTGAAACCAAGCTATGTCCGAACTGGATTAGCGTGTTTCGTCATAGGGCTGGAGAAGTTATTTTTACCACTAAACTAAAATATAAGTCCGTCCTCAGTCTAGTGGGTAGTGGGTTATAATCAACTCTTTCGGCAATATACAGGCTACCACTATGGATGATTGTCTCCACGGTATTGTTCCAAACATTCCTGCGGTGAACTTTGAGCCTCATCGGTGAAGGCCTGTAATGATTCCACTTTAACCTGTGAAAAGGCTGAGGTACTCCATTACCCCGGCTGTAGTGTCTCGCACGCAGACGTGATGACGGCTATAGATGTGCCGGCTTCGGGACTCGTACCCCATGTCTGCAGGATAAAAAGTGATGTACGGCCATTTATGTGTTTATTTAGTTATTTGTGTACATTAAAGACCCACATATTCTGGTCTGTGATAACACAATGTACATTAATTGAAGTTATTGATGAAGACCACATATCTCGCCTATCCAGAATCGGCCGAGAAGCGCGATATTTCTGGATTTTCAAGATATGGTGACGTCCGTTGTGTGACCCTATCTCCCTGTCCCTGTGAAAATTGGACATTGGCAATTTTAATTTTCCCAAGCTTGCGGAGCCATCGACGGCAGGGCCTATGTAAAAAAAATAATACAAGCGAACACCACGGCAAAACCCAATATGGCCCCATTATTGACATCCAAAGCTGTCGTAGAAGCCGATGCGACGATTGATTCTGTGTTATTGTTATTTCATTATTTGTCAATGATCCTAAGGCGCCAGTTGTTGTTGTTTCTGCTGTTTCCGGAATTGTGTGGGTGGATAATAGGCTCGTTTCTGTCCCCTGTAAACCAGGGACAGAAACAGATATATTTAGTGCCCTTGTCAACTGTCCCTCCTTCTCATGACTCGTCTCAATTACTGTTGCGAACTTTTTATCATATATGTTTCTGTTAGGTACTGATTCTGGTCGCATATCCATGGAAGGCTCATTATGTTGGAGATTTGATAGAGGCCCACCATAGACCAAGGATGGTCCTTCTGCCTCAATGCTCTGAACACATTTCTCTTGGAGGGCTTCATCATCCAATTCTAGAGCATTCGAGGGTATCAAGTGCTCATGGAGGTTTATAGGATCTATCGATTGGATTATGTTCTCTATCGGAGTTGAGGCCGCCAATGAGGTACCTGTAGGCTTCCCATGTATGGAAAAAGATAAAATAATCTCATTCTTGGAAGTTTCTCCAATGCCGAGGACTTGAAATTTTGACAGAAAAGTAGCTTCGGTCGTAACCTGATCAGTATACGTTCCTTCGGAAGAAAATGATAATGTAGCCTTACCCTTCACATCCAAGAGTGCTAAGCGTAGTACCACCATGGTCACGGCTTCATCTTTTACTAGGTTCTCTTCGATGTTGGTGTGATGTGGCTTTGTTTGTTCACTGGGTGACCAGCTGATCCAGTTTTCAGTTGATGTCTTGCTGAGTTCATTTGGAGGGACCTGGGTCAAACTCCAAACAGGATCCTTAGTTGCTTCATTTGGATATGTAGAAAATGGATTGTTCTCTAGGGTAACACTAGGCGGCCGTTCGGTGAATGGCTTGAATCCCAACCCCCCTCATGTCACCCGTATAGCGTAATCGCTTGATGTATATTTCAGTTGTCTAGACTTCATGGCAGGACTGGACTCCAAGAGATGCCTTGAAAAATATATTAGCGTTTACGTTCGATACCATGGTTCGTTGAAATTGCGGTATGTACGTCTTAACAAGTCATATGACAACTTCCACTTTGCCTGGTATGGCTGCGGTACGCATAGTGGTCCGCCATTCAAGATAATTCAGTCGTTATGATATGTTGGTAGGGAAGAATATAAATTGAATATGGTTATTCTAGGGCAAAGGATTCTAGACGGTACATTTTTGCGGCGACCAAAGCCAAATCGCTAGATATTGGGGGTTATTGTGGTGCATCATAAATATGCCCCTCTATACCTTGAAACATTATTAGGACAGTCCCTTGAGGGGCGTTCTGATACGATATGGATACGAGTGAAGAATGTGAGGTATACCTGATATGGGTATCATTATATTCAGACTAATCGCTGGTCCTCCTAACCTTTTATAGGGGATGTCCCTGTGCGTATGTAGGCAGGTAAGCGAGGTGATGTATCAACAGGCGGTTCCGGTGGTTCTTAGGCACTTCCTCCGCCTTCACGATACCTCATTGTATGGTCGGCGTAACAGACTTTGACTAATAGCCGTAACATCTTGGAAACCAGGTGTTAATCAACTATCGTATTTCGATTGTGCAAGTATATCGGCATATGATGTTTTACGTGGTCGTTGAGAACGCCTCTCCGGAACTGGCGCGGTAGCCCGCGACGAGGCTTTGATTTCTTCGGGCGTGTCTGGCCATGTAATTTGCGTCGCTTCCTCATCGTCGTCACCAGGTGCAATTATTTGAGGGGAATCCTGGGACTGATGCGTGATAGGAAGTGATTCAGTCTGTGACCTTGCAGCCGATTTGGTCGGCGTTTGTGGGCTGGCTCTGTGAGACCAACGGTCCACGCGCTTCCGTTTACCAGTAGAGGAAGGAGTAGCGGGCAACTGGTGATTTGGTGCTGGGAGAAAATGTATATCATCCGTAACGACAGCTAACTGGCGATGTTCTTTTGTGAGGCCGAAAACGCGACCGGTCAAGAAAACATGGGTGTTTATACTCAGTGGTGGAAAGTTGGCCCAACGCTGTTCATTTTTGAAGTACGCGGTGACGGGAAAGGTGTGATGGGTTCGGGTTGAACTATTGTAAACAGTGGTTTGGAGGCGGTAGTGAAGAAGAGTGAGCCCGCCGTTCAGTTGACCACCGCGTTTAATAACAACACCGAGAAACGTCACTATTGGCTGGGCAGCCTCGGGACAGTGCATGAAATACGATTCGATATCTTCTTCATTGCCCGGATGACTAGATTGTGTAAGCTTGGTTCTGTAGCAGATAGGACAAACTGACCCGGTCCAAACTGTGGGCGTGGAGGACAATATGAAATTCCTCGTCATCAGATGAGGTAGTCAGGAATGAACCGGAGGAATAGACAAAAGTGTTTGGTTTGTAAAGGTCGGACTGATTGCCCTCATTAAAAAATCTGACCAGGGTGGGAATATCATCCTGCTCAACATCGTCTGATTGAATGTCTTTCCACGGTATATTGAGCGAAACTCGGAGCTGCATGGAAAGCCCTTTGCCGGGCCGTGTAGGATCCGGTTCAACATGCTCGACGAAGTCCCGAATATGGATAACAGCGGGGAAAGTTGAATTTGAAGGTATAATATTCTCTGGTGTATATCAGACCTAGAGAGAAGGAGGAGGTGAAGTATGTTCGATCAGTAGGGTTTCTAGCGAGGGTTCGGGAGTGATTGTGTGATGAAAGGAGAAGTGGGTAAGAGAGAGCCATGATTTTGTGTGTAGTGTTCACTATGGCGTAAGATCCCTGTTGTAGATACGAACACAAATATGATATATCCTGAATGTATCTCACCGCTGGTTTGATAAAGAAACTTAGTGGATGATTTTAGGTTTTTGCAAGCCATCTTTTATGTATGTAAGACGTGGAGATGAATGACCTATGAAGGTGTTAGATAAGAGAATTGTTCTAGAATTGTTAGCTTAGGGTATCTTTCCTTCTTCTACCACAAAGAGATGCACGTGTGCTGATAGAAGCCAGAAGCGATAACCTCGCTCATAGAGGAATATTAAGTTCTCTTACTATTGTAAGTATCAACTCATTCAGCGTTTCTGACAAGAACTGTCGGAACTGTTCGTGGCAGTCTCTATCTGAGACAGCGAGTGCGCTCTCAAGGGTCTGCAGCCTTTCTATTTCTGATGAGTTGGTTAGGCGAGAAGCAAAGAAAATTAACTAGGATACGTTGACGAGATGGAGATAGTGGAATGATCGCAGCCTGGGCAGTTTTACGTAGAGTTATCGGTACTCTCGGTGAGACTCCCGATGTTGCCGGGCAGCTGTATTATCTAGGAAATGAAATCACTAATTTGAATGCTTCCATGCGTCCAAAGTTGCCTTTTCTAGTTTTTCAAGTCTTCGGATCTCTGCGAGAATCCGGGATCAGGTCCGAATTGGAGGTCCTTCATTTCGATCTCCTGCAGTAGATGGAGGCCTTTACGTGTTCGCAACCTGGACAACTTACGTAGGTCGAGCAGAATTTCTGGTGACGATCTCGACCGCGTATCGCGGAGTCGTCTCTAAGATCCAGGATCGCAGAGTCAAGCGTGGAGCCCTGTACTTTGTAGTCGGTAAGAGAGAAACCCGGGCTCATAGGAACTTGTTTCCTTCGGACCGAGTAACCCTTCAGAGTGATGAACTTTTCTAAGGGGAAGACAGGCATGGTTGCTGGAGCAAGGCCTTCGAAAACCGAGGTGGTTGATTTGTCCTGTTTGAATAAAACACACGCGGGAGGTTTGGTGCACAGGATATACAGGTCGTCAATTTCATAGAATTCGGCTAAAATCGTTTCAAGTTAGATTGGTACTTTAGACGCAAGGGAGGATTAACCCGCCCACTGGGTCAACCACCACACCGATAGCGGTTCCAGTCGCCCCATTGACCTGTCCTAACCGGGTACAAACATTTGTCAATATGACAGAAGGCATGTTAGGAGTGTAGAGAAACATTCCGGGGAATGGGATCCTGGTACCGTGATCTGGTTGCTGGGGCAAGTCGTCGACACGCAAGCGAAGGTTGGTGGGACCAGTGGACTTGGTTCGTGTGTATTGAGCAGGGAAGGCATAGATTTTTTGACAGCAAGACTTGGCAAAGTGTTCCATTCGAATACGATTCACCTGATGTCGCAGAGAATTCAGCTTCACCAGCATTGTCGCACTGTGTAGCTGGGGGTCCACCAAGGAAGTGATGACGCAGGAGTTAAGCAAGTCCAGGTCCTCTTCTGTCAACGTTGACGTCCTCGCTCGATGTAGAAGGCCCCGAAATGATGGATCCCCGGACTGCCGCATCTGCTCGTCTAGGATGATCACATTTCTGAACTGATGCCATATGAGCCAGCCCTCTTCGTCCTCTGTGTTGCCGCTTCTGGGTTCCTTCCACAATGCTGGGCCCCGCACAGGTGGGAACTAGAAAAAATCACCCATGAGGATGACAATGGGCAAAGCACCGAAGGGGTCGGGAGAACCCCTATCGAGGGATCTCGCCATTTTGCAGTGGTTGTTGATCACACTAAGCATGCTGAGATCCATCATGCTGACTTCATCGATGATCACAATCGTTTTACGGGACCAGAGTTTTCGCACACGAGCAGCCATCGAATGTCCTGTAGAGCGAGTAATAGAAATCCCAAGAGATGTGTGAAACGTGTTGCCGCCGATATTGTCTGCCGCGGCGCCAGTCGGAGCCATGAGGATCACCTCTTTTTTGCGACGGATGAGATCCATTCCGGCCATAATGCCTTTGACGATTTGGCTCTTACCCACGCCTCCTTCACCCCCGACATAATGAAGTGTCGGATGTCGTTTCGAAGCATCGTACGGATGACTAGCCCAGTCCAGCGCTTCGCCCAACACCTTTGCGACGACAAGGCGCTGTTTAGTATTCAATGTGATACTTTCATTGACAAGTAGAGTTAGAGAGGTAGGCGAGGAACTGTCCTCGACATAGGACTGCTAGTCAGCGAGGGTAGGAATAACTTCTGGTTCATTAAGCATAGGCTCCAAGATGGCATCACCAATGTCCAAACTGAAGCCGTCCAGGTCATAGGCCTCTCCGACCACATTATGATACACGTCTCCATGTTCACCAAACTTGGCAAGTTCTTTGGGTCGAGACTCCCATTGCTGTAATGTGGATGGCGGGAAGAAGCTAAGGCCAGATGCGCTATACGCAGGGCTGTCGAAAAGGTTGAGAGGCAGAAGGTTCTGCAGCGGTTGTCCCCGATTGTGAGTTGGTGCGTGTTTCAGTGAAGGGATGCGTCGCCCAGCGAGGAGCGTTTCATGGTCCCAACACTTAGCGATGGAGTGATAGGCTGCGATCAGAGTCTCAACGTTGACATTTTCATCTAGGTTCGCAAGGGAGTCGTCAGAATCTGAGGCAAAATTGTCTATTTCGAGCTCATTAATCTCGCGGTCGATTAAGCCATTAACTCTAACTGGCGCTTCCTGAAGTTTCGCATCAGCCAGACTGTCCTCCCTAGACTTTCGCAGGAGCTCAATATTCGCAGCAAATCTTCGAACATGGGCCGTGAGTGTCGGCTCTATAACTTCCCATATTCGGGAGCAGGCATCGCGCTTTATCGGTACAGCGTTGGCATTTTCTTGAAAAAGCGCCGGTAACTGGCCCCAAGGAACAAATAATCCGAGTAACATCTCCGCTAAGTCATTCATATTTGCGGCAGTTTGAGGATGACCTCCCGGAACGGCGTCTTCCGAGGCTTGGAATTCAGTGAGCTGTCCGTTAAAGGTGACAGTGCTGACCTGAGATGATGTGTGAGCCAGACGTTGTACATGGGTATTTCTTTGAGGGTGTGACAGGTCAAAGTCGACGTCGTTTGTAGTCGCATCTCGTGCAGTCTTGATTCGTACGAGCATACAATATTCGAAGAGCGCGAGGCGCTCAAGCTGCGGCTCACGCCATCTATAGTTGTCAAACATGCTGACAGGGGCTGTTCCGCCAGCTTCATAGGTGCAAGGTTCTTCGGCCATGGGGTCAGAGGATTCGCCGACGTCAATGTTGAGAGGTTGAATGAGATCACGGATGTATCGCCTTAGCCACCACAGATTGATGCGGACGAAGTTATAGTTGATCTTGTAGTGGGTTAGTAAGTTGAGCAAGGTGCTTGCCACCTGGACGCCGCTTATCTCCCGATCGTGTGAGAGGGTATTAAAGCAGCGAAGTGCAAAATTGTCCAAACCCTTGTCTCGAAGTCTAAGGTCTGTTCTTGTTGGCAATTCAGCAGCCTCTACCCTTTCAATGCGCTGCTTAAACAGGGCAGCCTTTGCAAGCATCTGCCATGGGGAGACGTCGTCTTTTGTGGCATAATTGGTGATGTAATAAGTCAGGGACAAAGACTTGGAGACTGTAGGGATCCAAGAAATATCATGATTAGAACGAACGCAGCTAGCAATGGCGGGGTTCCAGGGGTTAGTCCACACATGATTCCGTGCGAGGTGAATTAAGCCAAACTCGTCCACTTTGGAGGTGGGAACAAGATCCCGGGGCATGCCGAACCGACAAGCATCTTTACCTGGGCCCCGTTGTCGGTACTTGAAGCAGGTTGAATGATGATGCCTGGAGTGAATTTGCGTCCTACGCGCGACAGAGTTGCTGTCATATGACAAGCCTAGAAAGAACTCGGCATCGGTTTCTCGCTCCCAGCGGCCTACTCCAGGAAGCTGTATGTGAATTTGCCCCGGGGCCGTCGGTACCTGCTGACACAGCTACGCACGGGCCATAATTGGTTATCCAACTATCCCAAGGCCTTCGGCTTCAGCGACAATGATCAGTGCGCGTGCGGTGCACAAGAAACAATCACCCACGTGCTGGTGGCTGCCCAAATCTACGGGAAATTCGAAGGGAGTTAAGAAGTGAAGCTGGGGATGCGTTTAACAGCGTGTTTAGTCTGCTGGGAGGCTCAACCGAAGGTAAGAGAGGTAAACCATTATTTAATCTTGGAAAAAGATTATTAACTATCTTTAAGTACTAGTTTTGTAGCCGTTCCTCTTTTTGAACCCTTTTTATCACTCCCTATTTTTCTATCTCTACCTTTCCTACCTGCTTTTTGGAAATATCATTTCGGAACAAGCTTTCTTTTCGGACTGCCTCCGGGTGGGGGCCCCTTATTCCAAGTTACCCTTGTACTCAAGTCCACCAACCCATACTCTTTTGATGTCTCTCGTGTTGGAGATATTAGTCAAAGGATTACCCCCCACGAGCAGCAGATCTGCGCGAAAGCCTGGCTTTATTGAACCACGATCCGGCAGAGAGTGCAACTTAGCACCTAGGCATGTCGCACCACGCAAAGCATCGACCGGCTGCAAACCTGCCTGAACCAGGTACTCAAGTTCAGTGTGGATGGAGCTTCCAAATGGAACCCTGAGTAATGCATTATCTGGGTCAACAAAGGAGTCTGTGCCGACCAGGATTGGCACACCGGCTTTGTATATGATACTGACGCTTTGTGCGGCATTTGAAAAACTATAATTTGCTGGGGTTCCCGGTACATCGAGAATGTATTGCATGACGTTGAGGGTAGGAGTGACAAATTGCTTTTGCTGAAGAAGCTTTTGGGCCATGTCTGTGGTAATCACCCCGTCCTGAGGGGTATGTTGGATACTATCAGTCAAGGACATGATAGCCTGGTTGTATGTGGCAATCGTAGTAGCATGAGTCGTTGAAACATGGCCAGCATTGTGGGTGCACTGTACCAATGCATTGAGAGTGTCCTGGCTCGGTCCACCCTCTTCGGCAACCATTTTAAGAAAAGCAGAATGATTGCCAAACACATTGGCTACAAATTGAGGGGCCTGAGCGGGGGACGAAATTGTATCTTCAATGGGTGTGTCGAATAGCATTGCGTGCTGACTCCCTGGGGCGATGGCTGCAATCCCAGTGGTGATGAAGGACGTCAGGCCAGTTTGGTTCTTCAATGCGTTGCACATGTCATAGCTTAAGCATGCCATCCCAATCGCAGTCGTGACACCGTAGCTGATCAGGTTGATCAGATCATCAAGGCTTCCGGGATGGCAATGGTTGTCAATGAGTCCTGGTAACAAAACACCTCCTTGTCCATCAATTATCTGTGCTCCAGACACTGGTGTCTTTCCGAAGGGAATTACGGCTGCTATGTATTCGCCGTCGATGATGACCGTGCTGGGCCCGGTAATATGAGTTCCGTCAAAGACCTGCACATTGGTCACAGCCACCTTTGTTGAGGGCGCTGCCAGAATTCGTCGTCCATGAAGACGAGTAAGTTCGTGGTTATCTGCTCTCCTTCGAAGACTCGCTCCGCCGTGTGAGATACAAGCATTAGCTATGGGTGACAAGGCGAGGATAGCGGTGAGGATGTTGGCGAGGTTGCCGTATTTGAATTTGAACATGTAGAAGACGAGAGACGTAATCGAAAAATTATAGAATGGGAGTAGAATGGGAGAATGGTGGCTGTGTCGATGAGCTATTTGAGGCTGAAGTGAGAAAGTTTTTGAGGTTATATCGTTTATGTCCCTCCGAGCCACTATTTAAGAGGTGGGGCACAGGTCAAGGTGAATATTGAAGTGGACCTTAAAACATCGTATTAGTAGTTCTTTACTGTTTCTAGCGTTTCGCATGGGCATTCACAAGTCCCGCGGGACCAAAATATTTTGGTCCCATTTCCCCGTAGTTCCGCGAGACTCCTGTGGGACTATATGGAACTCACTAAATGGTCCCGCGCTGGCATGATACCACCAAAAACCATCTAAAAGAAATGTGCCGAGTAAAATGAATATTAATTACATTACTAGCTTGTTCGACTTTTACAACACACACTTGCTGATTGAAGGGAGTCAGGTTCCGGAGGCATCCACATGCTTATTAAGTCCACACAAATATTTGTAGCATTGAATAATTTAGAGAATACGCTCAAGGTATGCCAGAAACTTTGGAAGATCGGATTTCCAAGGCCTTGGAAGCTCACCATGCAAGTTATAAACCAAAGATCGCACCGATCGCGCGACAATTTGACATTCCGTACCACACCCTGTATGGCCGAGTTCACGGTCGCAAGCCTCTCGAAGGCCATACCGGCGAAGTAAGAACAGACATCAATTCAATGGATTGATACCTTGGGACCAGACCTATTCTGCACCATCAGCTTCCAAAACCCAGAACGCTGCGCGGCAAATAATACGGCGTCATGGTCCTTTGCGCTCCGTCGGAAAAGAATGGTGAAAATGATCTCGAGCCCGTCTGTATAACGTTCGCGAGAGATCGGGGTGAATGAAATCATCATCATCATCACCCTCATCGTCTACATTCAGAAAGCGATTGGCAAAGAAAGTGGTTTATAGGGTTGATCTGGTTATCTTTTGCAGAAAGCGCCTATTTTTTCTGTGATACATGGAATAATCGCAGCAGTAAATTTCGCACCCCAACCATCACAGCCCAAGAGATTCCGCGTTACCAGTATATATCCTCTGCACATCCTTTTCATTAAACAGCCGCTGAAGGTTAACATCCATCTTTTGATCCAGTGCTTCCACCATGCTTCCGGGTGTGTAAGGATAATCACTGCCATAAAGCAGACGACTCGACTCCCCAACTCTCAAGTATCCATGAATCAGATCCGGGAATGGCATGCCGGCAAGGTCAAAAAAGAATCTTGTGCGAAATAGCTCCTTAACTTGGTCACTCGTCAGCTCCCCAGCACATTTGAACCACGGCAACCCAGAGAAAGTGGTAAATCGTTCAATGAGCGGAGGTAGTGTTGCACCACAGTGAGAAACCAGGAATGTAATATTTTGGTATCTTGTCACGGTGCCCGACAAGAGCAGATTAACAACAGCTCTTGTTGTGTCGAAAAAGTACTCCATCATAGGCGTTGGGTATTGGGGCAGCGGTTTGTCGGTGTCCGGGTTGTCCACTGAGCAGCATTGTGTCGGGTGCATGAACAATATGGCCTTTCGCTCATTGAGCTTGTTGAAGACGGAATCCAGTCGTGAATCGCCCATATAGTACCCTTGGGCATTGGTCATGACTGCAAAGCCCACCGCGCCAATTTCCAATGCACGGTCGATTTCCTCGAGGGTTCCCTCCACATCAGGGAGTGGAAGGGAAGCAAAGAACTTGAAGCGATCAGGAAATTTGCGGCAGATTTGGGCAATTTCATCGTTGGTTTCACGTGTAACCTGTTTAGCGAGTTCAAAATCTCCTGTCTTCAGATGGGTGCCAGGGGATGTGATGCTAAGAATGGATCTCTTAATGCCAAGCTTGTTCATAAGCTCAATATGACCTTCCGCGGTCCAGGCCTGATCTGACATTAGCGTATAATCTATATTTATATTCGGAAGTTAGATTACCGGTATGCATGGCATCCCATCAGGCTTGTCCCAGTCCATCTTTTCGCACCATTTTCTCCAGCCGTCGGTTACAATGTGACAATGGGTGTCAATTTTCTCCATAATGAGCTTTCTGCGGTCGTTGAAGAAAGTTCCATTCCCTTGCACTCCCAATTTTTATTATATTTTCTGCATTGGAAGCACCAGCAGCTATAAGGTAGGTCCCGTGGTAGGTCGAAAATTATTTGCGGGGCCTATATGCCATTAAGGCCGGACCAGGAAATGTTTTGCCGCCGCTGAATGACGTACATGACCTCCTCCACATATGGAGATCCAATAGATTCAAGGAACACAGCCGGCAGCACGAAGCACATCATAGAATAAAGGCCGTCAAGCTTTGTGGCCCGTAGACTGTGGAAGAGCGAACTCACTTTCAATGCAAACGGAATGACAACAGACAAACAACATAGAAGGAAATAAATCGTGCAAAGTAAGAATTTGAAAGACGTCATTTGCCCGACTTAGCATTTCGTACATAACTCCCATTTCGTTTCCAACCTGAATTTGTACCCTAATACATTTCCCAATCTAGCCGGTAGACCCCGATCTCCCACTGCGTATTTTGAAGTCTACACTATAATGTGGGCCGCATTTATCTCCGACGTCCGTATTTTCGACGGAGTTTTCATGTTATCCGAATGCGACCATGTTCCCATCGAGTCTGGCCGCATAATGGAGATTGTCAAAAACCCTAGTTGACTTCCGCTGGCTGTTGTAGGATTGATGCCTCCCATTACATTATGTCATGTTCTGCATGCGCTAGTGTCTCAACAGCCTGTTATGCGCGAACCCTTGCCCGGGTGAAGGCTAGCGTCCTGAATGCTATATCCGCCATGGTCTGGTGGCTCATAAAAAAGTCCACTTTGGTTGAGATGCACTACTGCTGGCCCAGTGCTATTGGACAGATCAGACTAATTAATAAGTGTTTTCCTGTATGTACCTTCTCGATCAATCTTGGTTGATCTCAATGACAAGTTGATGGGAAATTAACTTGAATTTCGTATTGTGCCGATATCGGATCTACTTACTTTGTATGAAAACTCATCGGAATGGAAATATATTATGTACGATTTATATAATGGATGGACTAATACCTCTAGGTAAATGCACTGTCACTGATTTCCAAAGATCCTGGCCAGGCTAGAAGTGACTTTGGCCAAGTCGGCCTTGGTATTGCATGCCGCAAAAACAAAACGATCCATTCTCACAATGACGTACCGCTTTGCGCCAACGCTCTTCCACATGAGGTCCTCGTCATATCCTCGAGGTACGGGACGATCAGCGCATAGTGAGGATTGTGCGAACTCTTCGCCCGTGGCGGTACGAAATACCCGGTGCCACCTATCCGCCTGCTTATGCGCTGCATAATTGGTGTTCGAAATACGAGGAACAAAGAAGGTAGCATCATCCGCCGACAGCAACCCCATCTGAAAAATCTCGTCAAGATCTTCTAGCGCAGCATCCAGTTCATGGAGGCCATTCAGTAAGACAACGAGTTGAAATACATTCCCACTCCGGAAAATGACATCGTCCGTAAACTGCACATTCGCATCTGGATCCAGAGCGATGCAATATGTCTGCGGGAAGCAGAGCCCGCCATCGAACTCCGGCATGAATGGCATCCCTGCTGAGTGGGTGTACCGAGTCGGACCATCACCTCGCGGGCCCTGCTCAAGCCAGTGTTTCCAGCTAGGAATAAGCTGGAGGAACCACATGCCCCAGTTGCGAATTAGAATGTGTAGCAGGCTTTTCCCATTGACCATATCTCCATTTCGAATGGTAGAGCCAAGTGATTTGTCGAGTTGTTGTTTCCGTTCGAGATACCAGCCGGTGAAAAGGCTTTCATAGTCTAGTTGAGGAGATGAGCATGCGATACCGAGGCGCCAAGCGAGGGAAATAGCATCTCGAAACCCGGACGTAATTCCTTGCCCTCCGACTAGATGTCATTGTTAGATAGATGATATGAGTATCATAACACTTGATCCACTTACATGGCGGAAATACGTGAGCCGCATCACCACACAGAATCACCCGTCCGAGGGCCCATTTGTTGCAACTCCTCGCAGAGAACCGAAAAGGCCTCGATCGCAAAACATCGATGCAGTCCTCCGGGTACTCGACATCCTCAGCGAGTCTAGGTAAGCCGTCAGTCGATTGACCAATCATAGTCTCCTTCTCGTATCAGAACATACCCATAACGACTACCAGAATGCGTCAAATAAGGGTAAACGACTTCTCTGACTTTGTCCCGCCCAGCCATTTCCGTACCATCCTCATCGGAGGTAATGACAAACTCAAAGCGCCAGAGTCGGTCTTCCGGGCGACCAAATCGGCCACATACAGCCGGACGGCTGGGGTTGCAGAGGAAACGGAAGTCGGCTGGGAAAAAAAGGTCGTACACTTCATCTGGTGTATATCCAAGATCCCACAATGGGAATGAAGGGTGCGTCTCCTTTGTCGGAAGGTGCATTTTCCAGTTGAGAGCCACCCAGGTCTCTTCGTATCTTGTTCTTTACTGGAGTTAGGGGATCATATATCGTTTTGCGATAGGACCTGATAGCTTACTGCTCGGCCCACTCTAACTTGATCCCCTTTGGCTCTAGGTACATCTTGCGTGTGAACCCTGTCTTTCCATCTGCTGCGGCCAGGAATCGTGCTCGGGTTCTTTTCTCGGTACCGGATTCATTGGTGTAGGTCGCGTATACCCACCCCGCATCCTCGGTGATGGAAGTCAATGTGCAACTACTTCGCAGTTGGGAGATATCAAACTGGTCCATGGCCGCTCGGAGGTATTTCTCCAGGACTGGCTGCTTGTGAGCAAGCACGCCGACATGGCCGGTATTTCCCTCTGTCTAAAAGATATCAGTTGTTGTCTGATTGGTATATGTGGATGTACCTACGGAAGCTGAATCGAAATGAAGGAACGGTTTGGCGTGTAGGTTCTGATGTACGCCACTGACGAATCGAATCTTTGGAATGCCTGGGTATAAAAATATTAGCCCACATGTTCATCTGTATGTCAAATACTGCTTTTCCTAACAGGACCCAATCTCCGTGAAGATGTGCTCGTAAAGGCCAAGGCCTTGCATCAACCGAATTCCGTCATCGTCGAGGGCAATCCCACGAGGATCCGTGGTTATAGTGGGTTCTTTTTCTAGGACGATATTTCGAACGCCCAGTCTCCCCAGATACGCCGACAGCATAGCTCCGGTAGGGCCACAGCCGCATATCAATACGTCTGTGGTCTCCCACTTATCATGAGAAGCCATTTTAATATATATCTGCGATGGTCAATGGTCCTCAATTAAGAGCAGGCGGGAATAAGGAAATAAAATAATTATTAGAGTATTTAAAGTAGCTAGATGAAGATGACCTAAGTTTATCGTTTTGGCCGCGGGATATCCAAGGTGTGGGGACAATGTGTCCTGCGGGTACAATTATGCCCCTTTTTCCCGCAGAAGACATCATATTATGACAGAGATCTGCCTGTACGACAATGTATGGTATGACACGACGATATGTAACTCTCTAACTAACTAAAATGACAAAACCGCATTATTTGACAATCTGCGCGGACATGATGACTAACTGTAATATGCACTTTTGTATGATATGGTTAACTGCCGATGTCTACCGACATTCGGGTATTCCAACTCTGTATCAACTAGGTATTGCAACCTTAGTTTCTGACATAGTACGCCAGTCGGATGAATAGCAATATCTAAGCCCTACACCCAGCGGCTGCAGTGGCAAGGCTACACCTCGGATGTACGCTTCTCCGTATTCCCGAAAATTCCGGGTATTAGCAGTCCTCAATGTCGGAAATGAGGGATCAGGTAGGAAGGATTCGAACCTGCAGATCTCGATTCTGCATGACAAATCCAACATAAAAGTGCACATTAAATTAATTAGCCTTCCATGTTGATTTGTCAGATTGTGTGGGTTTCAATTGAAGGCAGAGGGAGTCATATTACCATTTTAGGGCTTCCATACAATAGTAGTGGCTGATTTTGGTCTGTCATTCAATCCAAGTTGAGAACTAAGCTTCTAGCTTCTCCGCAACCGCTTACTGGGTACGTTCAATCCATGCAGGGAGGCCATTACAAACGCATTCCAAGCAAGTAACCTTAAAAAATTGCTCCAGCTCCCTAAAGCGTACTTGCCAACCAGTCGGCCCTGGCTCTTCCAATAGTGGGTGTCCTTTATTGAATTGGTCATGTTATTCCGGGGTTGTGGAGAAACGATGGGCTCGTGAATCATGGAGCAGCAAGCATCAGTGACGATCTGGGCCCAAACCTCTCTAAGGCTCATGATTCCAGACTTGTAAGCCTGGGCGTAGATTTTATGACTACACATGACGACCAACATAATAGATTTACTTTACATGCGGCGGGTAGTGAAATGCACAAGTTTAGCCTGTCTCGGTATGAGTAACGGGGATAATCAATCGAAACGAGATCGACCAGCGTGTAATATTGATCTCCACTGTTGTTGTTGAATAGGTACTATTGCGTTGCAAGGCCCTACCGCGTGATGTAACTCTGTAAATGTGCCTCGACATCTGCTGGATTGTGAATTTCGATGGTGATACCTGTATCATGATATTCTGGGCACTATGAGACTGTTGTAAATCCCGTATCGAAGGCCTTCAGCTCTGTAATGGTTGCTATAGACTTCTTCAAGGTGGTGATGATCGGAATATACGCTTCAGCAATGTCACATGTAAGATACCCTAAGAGCGGGAAAAGCTTGCCATTGGCATCTCGTGGGAAATCGTAATTTATTTGGATATGCACTTTTCGTTGCTCTGTGGGGTGGCGGCTAAGCCGCATCGCGCGCCCAGATAAGGTTGTATGCAAAATATATGGGAATATGATGACACACCTAATGTACAAGGCTTGCTATCGAGGCTTCGGTACAATTTCTTTTATACATAGTATATATCAAGGCGAGTATAGTTGGAAATTGGGGGTACAGGAAGAGAAGACAGTTGGATTCGTATGGAAATAGGCTACAGAAGCGAATATACAAAATAAAACTACTCCAAGAATGTCGCAGGCACCTCGGGCCCCCACACAGCAAGGGACTCACTCCCAGCCTGCACATACCCAATCGGGGTATCCCTATTCACCAAATCACCATCGGCATAATGCTCAATCATATTGCCAGTAGTATCCCACCAATAGTCGAAAATCTGCGATCCAAGCACATGTCGGCCAATGCCCCAGACAGAATTGTATCCCCTCTGGGCAAGCCACTGGTGGCCCAGATGCTGGGTGTCGAAATCATGGACCTCGAAGGAGCAGTGATGGACATGTGCACCACCGGGACTCGCACTCAAGAAGAACGAGTGGTGGTCTGTGAGAGTATCGCCTAGATCGATGTGAGCGAACATGCTCACGTTTTTCTTGTGGCCGTCCTTTTCGATGTATAGCAGGTCGGTAGGCACAAGGTTGAAGGTGGATGTGTAGAACTTGACTAATTCGTCAAACTGCTGTGTGCATAATCCAAAATGGCCGAGCTTAAAAACAGGTCAATATGTTTCAACTTTGTTAGCATAGAGTCAGACATACTTTGTGGACACCTGCTGGTCCTGGCTCAAACCGGTTGAACTCGCGACGGCGGGCTTTGTCACCGGTGTAGTTGAGCACGACCTGTTCCGGATGCTTTACCCCTGCGTCTATAGGCTTCTGTCCGAAAGCCACGTTGAAGGGAAATCCTTCGGGGTCGGTGATGGTCACTAGAAAGCCTCCACCGGGGGCATCGCTGAGGTCCTGTACTGGACTGGCTGTCGGCAGACTCGCTGCTCTGGGAGACACCAAAGATGTCAAAAATATATATCTTCCAATAAAGTTATGGTCACTCACTTGTTGAAGTCTTCTTGGCTTAGCGCCTCAAATGTGCCACCTAGGAACTGCTTCGGCCCCTTCCGCGCATAGTAGACATACTGATCAGACCCGTATCCCCGGTACCAAATCTCATCTTTGACCTTTTTTGCAACCTGCATCCCAAAATCTAGATTTTTCAGATAAAGCAGCCAAAGTAACGGAATGCTCAACTTACGGGTCATAAAACGGTGCGTCTCTTCAAGGTCGGGGTGTTGGTATCGCATGTGAGACAGCTTCTTGAGATGAATACGGTCCTTGCGATTGATCTTTTGCTTTTCAAGCCAGCTTCTCTGTGATTCATTGGCTTTGCCAACGGCGACCACGTCAGGGACTGTGGCGCCAATATTGGGCTTGACAGGGGTTGCTTCCATCTTGAATAGAGTTAACTGCGTAGTGATTCAATTCAAGGCTATCCTTTCGGCAGGAATAAATTGTGATGTCAGGTGGTGAGTAGTTCAGTCATCTTATATATGTTAAGTCTTCCCCATGTATATCCGCTGTGTAAATGGCAAAAGGATTGATCCCACATCAACTGAGGATCAGCCCCACCCCTGCTAGTATATAATCAACCCGAAACTCTTGAGATAGTGGCCATAATAATTCCGTTGTTGACTCAATATGCCTACTTTCACAAGACTTGTGCGGTTTTCCGCCGGCTCGCAATCTCACTATGGAGATCTCCTGGCCTTTACGGACGGGAAGTATACGGTCCGGAAGCTGAACGGAAACCCGTTCACGAAACTGGAAACTACAGAGGAGACTGTCCAGATTGACACAGTAAGTCATTATTTCACAAGAGGCTAGGATACATAATTGACCGTTTGCAAGCTTGAGTGTCCACTCGAAAGTACCCCGGTCATCGTTTGCATCGGACTGAATTACAACCAGCATGCGAAGGAGGCGAATGTCAGTATTGGGCATGTATATTTTTAATTGATAGCTACTGACTTTGACAAATAGCTTCCTATCCCTACTTACCCTGCCGTGTTCACCAAGCCCGCTGACGCACTTGCCGGACCCTTTGAAGCAATTGACATACACCCCGACGCCCGCGAGCTTCTCGACTACGAGGGTGAATTGACCATTGTGATCGGTATAGACGCAAAAAACGTGTCGGAGGAAGATGCTTTGGATTATGTCTTGGGATATACAGCTGGAAACGATCTATCGGCTCGAAATTTCCAGCTGCCTGAAGCCTCTGGGGGCCAGTTCTGCTACGCCAAATCCTTCGATCGATTTGCGCCCGTTGGCCATGTGATTGTGGCCGCATGCGAGATTCCAGACCCCCAGGCACTGAAGCTGACTACCAAGGTCAACGGGATTGTCAAGCAAGAGACCAGCACCGGTGACATGATCTGGAGTGTCCGTCATATTATTAGCCACCTTTCCCGGGGCACAACCCTCCGAAAGGGCACCATGATTATGACGGGCACTCCATCTGGTGTAGGTTATTTCCGGAAGGAGTTCCTTAAGCATGGAGATATTGTTGAGGTGGAGATTGAGGGAGTTGGAGCAACCAAGAACCGGGTTCGCCACAACTGAGTGGTATAGGCCCCGCATGGTAGACCCCACATTTGGAAATAACGGAGGTCGGAGCTTAGAAGGGACCAAATAGTCGTCCTCGGACCTATCGGAAGTCTTATCGTTTATGATCTTACCGCTCGATTAACATAGCCTCATGGGAAAATTTCGGATATCCATTGGATAATATTCAATTTCACTTTTCCATTCCTCTTCGCTTTATAACTTTAATTGTTTGATAATTTTTGGATACCGTTAGGGGGAGTGAGTCGCTATAGTACCGAGAACGGGGAATATGCCTCGCCTACTTTCCCGTTGAAATAAACCTCCAAATCTAGTTCCGTTGGGTTTACCGACGATATTTCTGCGATATGCCGCAAAATGCTATCAGGTCTCGGTCTACATCGCCGTATCTGGGCTTGAAGGCCCAGCGCAGGCGCAAGACCTCCAAGGAAGAACGGATTTGTCCGGTCTGCGCTCAAGCATTCAAGAAAGCGGAGCATCTGGCCCGGCACCTCCGGTCTCACACAAAAGAGCGACCATTCAATTGCCCTGTGTGCCACAAGGCATTCGCTCGACAGTAAGTCACCCTGAAGGTAATTAGGGACTAGTCAAAGCCAGCGCTGATATTCCGAAGGGATACTTTGTTGCGGCATTCACGGTCTCACCCCGCTAATAATGAGGATTTTGAAGTATCAGAGATGAACTGTGAGCCAGTCGGTGGCGGTCATGGGCGAGACATGAGCGATGAGCCTTTGATAGCCCAACCTCCCTTCGCCTTGACAGTCTCAGGCCAAATGGAGTCCGAGTCGATGGTAGGGAACATGATCCCTCCTGTCTCCCCACCTAACAGTGCATCGATTGGTAGCCAGACTCTAAACCTTTCTGCCCCTGACAATAGTATATATAATTCCCAAATGGCCTCTTTGACCCCGTCATTATTTTTGGAAGCAGGAGAAGATTGGGACGGCAGGTCACAACTCGCCTTGAGGGATCACCAGCTCGACCGAGATTGGGAGACCCTATTGACTGGGGAGTACTTCGATTTGAATGCTGTGAACATGTCCCTCTACGCAACCTCTGAGCCTTTTCCTACAATCGACACGCTACCCAAGATATCCACCACTCGGCCACATCCTATCTCAAATCTTGACGAGCAATTGAATCAACGTCAACGTGCTAGCTCAGTCCAGCGGAAATGGCATACTTCCTCCGAGCTGACGTCTTTCTCGGGAAAGATGACCCCGGATTTGTCCCAAGAGGGCAATGACATAAACGAGTCTTACCGCGAGAGACTCGCGGAACATCTCCAGCAACCAGTGCAATATGGAGTCCTGCCATCTACTGCATTTCTTGTATGTTTGGTCTTTTTTTGATCCTGAACCATCCTGCTAACTTTTGAATAGGGCCTTTGTATTCAGGCTTATTTTTCAAACTTCCACCCTCTATTCCCGGTTGTCCATATGCCCACATTCCGACCGGGCACACAAAACTCGATACTACTTCTCTCCATAAGTTCTATCGGCAGTCTATTTATTGGATCGACCCGCGCGCTGGCTCATGGAATCAGTATGTTCGAGCGGCTCAACAAAGCCATTTTAGCATCGGTATTTTTTACCAAAAGTAAAAGTGGCTGAAAAACGCTAACAGTTGCAGTGGGACACTTATGTGTCAAAATCAGGGTGCTCATCCACGATAGCGCTGCAGGCTTCACTTATAGGCCAAACATTCGGTCTATTGATGGGGGTATGTCTATATTTTATTGCCTACCTTCTCTCGGCCCTAAAAACGTCGTTTAATAGACTAATTTTCCACCCGGTATCTAGAGACCAAAAGACTTGTTTGGTATTGAAGTCTTCCATGGAAGTGTAATCGCCGTGAGTCTTCAAAGCAGGAAAGGGCTAGTGGTGTGATCTAACAGTATCTAGTGGGCGCGCAAAGCCAAACTGTTCCATTTAAGACACTCAGATTGCAACATCCTAGATCTAGATGGCAATGCTCTACAGGATGCTTGGGTTTCATGGGTCAAAACCGAGGTGAACCTGCGGTATGCAATACTCCAAGCGCTCGTATTCCTCTAAATAATATCTGACGTCCACAGGATCGTCCTTAGCCTCCACATTCACGACGCCGAACTCGCACGATTTCATCACCACGAACCCCTCCTCCGCCACTCCCTCGACCGACTGCCCCAGATATCATCCAGCGAGCTCTTCGCAGCATCAAGCGCTAGCGACTGGAAAGCACTACTAGCAGAAACCCAACTTCAAAATCTAGCAAGATCAACCTGGCCCCAACAATCCTCAGCAAACACCCAATCCCAATTCCAGTCCCAGCCTTGTTCCAATCCCCCCTTGGCACCCGGCGACTTCGCCCTAAGCGGGATGCTAGAATCTATCAGCGCTCTATCTAGCGATGACAACACGACAACAGCAGAATGCCGCAACCTCCTAACAACCTGGTATGCTGACTACGCACCAGAAACCCAAAGCAAGCCATCTTGGCTGAACCTACTAATCCTGTGGCACTCAATATTCATAACCCTACACGCAGACTTCAACGCAATAGAAAGCGCCTGCGGGCGCGACGGCTACGACGCAGCCCAAAAGCACATCCCGTACGCCCGCTCATGGGCCCGCTCCCTCGACGCAAAGCGCTGTGTCCTCCACGCCATGCTCATCCAGAAGAATTTCGAGTCACTCCCTGTTGGCGCCGAGCCGGCGATTCATGTCCCACTTTGTCTGTACCACTGTGGTCTTGTTTGGGCTTGTTTTATGTGTTTTAGTGATGATTTCGAGCCAGTTACCGTTGATGCCACGGATAATTTGCAGTTTGGCGAGTTGCAGCTGGATGGTGTTGATGGTATTGGTATCTTGCTTGGGCAGGCTGGTGCGCTACTGCCGAGGAGGTTGGCGACGGGGTCATTGTTTCGTATCATTGATTTGCTGCAGAAAATTAGCCATTGGAGGATCTCGCAGAGCTTGGCATCGACGCTATTGACGCTTGTTGAGGAGACGCAAGATTTGTTTTGATTTACTCGGATAGGCCTTGCTTATATTACCAATACCAATCAATCTCTACAACAATTTTGCCACATATTCCAATGGTTCTCACCGTAGCCTGAAATATGACAATGGAGAGTCCCTGGCGAACACCCAAGACACCCCTGGGACTTAATCGGCACAAGCTCATTATTGAGCTAACCACCCTGCTGCGCGCGCTCATCCTTCTGGAAACTCGTCGTGCTGCTCGCGCGAGATACTGAACTGTGCGGCCACATTTTCCGAAGTCTGCCCCATACGCTGCGATATTTGTGATGCGACCGGGTGCGAGGACATGCAATCCGACATCTCGGGGCACCGTTATCGGCATTCAAGCTTATGCTCCCAGCTCCAATTGTCACCCCAACGTCAATCGTTCCAGCGATGATTTGGTTGGCAGTGTTCTGTGTGGGCAGCAAGCCGGACGAGCAGAAGCGGTTGACGACGAAGGCTGGGGTAGTTACAGGGTATCCTGCGGCGCGAATGCCGGAGCGGGCGACATATACCGAGCCTGGGCAGCGGACATGGTCGACACAGACATATTCGACGAGATTTGTATGTTTTTTTCGTGTTGAGTTTTGTGGATTAAAAATAGGGATGCTTCCAAAGTTGCCTACTGTATATTACGTACTATTTTATCCTCAAACAATATTTAAAGGCTTGGTGAACACGCCTACTGCGGTATGCCAATCCCTGTTGCGGATGTTCGTGTGCATGTTCTGTAGCCCCAATTCACCGCTTATAGGGCCCGCGCTGTAAAATTCCCCACAGTGTGTCATAAATAGTAATTTGCTCGTAGTTAAGAATAAATTACGACTTGCTAAACAAAGTAAAGGTAAGCTTGACAGCTTGTAATCAAAAGTAGGAAAAACCCTGGATTAATTACGAGAACTAGAACTAGATTATATGTATAAGAGCGCGTGTATGTGGAATTATTCCAGATTATTTAACGCAAATGCGTTTGTTCAATTCAAGAATAGAAAATGTCTCAAACGTCCGTGTATGTAGGTGATCCGTTTCATACAAGCGGCGTCCCGTTATGTGGGGATCCGTAATTTCAAATAAGGAAAATGTGTCGCGTCTTGGAACCCTTAATGCAAATGACTACTTTATAGTAGAGGACACCAGTTTCGGGAAGTACTGTATCAATTGGTCGCTACTGTACAGCCAGACCAGTTTCGGGAAGTACTGTAGTACTCCAACACCCGGTAGACACTCGATCGGGATAGCAAGTCGACTCACAGAGAGGATCCTGTACCGGAAAAATTGTTGTGTACCGAACGGAAGGGATGGCGGACCCACACGCGGGAGGGCCCGAGCCCCCTCGCACAACCACACCTGGAACGACAACGACCAACGCGTTGGATAACTCTAATTCGACTACTGCGCCTCGGACCAGAAGACAGGCCCGGCCCAGCGATGACCACACCACCGCAACGCGTTCCGAGACCACGAGATCCGGAGACAACAATGGACGCGTCACGACCCGGGACATCTGCCGCCTGATCGAAGGCTTAAAAGAGACGATCGCCTACCAAACCGAGCTCATCCAGTCCACCAAGAACGAACTGCTAGAAGTGAAGCACGACCAGAACGTCCTGCAGACGCAGAACGAGAAACTCCACGAGGAAGTTCGAGCCTTGCGGACACATATTGATGCCCTCCCACCACCACCGACCGCAAAATCATGGGCCACAGTAGCAGCGAGCCACCCACCTTCTCAATCAAACCACCAGCGCCTAGACAAGGACCAAGACTGCGTCCGAATCAGCACCCAGCGCTCTTTCGTGGATCCTAGAGACAATGAAAGCAACGAACCAAATACCTTTGGGCGATATCTCCCAACGGAGACCGCAAACATCCAAATCCGCACGGCGCTGTCGAACGCACCGTCTACACACGACGCCCAAGTAGCCGGGGTTGGCACCACCAAAACTGGATATGTCATCCGGTTCAAAGACACAGAGTCGGCGGAAGCGGCCCGCAACAGCACAGAATGGCTGAACGAGCTAGGAAACAACACGAAACTGGTCAAGGCGCGGTTCGGCGTCGTGATACACCGGACCCCGACTGAGGATTTTGACCTCGAGAACGCGAACGCACAGGCGATTGAGAAAATCATGAAAGAGAACGACCTAACCGAGCCAGGACTCCGGATCGAGGAGGTGGCTTGGCTTAAGAAGAAAGACAAGGCACTAGGGAAGTTTGCCTCCCTAGGCATCTGGTTCGACACCGCGGAAGGAGTGGATTACATTCTAGGCAAGGGCTTCCTGGTCGGCCGGAGATTCATCGACAGTGTGGAACGCTGCGAACTAAAAAGAAAGAGATGCTTCCGGTGCCAACGATTTGGACACCTTACATGGTCATGTAAAGAAACGCCGCGATGTGGACACTGCGCTGGCCAACACGAGCGAGAACGGTGCCCCCCGGGTGTGAGAGCCCGATGCCTCGACTGTGGTGGTGAACACCCAACCAGCGATCGCCAGTGCCAAACGCCGGCAACCTCTAACTCCCAATGTTAGAGAAAAACCTACGTGTACTACAGTTAAACATCATGAAATCGGGATCTAGAATGGAAGCGCTCATCAACGACCACCAGAGCCAGGACCTCGATGTACTCCTGATCCAAGAACCATCTATCACCGCCTATCAAACACACGTCAACCACAGCGCCTGGCGGCTATACCGGCCGACTACCGAGCCTGATGCAGGCCGGTTTCGCAGTCTGATCTACGTCAACCGAAAAGTCTCAACCTCGTCTCATCGACAGATCGCCTGCGACCACCCGGATATCACGGCAATCAAGATCTGGACAACCGACTCTCAATTTCTTATCTTCTCGGTCTACCTCTCATGCGTTCCACTATTCACGCCGAACGAGACGTCGGCAGAATTAGCACTCACGGCAATCCAGAAAACACTGTTAGCCAACACCCAAGAGGATCAAAAGACAACAAGCGTCATCTTGTCAGGTGATCTCAACCGCCACCACCCGATGTGGGGCGGCAACAATATCCAACCGCGATTCATTGAAGACGCAAGCGAACTGATCAACTTCTTTCAAGCGCATGGCTTACATAGCTGTCTTCCACGGGGAACAGCGACATTTTGGCCCTTTAACGACCCAGGGAAGAGCACCACTATCGACCAGACGGTAACGAACCGCCCGGACCTACTCGTCAAATGCCATCTCTACCACGAAAACTATGGGTCAGACCACCGCGCAACGTACTCCGAATGGGACCTACGATCTCAGCGCCAGCCCGCCGCTAAGGCCAGGAAAGCCTACGACCGTGCGGACTGGTGTAAGATCGCCGAAGACGTACGTCGACAATTGGGCCCATGGAAGGAGGTGAAAACGAGACCAGCGCTAGATGAGACAGTCGACAAGCTCACAGAGGCAACGGCCATGGCGGTGGATAAGCACACTCCCGACCTACGACCAACGCCATACTCCAAACGCTGGTTCACCCCAGCCCTCAAAATACAGCAGACCGAGGTCAATCAACTACGCCGGACGTGGCAAGAAAACTGTGCGGAACTCGGGCGGCACGACGCCCGCTCCACGACCCTCTTTCAAGAGATGCAGCGCAAACGACGATTATGGACCCGGACCATCGAGAAGGTGAAGGCGTCACATTGGAAGCAGTTCCTTGACGAAGCCGGGGAAGGGAAGCTCTGGAATGCAGCCACCTACATGAAACCACGAGAAGCCTGGGGATGTGTGCCGGCATTGCACGTCGGCACAAACGAGCTCATAGAAAATGAGGACAAAGCGCAGGCGTTCCTAGACGCTTTCTTCCCGCAGATGGACGAACCTCACGAGGACTTGCCCGCCCAGGCACCTCTCGCACTCCCGTGGCAACCAATCACCGAGCTTGAGATTCAACGATCTCTTCATGCCGCAAAAGGATCTACCGCACCTGGTGAAGACGGCTTGCCGACGCTAGTGTGGAAACAGCTATGGATGCACCTCAAGGTCTACATCACGGGGATCTTCACCGCGTCATTCAATCTAGGATACCACCCGGAGCGATGGCGGAGCGCGAAGATTGTAGTGCTACGGAAACCCAAGAAACCGGATTACTCGGTCCCTGGGGCCTATCGCCCGATCTCACTCCTCAACACACTAGGTAAACTCCTTGAAGCGGTGATGGCGCGCCGACTGTCGTATCTCGCTGAAAAGCACGGCCTGCTACCGGACACCCAGTTTGGAGGACGACCAGGAAGAACTACTGAACAGGCCCTTTTGGTCCTCTCCAATGCGATTGACCGAGCGTGGTACAAACACAAAGTGATAACGCTGGTGGCATTTGACCTGAAAGGTGCCTTTAACGGAGTCAACAAAGTAAGCCTAGACGCTTGCCTCCGGGCAAGGAGAATACCCACCGTGGCGAGGAAATGGATCGAGAGCTTCATGAGCGACCGCCACGCCAGCATAGGATTCGATGACTACCGCACCGAGACCACACCACTGCCGAACGCGGGACTCGCACAGGGTTCGCCCCTGTCCCCGATCCTCTTCGCATTCTTCAACTCTGACCTGGTCGACCAACCTGTCAACTCTCACGGTGGTGCATCTGCCTTCATCGACGACTACTTCCGCTGGCGCGTGGGACGCTCGGCCGAAGAAAACCTAGCCAAAATACAATCGGAAGACATCCCCCGCATTGAGGCATGGGCCCGTCGAACGGGGTCTTGCTTCGCAGCCGAGAAAACCGAATTGATTCACATCACCAGGAAAAGACGCGAACAGCTTCAGGGTCAAGTGGTTATGAACGGTAAGACAGCCGAACCGTCATCCACGGCCAAGCTGCTGGGGGTGGTTTTCGACCAGGAGCTTCGCTGGAAGGAACACGTCCAGCAAGCGATCAAACGCGCAACCAAGGTCAGTGTTGCTTTGGGCGGGCTGCGGCAGCTGCGCCCAGAACAGATGCGACAGCTCTACCAAGCCTGCGTAACGCCGGTCATAGACTACGCGTCGACAGTCTGGCACGACCCTTTACGAGACAAGACCCACCTACGACACTTAAACACAGTCCAGAGAACCACATTGATTCGCATCTTATCAGCTTTCAGGACAGTGGCCACCACGACTCTGGAAGTAGAGGCACATGTTCTGCCAACGCACCTCCGCCTCCGCCAACGAGCACAGAACACCATCACAAGCCTCCACACTCTACCGCGCGATCATCCTATCTGGGATGCACTACGGCGAGCCCAGAAACGGAGGAACAACATCGGGTCGTACGCTCGTTTTCCACTGGCGGAAGCCCTGAAGACCATGAACCTAGAAAGATTGGATGAACTAGAGACGATCGACCCACGGCCACTGCCCCCATGGCGAGCAGAGTCCTTCGCGGAGATTGAGATCGGGTCCGACCGAGAGACGGCAAGAGAACGGGCTGAGACCGTAGGGTCCACATCCGCCATCGTGGTCTACTCTGATGCTTCGGGACGTGAAGGCCACCTGGGCGCTGCTATCGCTGTACTCGACAACAACCTAGAGGTCATTGAATCTCAGCAGGTCCAGGTGGGACCGATGGACCGATTGTCGGTTCACGTAGCGGAGCTGATTGGCATCTTCTACGCTGTCAGTACAGTGTTCAAGATCAGCCATCAGCGGCGAAGAACAGAAGATAGTGAATCAATGTTTGCAACGATCCTCTGCGACAGCAGATCGGCCTTGCAAGCAATCCAGAACCCGGGAAACAAATCAGGGCAACGCATCATCCACGCGATCGTCCAGGCGGCTACAGAAGTCCAAGCAAGCGGAATCGCGCTCCGTCTCCAATGGATACCTGGCCACTGCGATAACCCAGGAAACGACGCGGCAGATCGGCTGGCCAAAGACGCGGCAAGCCCGGGCAAAACACACCCCTTCCGCCCTTTGCTGACAAGGCTGAGGGCGCTTATCCGCGACAACATCCGCGCCCAATGGGAGCGGGAATGGAAAGCAGCTACCAAAGGCGGTCACCTGCGGAAAATTGACAGTACTCTACCGGCGGCCTACACCAGGAAACTGTATGGGAACTTGCCCAGGGGCCGGGCGTACCTGTTGACACAGCTACGCACGGGCCATAATTGGCTGTCCACCTACGCCAAGACCTTTGGCTTCCGCGCCAATGATCAGTGCGTGTGCGGCGCACAAGAAACAGTCACCCATGTGCTGGTGGATTGCCCAAATCTGAGGGAAATTCGACGCAAGTTAAGGAGTGAAGCTGGGGACGCGTTCAACAGCGTGTCGAGTCTGCTGGGAGGCTCAACTGAAGGTGAGAGAGGTAAACCAGACACCGTCTCGCGGGCCAGGACGGTCAAAGCCGTCTTGGAGTTTGCTGAGGCGTCACAACGATTCAAAAGTCGCGCGCCATAAGGGCAGCCTAATGAAACGAGCGGCAACTAGGCCACGATAGGCCTTGACGAGGCTCCAAGTTCGTTTTCAGGAAGTGGGACATCATACATGTACATACTCGGATATATAGTTGCTGTATCCTGTATATCGCTTTGCGAGAGGTCGGGGTAAATGATATCATCCATCCATCCATACTGTATCAATTGGGAAACACCAGAGATAGAGAGACCGGACCATGGGGATGACCACGAGAAGCCAGCGGGTGGGGCTGAACCCCCAGCTTCCAAACCCCCCAACCCGTCGCCCATCTCCCACCCCCGAAGCCGCAAACCCCACAATCTCACCCGAATACCCCAACGTTGAGGACTTTTCTCTCGCCGAGGATGATTCTCATGATGAGGACGATTCTCACGTCGAGGATGATTCTCATGATGAGGACGATTCTCACGTCGAGGATGATTCTCATGATGAGGATTACTTTCTCGTCTCAATCATCTACGACTACTCCACCATCACAGCCCGAGCTCGTTCGTTCCAAGGAATAGTGCTTGCTAGGGCCACTCCGCTCCAACTGGCCCAGAATGGCTTCTATTACCGACCTTCGGGAGTCAGCAATGTGGCATGCTGTTTTGCCTGCCAATCGACCAAGCACTTATCCACCTTCCAATGCACCCCGTTCGAGGAAGTGCAACAGCTACACGAGGAAGACTGCATATGGCAGATAATCTCGTGCGATTGAAACACCACCTCAGAACCCCTAACAAACCCCCTCCTCAACCACCGCATTCCCCTCCCCTAAACCGTCAACTCCTACCGCCGATTCCAGTACACAAACTACAGACGACTCCAGTATAAAGTCTCGAACTCAATCCACGCCGATCACATTTACTTCAGCGAAGGAACGGTTGAACACTAACCTGGACTGCTGTTCCAATCCGCTACCCACCATAATAGACCCAGAGCCTCAACAACCTCCAACAGCCCACTCTCCCCAGCTTCATCAAACTATACCGTCCATCACTTCCTCGCCCCAATATCAACAAACAACGTATGCTTCCGTCCTCCAGCGACCTGTCACATCCATACCGCGACCGACTCCTCCAGTGCAAGAACCTTTTCTTCCCGCCAACCCCACAGTCACAATTGAACATCTTCATCTCCGTTTTCACAATAAACCGTCACCGTTCCAGGTCGAGAATAAGACAATCCAACGCTCAACCAAACGAACTCGGAACAAAACCGCATCTGTCACACAATCACTGTCCAGATTCCTAGCCTCTGCTCTGCCCGCGTTCTCGCGGTTCTTAACAGAGATGCAGCCAAAATCGGACGCTTGCTGTCCGTCTCATTCGTATATTTCTCACAGCCGCGCCATGAGGGCAGCCTAATACCGCAAACGGCAGCAAGGCCACGACAGGCCTTACCAGGTGAGGCTCAAAGTTCACCGTTCAGGCAGTTTGGATCAATCCCAGGGATCAACCAAGATGTATTTAGAAAGTTGCTGTAGCCTGTATATCGTTCGCGAAGTTGGATCCCAGGTCACGTGATGTATATAGATCTATAGGAGTGGCTGCCTGTTAGGCAGACACTCCGCTAGGCAGCAGGGAGATGAGCTGCTGCAACTACAAATAGCTGGATCTCCTCATATGGATGAATAATATCACACTTGTACCTTAATCCAGGGTTCAACTCGCGAGAGGTCAGGGTAAATGAATTCTACTACTACTACTACTACTACTACTTTATAGTAGCCATGTGGGGCCTATCGCCATATTCGGTATGTGATGTCAACTGTGAATACGGAGATTCGCTCTCTCCCCCCTCCATCTCCTGTTCAAAAATGGACAAGCGATCCCTCGTCATAAAAATTTGTATTCAACCTCAGCGAACATGCCAGATATCCAAAGAGGCGGACGCAAGTCTGTCATCGAAAATGTTCACGTTTTTGACGGAGCCGGTTTTACCGAATGCCGGTTTGTGGTAATAGATGGTGGCATGATTGGTAGCAACCCGCAAGGAGCAGAGGAGATAATTGATAGACATGGCCGTTTTCTTATACCTCGCTTAATTGATGCCCATGTTCATCTACATCATGAAGGGCATCTGCAAGAACTTGCAAGCTACGGAGTGACCACGGCCTTAGACATGGCGATGTGGCCTGCCGACAAAATGAACGGACTACGAGAAAATCCCGGTCTACCAGATATACGGAGTGCCGGACTACCAGGCACGGCTGCCGGTAGCATTCACAGCTGCATGCTGCCTCTCCCGGAGGAAGCGTTACTATCCGGTCCCGAGCAGGCCGAAAGTTTCGTGCAAAGGAGGATCACGGAAGGGTCTGACTATATCAAACTTATCTCAGACGTTCCTGGGCCAGTCCAAGAGACTCTAAATGCTGTTTCTCCTGCTGCACACCGGAAACATAAGATGGTTGTGGCACATGCTTCGGCTATCAAACCGTTCAATATGGCATTGGAGGCCAACGCAGACATCATAACCCATGTACCACGAGATGAGCCTATCGCTACAGCTACTGTGCAGCGGATGGCTGAAAACAAAGTTGTCTCCGTGCCGACATTAACGATGATGCAAGCAACGTCTTCAAGGCCGCCCCTTAGTGCAGCGCTCGGTATGATGGTTTCAAAGCCTTCACTTTTTATGGCTATCTTGAGAGCTAAGAGGAATGGTCGAGGTGAACAGACCCATGAGAATGCTAGGGATTCAGTCATGGCTATGTACCGTGCTGGCGTTCCCATCCTTGCCGGCACTGATTGTCACGACGAGCCGAATTCATTTTTCGAAGTCAAGCACGGAATGGCTTTACATCGGGAACTCGAGCTTCTCGTTGAGGCAGGCTTGGCCATCCTTGATGTCTTGCGTGCGGCAACAATTTTGTCAGCAGAGCATTTCAAGATCTTTGATCGGGGCATTATTGCTGAAGGGAAACGAGCTGACCTTGTTCTCCTGCGTGAAGACCCGACGAAGGATATACTTGCATCGCGTAGTATCGATCGGGTTTGGTGTGCCGGAATTGAATTCATGCATATTGCATAGGAACTTCGTTTTTTACTCTTGCTTTCTTTGTTTCTGCCTTGTTTGCCCTATAACATTCATTTTTTTACCAGATCTGGAATTGGTAATGCGTAGTCTTATTAGCTGGTTATGGTGTGGTAGCCAGTTGGTCCCCCGTCCCCCGCGGTTCTAGACGACCCTATGGGGCTATTCCATTTAAGGTATAGTCTGGGGTGGTGAGTTAGATGGTTTTAGGAGCTGTTTGCTCTCTTCCTTTCTATCCATCTTCTCTCTTTTCGTTTCTCGTTTCTCGTTGATTCAGATCAGGATAACAGTGGCGGTGTGAAAATGGCTGGCAGCAGCCACTTCATTCCTCGAGCTCAAAGACCGGCAGGTAAATAATCGCTCCGATGCAACGAACAAGCTGGATCTTCATATAGACCAAGATTTTATCCTATTACGATTAGCAATATTCCTTTCGGATGACCCAAGCCTTTTCTTTTTATATAGCATGTTATAGTGCTTTTTATACTCCTTACTTAAATCCCATCCCCCACTATAACGCAGTCAATTGAAAATGGAGGCAGTCACGTACCTGTTGAAGTCTGGGTATGTAATAAATTGAAGAGCAGTCTATAGCAGGTACTGTTGAAGGCCTCTTTGCCATTATATTGCGCGTTAAATATAGAACCAATCTCCGTGGTCGATGCAAGCATAGAAAGCCTAGTTGGTCATTGCGAGCGTCACTGGAAACTCCCAGAAATACGGAACGTCTTCTTATGAGCAAGATAAAGAAAGAAGTGCTTGTAGATACGAGGCATTGCGGTTTGCTTATACGAGACACGCCCCGACGTCAATGTGTTCGTGTTCAGGTTACCACGTGTACTTAAAATATGTGAATATTGAATACTGATAGATATAAGTAAATGTTGTATGGGTACCAAAATGGTAATATTAAACTCTCTGATCAACTAAAAGCTATGAAATTGGCAATTTTGCAGGGCATGTTGACAAAGAGTAATATGCCACTTTTATGTGAGGTGTCTGATACCGATGTCGTAAGATATTCTCGGGTGAATATCCAGAAATCCATATGTAGACCCACCATATTTCTAGCAGTTACTTCTGCTAAGGTAAGCTATGTATTTTCCAGACCTACCAGCGTTCCAGACAGGCATTGGTAATCCAGGCCAAGGAGACTGGAGACATGGGTACCCGTCATCTTTGGGAGCATGTGAACAAGCAATACCTTCTGTTTCTTATACAAGCCACGGGAAAACGTTGACCAGCTACAATCCGTGTAGGCCATGGGCGGTGGGCTTCTTTACGACTTCCACTTCTGGTAAGCAGGCAGGGTTTAAAGACAGGATTCACAGCATCAAGATCAAGATAGGGTGTGCGTAGTTACCGAAGTTTTATTGGCATCATTCGAAATCAGCCATCCAATGTTTGTACATTTCGCCAATGTCCATCAGATGCTACGTAGCAGCATCGGAACGAACCAACCTCACATACGTACGAACTCACCCCACCCAGCTGAAACCGTCAGATTTGATGACAGCAGAATGAATCACCCGTTTTTAACTGCAACGAGATCGGATCTACAAGTCTTCAGCTGCATTTCAGCTGGGAGGATGCTCACCACTTAGATATTAACAAATCAATCCAAGATTTCCCTTCCATGCTGCCTAGGTCTCCGTCTTACAAATAAGCATTTCAACTCGTATTGATGCCACCTTCCTTAGAATAACCAATAGCTCGATGTGCAGGTGCAAAGGGCGTTCATTTGCGACAGGCAAGAACGTTTTGGATTACCATGAGGTGATATTACTGTGATTTACGCCACCTCATCAAAGTACCTCGACAAATGCAAGCTGGCGGAAAGGTAACCTATTGCGGCCTAGTGCACTGTTAGGTGGGGCCTTGGGAAACAAAGAGACAGAGATTGGGGTCAACCTGATTTCGAATATTACTGTAACTCTGCGTTACTTCAAGTTGTGTGGGGTGCTGCTGTCTCGCCTTTGCCAGTTGGTACTCGAGTTCCCTATTATTGAGCTCAAGGGCGCAAGCCTTTTGGTGAGCTATCTTGATGTGTTCAATGAAACACTGATTTTGCTCCTCCAAACCAGCTTTTTCCTGTGCGTGGGCCCGTAACATGTGGTTGGATTTTTGAACACAACAGTTGCCTCGTATTGTTTTGTTGCATTTTCGAAATTTCAGCATATATGCTCGTAATGTTAGTTCGGAACTGGAGGTTAGCCCTGGAATGGACGGGGCAACGGTGAAATCATGCGGGGGTGATGGTAGACCGGAAACAGACCTGGGGGTAATCTTGAAAGAGCTACGGGCCTCTAGGAGTTCTATCTTTGCAATAATCAAGCCGCTGTAGGTAATCATGACTGCTTGCTGTTATTTCCGTATGACGACCAGTTGTGCGCTTGGAATACTAGGTAGAGTGTAGGAATCTGGAATCTTCATTTGTCTCTTATAATTCCTAGTGGTATCTAGACTTTATCCTGGCGAGGATGCTTAGCATGTAGCTCTTCGACCGGCGCATCAACTCCATAGTTCATAATGCTCTTCAAATCACCCAGGAAAACACAAGAGATGATAGCCACGACGCCGAAAGGGGCTGCGATGATGAAGACAATTCGGATGCCGTCCGCATATGCCTGTTCGAGAGCCGTAACACCAGCGGCGATAATGTGGGAACTAACGCCCGTCACTTTCTGAAGTGCTGCAGTATCCTGTGATGTGAGAGCCTTGATGAACTCAGCAAGAGAAAACTCTGGGAGGCCCACCTCAAGAGCTGCTTGGGCTGTATATGCGGGGATATACTTCTCCAACCGACTATTCAGTGCCGCGGACGCAATTGCCGTGAAGACTGCCGTAGCCACAGCTCTGGAACATGTAGTAGCAGCGCTTGCCGTTGCAATGAGGTGGTGCGGTACTGAGAGCTGAACGCCGGCGATAACGAGTATAAGGGGTGCTCCAAATCCAAGGCCGGTAAGGGCGGCGAATGCAAGGGCATTGATATCATCTCCAGGCTGGATGGTTGCTAGTCCGACAATACCGCCAGTGAATATCATAAATCCGGCTACCATTGGGAAACGTATAGTGCGGAACTTCACGCTTATGTATCCGTATAACAAGGTACTCAGGGCTGAGGAAATCCAGTAAGGTTGTTGTCTAGCAGCATCAAGGAAAGCATCCGTTCCAAAGAGTGATGTGGTTCTGTAAGACATTTTGTTAGTTCACCGGGAAAACCACTTCTTGGTAGAAAAGGATACTCACAGGACTGGATAAAAGATGACGTAGGCAAAGAGGAAAATGCCCTCAATAAAGATGAGGCCGATGCAGATTCCAAAAGTGCAACCAGTTTGATTAACGCCCCTAAAGAGATCATGATGAAGAATCCCAGTTGTGGTGAATCTCCACTCATAAATACCAAAGGCCACTAGGGTAAGGATGCCAGTGATCAAGGCCGCTAACACCGAAGCACTGGCCCAGGGATAGAGACCACCACCGAGATTAAGGCCAGTAAGTAGTAATGTAAGCCCTGCCGTCAACAGGAAAGATCCAGGAAGATCAAGTCGACCAAGCTTCTTCCAAAACGGTAAATGATCTAAGCAGGTGTGTCGTTTCGGTGGTTTGTAGCCAACAAAGAGGCAGACTGCTGTTATCCCCCAGAGGGCCATTTGAATCCACTAAATCGGCCGTCAATTCAAAAATGCTATAGGAAAGGCCGGCTTATACTCACGTAGAAGTAACGCCAGCCGGTGTGCGGGTTCTTTTTGGTCAATGACCCAATGATCAAAGGACCCGAGCAGGCACCAAGGGCAGCCGCAATGTTCATAAAGGCTTGTGCCACTGCAGAACTTAGTGTGAACATTTAACAAAGTAAAATCTTCTCTAGGCACTGCAAACATACTCGGTCGCCACTTTCGTGGAAGAATCTCACTGGGAATACAATATGCCAACGGTACAGTGGCAAATCCGAATCCGATCAAGACCTGAGCAGCGATAAGACGATATATACTGTCCGAACCTGGCGCTATCGCACAGCCAATAAATGATATAACAGCTGGACCAACTAGTAGTGCTTTGCGGGCTTGGAAGGTATCTGATGCAGAAGATATGAGAGGGGCGAGGACGGCTTGAACAAGGGAGAGTGAATTCGGAACCCATGTACCAGCCACGGTATTGTTTAGGTCTTTTTCGATATAGGACAGCTTAAGGATAAAGCCCTTCAGCTTAGAAACAAACCCAAACAAAAGGGGATGATTGACATACGCCTGATGGAGGCCCCAGGAGACCAAAGACTTGTACCAGGTTGAGAAGAAACATAGCAGCCAACGTGAAGTATGTCTGCGTATGAATCTCGGGCTCTTCATCACCTTCATACACGAAATTTCTATCGGAAAGGCTTTCTGCTTGTTCAATATGCTGAAATTGTTCCACACCCTTCTCCTGGCTTAAGGATTCCGGACCCTCGTGGTCCACTGCGGAAGACATCTGGATATATGGAAATAATAGAGATAGATGAAACGAAAAAGAATACAGACAAGTTCATTTAAGTAGGGCCGGACAGCGATCTTGCCGCTTTATACTTTGTATCCCCAGATTTCGACCTGGTCGAAACCTACCGGGGCCCCGCGTACGCTCTCCGTCTTATCCCCGCAAACCAATTGTGGCAACTATCCCCATACTGCGCCACTCGAACCTACGCCCATTTAATAAAGTATTGAATCAAATCAGAATTAAGCAAAATGTGATATGACCTCGACCACAGCTAGAAGCCAGAAAACTAAAAATTGGACGACAGGCTATAGGCGGGGAGTAGCTTCCAACCATACCTAAGAGTAAGCTATCGCGCCAAGGCCTCGGTCTTACAGCGCGTTAGGGCGTGAGTGTTCTATAAACTTCTGCAGCCTTTGTTCCCAATTAATGCTTATTTGCGCATTTTACACCACTCAACTTCGTTCTATTTCCAATTTATTTTATTTTTCTGTTCTATATCTTCCATGGTGGACAATGATGGTCCGGAACTGCTCACGTCAGGAGTTAAAAATTTTCAATGTGGGAACGTCCAGATTTTCAAGACGCGGTTTCATACGTGATGTATAGGGGAACCACATCGACCTTGTCTTGGATATATCGGCGTTCGATAAAAAAATGATATACGGTAAAATCCGTCGAAGGTTGGGGCTTGGCGCTGTCTAATCGTGGAATTGGATGTGAACTGAATACGAAAGCCTGACTGACAAGGAATAATGTCAGAAACACGGTGGATCTACATTTGGGTTTCCCGGTATTTACTTCTTACGACATTGGTATCAAACACCGCATATAAAAGTGCATATCACTCCTTGTCAGCATATCCTACAAATAGTTGAGAATTTGATATTACCATTCTGATTTCCATACAATATTGGTCACTTGTTTCGGTCAAATACTGGTAGGCTGAATTACACTCGGAAAAAGAATACACTGGTTTTGCCACAGCATTCCTTCCGATCGACAGAAATTTGAGCACAGTTTTTGGTGCCAACACCAAAAACATCCTGTTGTTATGTGGGCTCATCTTTGGGAGCGAAGAGAGGCGGCGGAAGGGATAAAAAGTCTGGGTTAAGCGCCCCACTCCCAGGTTCTGCAGACTAGGGGAAAATGCGCCAATGCTGTAGCTCTGGTTTGAACAAAAATCAGCAACCCAATAATTTTGCCTGGGTTACGGGAAGTGTCTTCGAAGGCTCCGACAAGCCATTGCCCAATGGTCCCACAAAGGGGGGACCGAGGCACCCCCGGTGCGGTCTGCCGCCGGTAGGACTATAAAGTTCGACGGTGTCGCACGACATCACCATTGCCATACGGGTCATGGTTATGGGCCACCAAATGGGATGGCCTTCGCTGACTTGAAGGATCTGTATCTGTCGACGATCAATTCTATCTTTTATTTAAGTTCTCGTCATAATATGGGGTAAATTACTTTCGTGTTAATAGTCCCTGATTAGCAGGGAATGAAGAAGTAAATTTGAAGCTACGGTTCGCTGGCTCTTTGATCTAAAACCTTGATCTCGTGTGTGATGCTATGTGTGTCGGCTAATATTCGTCCGTGGATCAACCTCCACGGCACTTCTTAGTATCACCGATTTTCTTTTTACAGACCCCCCACCCCACCATCCCCCCGGGTGACAGTGAGGTAGAATTAATCATTTCTCTGAACAACAACACAAATTGTAGAGCTTACCTGCTTCAATGCATAATTTCTTCCGTGAGAAGGCCATCGAAGGTAGTACGCTCAATCACCTTGACGTCGATATTCGCCCCATCGGCACTATCGCGCCAAAATACCGGGTCTTATCGCCCAATTGGGCTTGATGGGCCTAGCTGTCCCACAATGATGAGACGTAAGGAACTCGATACTTCCAATGGGCCCGAGCGACTTGAACTCAGATTCGGAGAGCAATGACGCTCATCCCGCCGGGTAATGCGGGGCGTGAGGATACGGAATATTGAGAAGGAAAGCTGGTTTACTCTTTGATTTGCCCCACATAGTTACCGTAAAGACGATTTGTAATAGAATGGAAGCCGTGGGATCAATACTTGAGGGTTTATGTGAGGGCACCTAATGAATATGCGTCTCTTAGTGGTTTTGTGTCTTCCCCGTAGAGTAAGCACGATACTGTAGCAGTTCAATTCTATGTGGAAACTAAACACAAGTCTATAAAGGTACGGGATTATATCATTCAAAATTGGGATTAGTTTGTCACAAGAGATCTGACCAAGCACCGAATCCTACCGTTCCGACTTGTTGTTTATTTTACAATGTCTGAAATTGAGCACATAGTTCTCTGGCCTTTCAAGGACTCATCCGATCTGGAATCCGCCACCCAGGCAATCAAATCGATTGGTACTAAAGCTGTTCGCGATGGGAAGCCTTATATCGTGTCTGTTAAATGCGGTACAACCAGGCCTTGCCCCCCAGTCAGAAGTTATGGTGAATTCAATCTTCAACCCCTATAATGTACATCGAGGCTGACTCGCAACGGTACAGGATTCAATCTTGCCTCGATCGTTCGATTTAGATCGGAGGAGGATCGGAGATACTTTGTGAAGGAGGATCCAGCACATAAGGAGTTGATCTTACTACTGAAGGATAAGGTTTCTTCCGGCCTTCTGGTGCTGGACTTCATTGATGGTGGCGTAGAAAATGTACCAATTACAAAATGTTAAAAGAAAGGGTGTTTTTGGCAAGAAACTTCAGATAGACAACGATGATAGCGGAAGTTACGGACTTCGATTTTTTTGTTCCGCACTCTGGAGTATTATTCGTTCCCGATCGCATTTCTTGAAGTCGATGTCATTTTCAAGGGACCATGGATAAATGCCGCGAATCTGGGTTGGCTTCATATGTACATACTCGTTTTGGCTTGCTAGGTACTGATATTAAGTGTATCTCATGGTGCACCCCAACATGCAAACATGCAAACCCCTCAGAGCCCCTAGCAATATGATTCAACATGATCAGCTGTGCCTCGAACAAGGGTTCCGGGGATTAGCAGCGCATCATTTCTACGTTAAGCCCTGGGATAGTAAATCAAACATTCATTAGTTTCACTTAGTGAAGCTTGGGATTAGACGATAGATAAGATCTAGACACTTTTGAATATGTTATTCGGTTGTAACATTCGCTACTACCGGGTACAAAATGTAAGTTAAGTCTTATAAGAAGGTATCAGGATCTAAGGCTAGGCTCACATTATAGAGAGCGGCACGTCTCGGTTAAAACCACTAGAAGTCTTCTAGTACGGTCATATTTTCCTCGAAGTTAAAGTCAAAATCTCCTAATAGTTGCATTCCTAGCAATCACGACTTAGTCGAAGAGTAAAAAGAGCGCGAAACCTTTAGAACCGTAAATTGCAATTATGAACCCTCCTAGAACTAATTTTCAGTGTAGAATCTTGGCTAGCCTACCTACAATAGTAGTAACCCTAGTCCAATATTAGGCTCGAATATAATATAAGTTAATATATAGAATTACACAAAAGTCTATATCCGTCGATCTAAACATTGATTTCTCGTTTACACAAACTTTATCTGACATCGAGTTTTAACTAAAGTTTGTGTTATAGTGTACGTAAGGCTTTATTCTACCTCCTGAGATACTAAAAAATAAAACTGAACAGTACCACTCTCGAGTTCATTGTCAGGAAGTGGTTTACTCTAAATGTACACATACGGATATGTATGGTTGTAATAGCATGAATGTCGCTTTGGCAGTTGGATTCTAAACCACAACCCACTAGACTGTGTACGGATTCGCATTTTGGTCTAGTGGTTAAATTAACGTTGGCGAGGGGTTAGGGTGGATGAAATCCACCTACCCATCTACCGGCTATACCCTCCTCCTAGGAGATGAGAGAGATATTAAAACAGGCACCGAAAAAGGCATAGATAATGTCAACCAAGAAGGTGCTCCGTAAAGAGAGGCCACTCAAGAGGTGGTTGGAACCTGTCTGTATAACTTCCTACCTCTGGAACTTCTATAGTTCTTACGTCTACAGATTGTTGTGCTCCCGGGAGCACTCGGGCTTCTAGGCGCTAGACAAGAGTTCCTGGGAGTCATCTAGTGCACGCTACCATTCTCTGCATCATTTACCAATAGCCATGAAGGTACGCCTCTTTTGAAAAGCTGCTTGGACCATCTGAACTGGTTGTATGAGAGGCTCCACTGTATCCTCGAAGTACTTTATTAATGTAAAATTCTTATATAGCCGAGCACATACACCTTTGACAACCTGCTCTGCCTCAGAAAAATCACTTCAAGTTATATTGCGGTCATTTTTACATCTACGGCAGATATTTTTGTCATCGCTGCCATCATGGACTGGAGCTTTGACCGTATACAATCAATGTTCGGTCGAATGATCGGGGATCCCACTCACCGTTTCGAGTATATATGGGTCGAAGATAATGATATTTGTTGCCGAAATACCGTGTCAAAAGATTCAGGGAGAAATGGAGCACAATGCTTCAAGATATTTCAAGATCTTCCTGCCTGCCATTCACCTGAATTGAGACTCTCAACGGCAGCAAGTTACATGATATGTGCGCCATTCCTCTAGGGCCAATAAGTGTGCCCAACGATAGATGCATCTGCTTCACGCTCAAGTCAATCAAGTTGAGAGAACCACACCAATTCAGCAACATGGCTACAACTACGATTCATTGGCACATCGCTGGCCAACTGGTATGATCTGCGGCATTGGCAGAACCCAATGCCTTCTATCAGCGCCTCTGTCCTGTCATGTAACGCATGGTAAGTTCTCATAGGCGGCAAAATAGAGGCAATAATCTCCCAATGAAGAACATACACAACGTATTCTTCGTGCAGCCAGAAATGCCAGATATCGTTACGTCGAGGTCTAAAGATCAATCATTCCGAAACAAACAAGCCTCATCAAACCATTCGGCCTGACAACGCTTTATTACTCCCCAGCCATCACCGCCTGACCATGACCAAAACAATATCCTCTTCCTTGCTGCCTTCTATGTTGCCCTTTGACCTAATTTCCCCCTTCACGGCAACGACCGAGCTTGTTAGCTAGCTTGTTGATAGCGCTAGCCCCACCACCTTCCCCAGCATGGCGCTCGCCTGTAGCCATTTGGTATGAATGTATATTCATACTTGCTGGGGTGCATACCAAACTCGGAGTTGCCTGTACATGTGTCCACTTCCTGGGATCCATCACTAGGCAGCAGCTCTGGTGACGGAGCTGCCGGTCGCCGAACGCGGTCCCATTCAAACGCAGCCTCAAGGGTATCATAAGCAGGCTTGGTTCGTGGCCTGTTTTCGGAAGGCTTGGGAGGACTTTCCACCAGAACAAGCTGAAACTCTAGCGTCAGCTTCTGGGCAAGACCGCCTCAAATTAGAATGGCTCCGTGACTTTTTTAGAAAGTACAGTGAAACAAGGAAATGACAATGTATATCCAAACAGGAATGGTTCTTTATCAAAAAAGGATGTTTCACTGGCATCTATAGCTTTATATCCCTAGCCATTGGGGCCTTCTCGGACCCCCAATAGACTTCCGTTTTTGCGGGCTTTCAACGGGCCACATGAGCTTGTTTCTGGCCATACGCGGTTGCACGAGTATAGAAAGCTTCAGGCCTGACCATCTGTAATGTAACCGGCCGAACTTTGAATTGAGAAAACCTACCAGTTTTACACATCAACAATGACAGCCGCGCCAATTTTATTGACGCCCGTTAGTTCTTAGGGCGCCCCACCCTGGAAGGGCCCCCCGGAGGATATTTATCACAAATTGGAACTTCGGCGTCGAACTTTCTGAGGACATAATCTCTGCCTGGAGGGTAAAATACGGCCCTGATTCTGAAAAAGGGGTGAAGAGAGAAAACAGAAGGGAAAGATTCAAGGGCGCCGCCCCAGGAAAATTCAACCGAGCCAATGTCGCATTTGACAAAATCTTGGCATGCCAGTCAATCAACACCAAATCGCGTACCCTGGTCACGGATTAATGGAGATTATGTCACGGGATTAATTTGCCGGTAGTCTACAATATGTTCTCGTTTTCAATCGCGATCGACCCTGAAGGTGGAGTAGCCTATGAGCTCTCACGTATGAGAGGCAAAATTTCTGCCCCCCCCCCACCCCAATGATCTCCAAAACATGTATTTTACGATTTAACGGCTTGAGCATGGACACCAGCGCGCGATCCACATACTCTGCATTGCTGTAAATATGTACGCCATGTATCATACCCTAGATCTTCTCTAGCAGTTAGCCGCGACGAGTGCGAGCCAGCGTATGATTATCGTCTCTGCAGTGAGGATAAACAAATCTATGAGATCGAAGATCAATCCTATTTAGAAGACAGAATTAACACTATTCTTTTAGTTATTAATGGGACTCTATCCCCCGCGTTAACTGAATGGCCTACCAAACACGGGACAGGTCAGGGCACATAAACAACATACGTGGATAGGGAGAGCCGGGTACGGGGCGAACTACACGGGCCAGGCGAAACTTGGATAGTTGGAATGAGCATGGGGTCGGTATTCCAGTGATCTGTTTATTGAGGATGTTTATGAGGGCTGCCCACTGGTATGTAGGGTGCTCTATCTCGTACAACGCTCAGTCCAACCGCAGGATCACTAGTGACGAACATCACAACAGTTGGGGAGCCTAACGGGTAAGTGGTGCCCTCAGGGCAAAGGGGAAGTAATATGGGTGTGTATTCAATTTCTATACTCTTACGGCTGGCTCTGTCTGGCCCTTCTACGACCCTTGTACGCGGAGCTCGGTGACCACTTCGATTAGCCTTTGGTGGATATCTTGGCGTAGTCTTGGCGTAGTCTTGGCGTGGCATACGCGACCGTTCTCCAATCTATCACGGAATTCATTGTCTCGATGCGAATAACCTTAGTTTACCGGGTGCCTGTCAACATACCTGGCCTCTCACAAACGATGCGGTTTTGGAGCGGAACTTGCCCGACGGCAACATGATCCTCATGCGAATTGCCTCATACCCTGCCGTCAATTAATGAAACCATATACAACGAATGGATAGACAATAGATAAATGGAATATTGGTTGATTTGTCTCCATTGTGATAATTTCAAAAGCCTTCAGAGTACCGAGCTGCGCTCTATATGATTGCTGAATGGTGACAGGGCCCATATCACTGCGCCTGGCGCTTAAAGCGCCCGGACTTTCGATTCTCAACAGCACTATTCTTGCTATTGTTCTCCCACAACATTTCTATCTTATCTTTCAAGGGAGCCACTTCTTTTGTTGCCGTGTCAATACAATCCGTGATGTATGCGACCCTTTGCTGCATTCCCTTATTCCACAGGTCCTGGCTCTTGAGTGAGTCCTCAATAGATCTGATGCTTATTAGCGTGTGAATCCTGGTTTCGCCTCTAAGCAGCAAAACTCACTGCATCCGCACATCCAATCTAACAAAAGAGAACTGTTAGCATGCAAGACCACGGGTAATTCCAAAGGGCGGTCTGAGACACTCACTCTGCCATACAATCGAGGATTGTCGATGTCGAGTCTCCGGGGTAGCCAGTGTTCGGAGGCTTGACATATTTGTGTTCATACTCGGCCACACTTTCAGTTTTCATCGCCCGATGAGTGTCCTCTTCATCACTACATTCGTCCATTGAAGTAGCCCCGCCTTCGCCATCGGATTGAACGTCGGTCTGCTGAGGATGATAATCCTCGTCAATAGAGCCAGCAACTGATCTAGATGGGTCGTGAATATTGCTCGACTCAGGTGAACCCGATGAAAACAATTGAGACATTCGGTCTGAGTATCTCTGCAAACTGCCGTTAGGCGGAGGCGTCTGGACACCCATTATTATGTTGCGTGAAGTAGGTCAAGCAGAGAATTTGAGGAACGAGGAATGATGAGTTAGTCATGTAAACACAATGGGGGAATGGGCTCCTTTTAAAGCTCCAATTTGAAACAAGCACTCAAACAGTCTAGAAGTACCCTCAGAGATATTCAGTATGAGTAGATTCATCCCCGCTCACTGACAGAGATCCCTCCGAGTCTTTGAGTGGGCCACGAGAGGAAGAAAGTGAAAGGGAAAAGAAAACAGAGACGGAAAGAAAGTAGTAAGGGAAGTTGTGGTAACCTCAGAAAGCCCGTTGGTTGTGTAGGGCCTATGCTTTCCCCAAGTGTGTCAGGCCCCCTCAAGTTCGCTTTTATTATTTATTATTCCCAAACGACCTCAAATTTACACACAGGACAGGGGTGAAAGACCGTAGGCTAGTCGGAACGTCGGAGATTGGAGAAGAGATTCGTACCTGTGACTGGACTACAAACGAATTTTTACTGGGCCCAACGTTTGAAAACAAGGTGACAAATACCCCTCAGAAATCGACCGTTTTCTCAACGGGTGGGATATACTGACAGGCTGACACATCAACCTCACAAAACCGCTGGTCTTTTCACCCCACATGAACAGCCTGTTTAACCGTGTGTACCCATTGGCTTGAACGGAAATTGCCCTGGCTAACCAAATGCAGGTCCTTCTTGCTTCCGCACTAATCTCTGTCCCTCAATATCTACGTCGGAGCACTATAAACGGTCTGAAGCAGAATGTCTTTGGTGGAGAACCATAGACTAGCGTCTTGCCGGACAAGATCCGCGATACCGTTGCAACAGAAGACCACAATTAAAAAAAGCTGCCCGGTGCTTTTCCATCATTGATAAAGCGTGGTTACCCACAAACCCGACCGACTTCCTTAAACACATCCCATTGCACGGTCTCTACACACCCTCACCTTCCACCGCCATTCTCTTTCAGAGGTTTGATTGTCTTCGCCAAAATGCCCAAAATTGCCTGGTCTCTACCGGAGGAAGAGAACCTCCATCCATGGCTGTTACAGCGTCGACGGATGTCGTAGAAGGCAAGATCCAAGGCATACTTCAGACAGTTCGGACTGAAGCGAACGGGCGAGTCGTTGCGAGGCAAACAGAACTATCTATCACGAGAATACCGCGCTATGCAGAAGAGTCTGTCTGAGGCCTCCCAACCGGGGGAACGCCAGCCACGAGTCCGACGCGAAGAAGCTCTGAGAATATTTCTGCCGCCTCCTCCCATCTTCACACCCAGAGTGTCCAGCACAAAGACCCGCAATTTGCTCCACGCGATGCAACAGCTGGCATATACGGAACGTTGCTGTATGACAGGAGCCCCGGGAGGTGCAGACCAGAGTCTACCAGGTGAGATAGAGATACAGCCGTGGGCGACGGTCAGGAGGGCTAATGATTTGATAGGTTATACGATACAAATGCCACATACTCTAAGATCCGACCCCTCACGCTACGTCGCGTACCGCTGGAAGTTTATACGCCGTGTGGCAGCTGCTTCAAGGGCGTCACAAAATGCTGCGATTTGATGAGCGTTCACATATGTCCCTTCGTTGTACATCCGGATTGTTTTCATACTAGGCCTGTCGCAGTTTTCGCCATATCCATGTATATATATATGATGTATTGCCGTCGTCGGCAGCTTGCTGGCTCAGCACGGCTGAGCTGATCTACGGCGCACTTTATTTAAAACTATTTCAATTTCAAACCCCAGTGAATACTGCCTCATGAACCTTCGAGTCTGGCAGTAATCCCTTTTCTGGATTTAGCCCCAAGAAAAACCTATCGTGATCCCAGCGCTCTCCCGAGAACCCTAGCCTAGACATTCGCTCTACAATGTACGACTGCGGCGTCGCGCTAGGAGTGGATACAAGGTAACGTGTTTGATCGTTAATAATTTATTGATACTACTTTCGCGAGTATCAGGAACCCCTGCGCACAGGGCACCAGCAGTTCCATGGTTCGCGTCGACAGGGTCCCACTGTCTATGTACCCCCCGTCCATCCCGAATTAAATGACCGCTAGGAAGGAAAGATGAAACATATGTGGGGTTGTTTTGTTTATTTTAGTAAGTAGTGCATATTTACGTACTTTGAGTTGTATACCCTTGAGCTTTACCGCAATGGCGGGAGTTTTCTTATTTTGGCTGGTGAAAAGGTTGCTTCTAGGCTCGGGAACATTCTTACTCATGACATTGTATCCAAAGAGCATCGCTTAAAGATGAAACCATATCACTCAGCTGAGTCTTGCCGTAGGGCACCGTCTTTACTGTTGTTTTATTTCTCCGGCTTGGTTAAAGGGCTAATGACTAGTCACTGAGGCACTGCCCGTTTCTTGCGCGCAGGATTGCTCTGAATGGTGGAAACATGATTTATGCTTGCAGTGGATCACATTATCGCAGGCACTAGGCGTGGACCGGTAAATGCCGTGATCTGTGGTTATCATGTGTGAAAAATGGATTTACCATGCGTAAAAATACCGTAAATGCCTAGGGGCGGTAATTTTAACTATCCTAGGTCAACTAGAGCAGAAGGCGATTTGAAACTCACGGAACGAAAGTGCTGCGAGGGATTTCGACAAACTTGTTACGACGAGTTGGGCGAAAGAGGGTCATTTGACCATGACATCTTGAATTCTCGGAGTGGTGAACAGGAAGACAGATCTCAGGGACGGCGTCGTTGAATCAGCTAGACTAGCAAGGTAAACTTGACTGTGTCGCCTGCAAAGGTGCACTTCTGTCTTGGAAAGTGATATAAAATGGGCTTTCAACAGTACCCTTACTCCTAATGGTGTCTTCATAACATATATTTCGCCCAAACATCGAAACCATGCGTCTTGAAACACCTTTCATCCTTGGACTAGCCAAATCAGCATCTGCTCTGTGGTTAGTCACTTACTACACCACAACCGATTGTTCAGGCGCGGGAAAAAAGGTTGGAGGTTTCGAAGCCGGGTGCTGTACTCTGGAAAACGACACAGAATCAGACATGGTCTCTAAAGACAGTGGCAAGAACATTTCCTTGAGTACCGGTAGCACCTACATCCCTCGTTACGAGGATTCCATTCTAAGCGGAGTGATCGACCGCTGTCTCAATGCCGCTATTCGTTCCTTTCTATCATATTAATATTGAGTTGTTTTCTTTGAACTACCTTCCCCCACCACAATTGAAATCTACAAATCAACACTGCAAGTTTCTTTAAAGTCTGGAAAACGCGCTGAGTGGATGTTGATAAAGGGGTCAAGATGAGCAGGCTTCCAGAATCTTCCTGTCTTTTACTATATGTATATAGCAGATCTTAGATACCGGAACTAGGGGAGCACAACAAACAAGTCCCCCTTCTCATTGAAATACCCAAGCCTTTACAGGACAAACCGATCATGCATGACGGGTATCGGGAAAGTGTAGAGGGTTGGAAATTTACAACATGAGAATATGAATATTGCAATTTTTCTTGCTTCTGATAGATCAGCTGCATTGAAATCATATTTAATTCTTTGTTTTACTATGTAGCTATGTGTCACATGTTCACAACTACTCTCCCCCTCCCACCCGCCAAAGCGATCCCTGCGTTGCTAAAGCTTGGTGAAAACTTAGAATAACGAACGATTCCTGTGTAATCGATAAAGGCATGGCGGTGTGGATATAGGCACAGATAGCAGGAGCTTCAAGAGTTCATCTAGAGCTTACTATCGCGCAACCTTTCCACATCCGCAAATTGATAGTAATATGCCAGACTACCCGGGTTGAGCAAAGTGCCCGAGGGCTTGATTACCTTGCCCGACACGATCTGCTTCACAGGCAACTCCACCTTTTTCAAGTTGACGGTGGTCTTATGAAGAATGTCAGCTCCACCTTTCATAATCTAGGGGCTTTGCCTTACTGGAATTTCAGGGGTCTTGAACGTGAACATCGGCACATGGCGGGCACTTAGCTCTGAGCGAATAGCGCGATTGACCCGGCCCACAAGGTCGCGTGTAAATGAAACCCTTGGCTTGAGGAGTAGGAATAGCATGACACGCTCGTCCGTATCTGTTGGTCGTCGCTGGCCAACACAGATCGAATCAGCGATCTCATTTGGGAAATGACCCTCAATGACTCTGTAGATTTCTGCTGACCCAAACCGCACTCCTGACGGATTAAGGACCCCGTCGGCGCGGCCATGGAACATCAGTTGCTTTGTACCTGAATGGATGGAGACAAAGTCCCCATGAGTCCACACATCTGCAGAGTGTCAGCGACTATACGCACACAGGAAGTGGTGGTCGTACTGTCGAATCTCCTAAAGTAGGCATCGTGATATTTTCTGCCGCCCTGGTCGCCCCAGAACATTGTCGGCATGTTGGGGAATGCGAATGTGGCCACCAATTCTCCGGGGACATCCTCCTCAACGGGGACACCCTTAACGCCGTCGCCGCCTTCAATTGTTGAGTCGTAGACCTCCACGGGGACTCCTAGACTAAACCCCGCACACCCGCCAACATATACGGGGACAAGAGGGTTACCCGTACCAAAGCAGCCAGCGATATCCGTGCCACCAGAGATATTGTTCAAACGGACGTGAGATGGGAATCCTTCATCATAGAACCATTCAAATAAGTCGTCCCGTAGGACCATCCCAGTGCTTGTTACCACTCGCAACGAACTTAGGTCGACTATCTCACGGGGCTTGGTTTTAGCTTGCTGTAACTCGTGCAGCCATCGAGGGGAGATCCCGAGGTGTGTTACCCTATACTTGATTAGTATTAACTTGAATAACGGCAAAGGAATCTTACTTCTCCTGCGCTGCAAGTGTAACTAGAGTCGTGATTCCTGATACGAATGGGCTTCCATCGTAAATCACCACCCGAGCTCCAAAAAGCAGAGCTTGTATAGAACACAAATACATAATCCAGCCAGTGGTTGTATATTGCAAGGTAACACTGTCAGGCCCAATCTCACTATGCAAGCTGCCCTCCTTGGTCGAGTTTAGAAGAATGCCACCGACAGAATGGACGATACACTTTGGCTGTCCTGTCGTGCCAGACGAGTAAACGACCAAAAAAGGATCACCGAACCCAACTTTCTCAAACTCAAGTTTCTCATTACCTCCCGCCTTTGAGATATAATGAGCTAGAGTTTGGGTCATCGGAATAGAACTAATATCTGCAGCGGAAGAGAATCGTGGCTGTGAGACTATTCCCTGAAATTCAGGAATAGACATCATTCCGTGGACGATGTCACGGATCCTTGATCGTAGGTCAATATTCTTTCCGTTGTATACAGCCCAATCATCCATGAACAGCCAGCGAGGTTTGATCTGCAACAGTCTATCCAGGATACCTTTAACGCCCATATCCGTAGAACTGGACGAGAAAATAGCGCCTATGGCCGTCGAGGCTAGGAACACGAGGAGTGTATCAATGCTATTTGCAGCGCATACAGCAATGCGATCACCCCTAACGACCCCGTGAGCTTTCATCGCCTGAATCAACACACCAGTCTGTCGTCGAAGCTCTACCCAGGTGAGATGTGTAACCCCATAAGCAGCGCTTTCTCTGACTTCGCTGACGGCAATTTTGTCGTCTTCCTTGCCAGACTTGCCGCCGACGACATGTGAGAACAGCAAGTTCTCGGCAAAATTTAAGCGCACACCTGCAAACCATCCAGGAATGCTGTCCATCCGGGCAGACTCGTCGACTACATTAGTATAGGAGCCCTCGTGGATTAATTGGGAGTATTTCCAACAGAAATCCCAGAATGCCGACCGGTTCTTGATCGAATACAGGTAAATATCATGGAAGCTCTAATTCACGTTAGACGTCAGTATATAATCCCGTTCCAAGATGACTCACTTCGAACATTCGGCCGGTGGAATTCTCGAGGTCTCGTTGAAAATGACCCATCTTGGTCGATTTTGGGTCTGGGTGCTCCCATAGTTTCCGGGGAAGAGGTGCCATCATGAAAAGGAGAATATTTAATTACTAAAAGTCTGGAGGCCAGAGGCTTCAACCCCAGAGAAGCAGCTCATTTATGGTAGTGCACCTTCCCGAGGTCCGAAACCTGATAGCGGTTGCGGTGCAACCCCGTGGGGGCATAAGGCCCGCAGGAGGTAAGGCGAGTTGCGGGATCTACTTTAAGTCGTTTTATTTTGGGGCATTATTGACGAAGAAAAGTATATTGGGATATCTGATTCAATATATCTATAAAGGAATAAATTGATTCCCTAGATCAGCCAGTCTCGTAGTGCTTCATCCAGGTCGGCCTTGGTGTTGTATGCGGCGAAAGCAAAATGATCCTTCCTCACAATGACATGTCGCTTTCCAACACTCCTCCACATGTGTGAGCATCTCATCATAGCCTTGAGGTATCAGACGACGAGCGTATAAAAATGATGGGGCGAGCTTATCGGCCGCAGCAGAGCGGAAGATTCGGTGCCGCTATATCCGACTGATTATATACGGGTAGGTCCCGGATCCCTTTGTCTTGGCGGGCCCTCGATCCGGGGGTACAGGGTATAAAGCGGCCTTATGGCTCTTTTCCCTATGTGTATACCCTTTGATATCTTTATGGATATGCCCTACTTTCCCGACCATGGTCATTATATTCCAATATATCTTCAATGGTAGACCATGACAGTCCGGAATTCCTCAGACAGGAGAACGAGTTAAAATCATTTGATATGGGTACCTCCCGGATTTTCAAGATGCGGTTTCATACGTGATGTGGTGTATAGGGGAACCACCTCGACCTTGTCTTGAATCTATCGGTGCTCGGTAAAAAATGATATACGGTAAGATCCGTCGAAGGTTGGGGCTTAGTGATTTTAATAAAGGAATTGGATGTGATATGACTACCAAAGCCTGACGGACAAGGAATACTGTCAGAAATACAGTGGATCTACATGTGGATTTCTCGGTATTTACTCGAGAATATCTTATGACATTGGTATCAAACACCGCATATTAAAGTGCATATCACTCTTTGGCAAGATATCCTACGAAGTTGTTAATTTCATAGTTTTTAGTTAGTTAGAGGATTTGATATTGCCATTCTGATTTCCATATAATATCGGTCACTTGTTTCCGTCAAATACTGGTAGGCTGGAATTACATCCGGAAAAATAATGGCCACACTGGTTCTGCCACAGCATTCCTTCCGATCGACAGAAATTTGAGCACAGTTGTTGGTCCCAACGCCAAAGACACCCTGTTACGATATGAGCTTATCTTTGGGAGCGAAGAGAAGCCATAAAAGTCCGGTTTAACAGCCCCACTCCCAGATTCTGTAGACTAGGGGAAAATGCGCCAATGCGGTAGCTCTGGCTTGAACAAAAATCAGCAAACCAATTAATTCCCCACACTAATTTTGGCTGGATTAAAGGAAGTGTCTTCGAAGGCTCCGACAAGCCATAGCCCAATGGTTCCGCAAAGGGGGGACCGAGGCACCCTGGCGAGACCTGCTGCCGGTAGGACTGTAGAGCTCGACGGAATTAGAGCGATGAGCGACATCGTGCCGGGGAATGTGGGGCGTGAGGATGCGGACTGTTGATGAGGGGCATTGGTTTACTCTTTGATATGCCCCATGTGGTTACGTAAAGGCGATTTGTAATAGCATGGAAGCCGTGGGATCAATAGTTGAGCGTTTATTGAGGGCATCTAATGGATCTGCGTCCCTTGGTAGCTGTGTGTCTTCCCCGTAGAGTAAGCGCGATGCTGTAGCAGTTCAATTCAATATGGGAACTAAAGACAAACCTATAATGACACCAGGGTAATATAATTCAAAATTGGGATTGGTTTATTTCAAGAGATCTGACCAAGCACCGAATCCTAACATTCTGCCTTGTTCTTTATTTTTACAATGTCTGAAATTGAGCACATAGTTCTCTGGCCTTTCAAGGACTCATCCGATCTGGAATCTGCCACTCAGGCAATCAAATGGATTAGGGTTAAAGCTATTCGAAATGGAAAGTCTTACATCGTATCTGTCAAATGCAGTACAACAAGGCCTTACTCCCCGATCAGAACTTATGGTAAACTCAATATTTATCCTACATAATGCACTTCCAGGCTGACTTGCAACTGTACAATATTCAACCTTGCCTCGATCGTTCGATTTAGATCTGAAGAAGTTCGGGGATACTTTGTGAAGGAAGATCCAGCACATAAGGAGTTGATCTTACTAGTGAAGAATAAGATTGCTTCCGGCCTCCTGGTGCTGGACTTCATTGATAGTGGCGTAGAAAATGTATCAATTACAAAATGTTAAAAGAAATGGTGTTTTTGGCGAGCAAGTCCAGATAGATAACGATGACAGCGGAAGTTTACGGACTTCGATTTCTTCGTTACGCACTCTGGAGTATTATTCGTTCTCAATCGCATTTCTTGGGCTCTATGTTATTTTCAAGGGGCCATGAGCAAATGCGACGAATCTGGGTTGGCTTCATATGTACATACTCGTTTTGGCCTGTTATGTACTGATATTAAGCATATTTTAAGACATAAGCATTTTTGAATATGTTACTCGGTTATAGCATTCTCTACTACCGGGTACAAAATGTAAGTTAAGTCCTATAAGAAGGTATTAGCATCTAAGATTAGGCTCACAATATAGACAGCCGGCCGTCACGGTTAAAACCACTAGAAGCGTCCTAGTATAGTCACCTTGTCGAAATTAAGACAAAATCTCCTAATAGTTGCGTTTCTAAGAATCACAACTTAGTCGAAGAGTAAGTAGAGCGGAGAAACCTTTAGAACCGCCAATTTCAATGATCAACCCTCCTAGGACATATTCCAAGTGTAGAAACTTGGCTACTTTACTTACAATGGTAGTCACCATAGTCAGCATTAAGTCTGAATATCAAATAAGATAATATATAGAATTGCACAAAAGCCTATATCCGTCGATCTGAAAATTGGTCTCTCGTTTACACAAACTTTATTTGACACAGAGTTTTTAAAGATTGTTCTACAGTTTATATAAGGCTCTATTATACCCCCTGAGACGCTAAAAAATAAAACTGAACAGTACCACTCTCAAGTTCATTGTTAGGGAGTGGTGCACTCTATATGTACACAATCGGATATATATGGCTGTAGTAGCATGCATGTCGCTTTGGCAGTTGATTTAACCACTAGACCAAAATACGAATCCGTACCCAGCCTAGTGGGCTGTGGTTTAGAATCCAACATTGGCGAGAGGTTAGGGTGGATGAAATCTACCTACCCATCTGCCTAATTTACCCTCCTACTAGAAGATGAGAGAGATATTAAAATAGGCACCGAAAAAAAGACACAGATAATGTCATGTAAAAAGGTGCTCCATAAAGAGAGGTCACTCAAGAGGTGGTCGTAACCTGTCTGTATAGCTCCCTACCTCTGGAACTTCTATGGTTCCTACGCCTACAAGCGGTTCTCCTTGTTTTTATAAACCAGTAAAGCAGAAAGCCGTGTAAAAAGGTAGTGAAAAGCCGTGTCGGTAGTGATTCCAAATGGGATTGAGCGAACATCTAGTGGAGATGTAAAAGGAATTATCAATCTCGAGAAGATATAAGCACGTTCATTATTTATTTATGCCTATTAATAATGACGAATTATCAACAGAGACAATCGAATCAGCAAGCTTTTGTTAGGACAGTGTATCGTGTCCAAGAGGGAGTTGCCCCGTGACTGAATGATTTCGTTTGGTTATCTGTGACCGGACTGTGGATGCGAGGCCCCACGTAAGCGACGACCGGTCAAAAACCTATGTTGGTCTGAATTAGGACGTTTTCCCATAAAGTTTCGGCGGAACCATGGTTGATTTTCCCCGCACATACTCCCCGCGCGACCCAAATAGATCCCGCTGTTTGATATCGGGTGTAGATCGGTGGGGCTTTCCCCAGACAATTGAATTGCGGGGACAGGTCCTCAATACAATGAGCAGTGAGATTGCCTGAGAATGTTGCATAGACCTTACTACATAATCATGGCGACATGGGCTGTGTGACATAAAACGACAATACACTTGAACAAAATGGCAAGTCTTCATATGCGAGTATCAGACATAATCGACCACTATTTGTCTTCATACAGTCGTACCCAGAAGATGGCTGTTCTTGTCATTTCCCTCTTAGTACTTTTCGCTTTCGTCCAGACCATCATTACATCTCTAAAACTTGGGCTGAGGTCGATACCTGGTCCCTTCATTGCACGATTCTCGCCTCTCTATCGCGCATGGAAAATCGCTAAAGGGAACGCTCCGGAATTCTATCTGCAACTTCACAGCCAATATGGTCACATTGTTCGCACCGGACCAAATACTGTGGACATCTCTGACCCAAAGGCTATACCTACCATATACGGGATCAGCAGCAAATTTCTGAAGGTATTGTCTGATAATTGATAGCATTCTAGTCAACAGACCCTAAGTCTTTTACCAGTCACCATTTTATGAAACACTTAACCCCTCTTACGAGAATGAGACAATGCCAAGTATGTTCTCCGTCCGCGACCCAGTCCAGCACCAAGCCCTACGCCGACCAGTGGCGCAAAAGTTCTCCATGTCGTCAATTAAAGCCCTCGAGCCATTGGTAGACGAGTGCACCAAGATCTTCATTGATTCAATGAGGGATTTCGAAGGGCAATGTGTGGACCTTGGTGTATGGTTGCAGTGGTATGCCTTCGATGTTATTGGGGCAATCACATTCCAGCATCATTTTGGGTTCCTAGAGAAACGGAAGGATATTGAGGGAATGATTGGCGCTCTTGATAACGGACTTATGTATGCTGGCATTGTTGGTCAGGTTCCAACACTACATCGCTGGCTCATGGGGAATCGCTGGGTTGCGAGGATTTTGACTGCGCAACCTTTTGTTGAGGTCCTTGATCCTCTACGCACAATTGTGCAGGTAAGCCCTGTTATCCCCAGTACATTTTATTCCAAGCGGATATTTTGACATTGTTCCAGTTTACCCAAAGATGTATCGATGACTATGATCGCAAACCTTCAGAGCACGATGATCGTCCAGACTTCCTTGCTTGGCTCCGTAGCGAGGAAGCAAAAGGAAAGCCTATGCCCAATCGGGACATGATAAACCACTTAAGCAACAACCTGTGGGGCCCCTACCTTATTACCGATAATTCTAAGTACTGGCTGACACAGTATATATCATATCAGACTTGCAGGGAGTGACACAACGGCGATCTCGCTACGAGCGATTATTTATTTCCTTGTTCAGAATGGGTCAGTTTACCACAAACTCCAAAGAGAGATCGACGAAGCAGACCGGACAGGAAAACTGTCCGAGTACATTACCTACGCCGAGTGTCTCGAACTTCCTTATCTGTAAGTTGGCATGCTTTAACCGCTCTTTCACTCGGCAGTGTTCCTAACGATTTTCAGACAAGCTGTAATGAAAGAAGCCATGCGATGCCATCCAGGAGTCTCATTTCCTCTGGAGAGAGTAGTACCAGAAGGTGGAATAACTCTATGCGGTGTTCACCTCGGCGCAGGCACAGTCGTTGGAATTAATCCGGCAGTGATACACCACGATAAAACAATTTTCGGAGAGGACGCTAGTGTGTTCAGGCCAGAGCGGTGGACAGAATCCGACAATGAGCGCATCAAGCTTATGGATCGGCATTTGATGACAGTAAGTCTGTCTTTAGTTCCTCTCGCATGTTCCCCCGAACTAATGGTACTTATAGTTCGGATATGGATCCCGGACGTGTATTGGAAAGAACATCTCTATCATGGAGATGGGAAAATTTGTTCCAAAGATTATCCGGCATTTTGAGCTTGAATGGGCTTCCGATATGGCTGAGTGGCATGTGGAGACATTCTGGTTTGCAAAGCAGCACGGTCTGAAATGTCGCCTTCGGTCACGGGCAAAGTAAAATGACGAGTGTGTGAGCCGATGTCAAGTCATTGTGCGATGGAGAAGAGATAGCCCACCAAAGGCATACTAGGAAGTCAGAAAATGCATTTTATCGATACTTTATACACTACTCGTCCAATAATAATCTGTGTACTCGTCTCCGATATTCTATTTGTCACCTTTGCATGGGGAGGTCTCCTGAGCTAGTAACCTTTCTTACATTAGCCTTTTCGCGAAGAACTCCAGTTGAGGAAATTGCAGCAATGGCGACAGGATAATCGAGTCGTACCTTGTAAATAATCAGTGCCATTTGCCAAAGATGTCTGTCTGCTACGAATACATTCATTGGACTCCCCGTCAAATATCGATTACAGTACACAATTACACGGAATCGTTACATGAGATGCCAAATTCTGACCCAGTTGCCTTAGGATGTGAAGGTATATGCGTCCAGTCAGCCACATATTGACCCCTTGTTATTTCCTCATCATCAGGGTTCAGGGCTGATATCAGTTGGTAAAGTGAGTTACGAGGTGTGAACTTATATCGGTCCACCCCCCTCTCCAACAAAAAGGCAAGTCTTATCATTTAACTCAGACTGTCCATTCGCTGTACGCCTTTCATTGTCTATTCCCAGATATCATTATTGGCCATGTCCTCGTCCATACTCCCTTGATAATTCGAAGTTTTGGGAAAGATACAAGTCGGGTAATTGACTGCCTGTTCATTCGGTTGGTTAGGCTGAGCGATGTAGCTGATCATACCTGCATCCCTGCTCATGGCGGAAATCTGAACGTCGTTTTTAGGGCGGGAGGTGATCTCCAGATATTGTATACCGGGATTCCGCCCTGCCAAAAGTGCGCTTGAAAGTAACCTGGTCGTAACACGCAGGCTTTAGCATAGCAGTTTCTTTGTGCTAAGACTCAGTGCTGGTAGATTCCAGTGGTTGGCTCATACGGCCATAAAGAGCTCGTTGGATGATATCTCGGGCAGCTGATCGAGATAATGTCGCAGAATAGACTCGCGATGATGGAGTCTGGGGAGCTCGGCATCATGGATATGTAATCTGAAGACGACTTTATCGGAGTTGGTTGGGATGCTAATTCAGGTAATGGTTTCATTTATGTGACGTACCACATAATTACCTCAGTTTTGACCAACGCTATCCAGGCATCACCTAAAGCTTTCTCGTCCAGGTCGACGAGGTTGAAACTGCAGCTTTCAGATGAACGAGTTTTGCTTTGCGTGTCCATTTAAATGCTATGAGTTATTGTTGATAACTACATCCGCGAGATACACAAAGATCTAAATTTTACCGCAATTGTGCTCCCATGTCAGACTTCAATTCTAAGCAAACCTTTTGGACTCTGGATGCCGCATATAAAATCAGCTCATTGGACAGAAATCCGCCCTCGTTGATGTGGCCCAGGAGATAAAATGAAAACTGATCAAGTGAAGATATAACCCCGCCATAAGTCCAAATGTTTTGCCCTATAAGCGATTCCTGCAATGCTATCGTGAATTACAATCCCGGCTTTGGCAACGAAGTTTCCCACCACAACTGTCAGTAAGCAGGCTCGTAGCCCTGCCCCTATCCGGAATGCCATACCGATGCAAGAATGACTTTGTTTTAACAGCCCAAAAGTTCGTCTCCCATGTGTCAATGGTCGAGTCGACCCAACGAATAGTCTGCCGGCAGAGCACATTGAAAGGATAAGTATTAGTTTTTATGTGCCAGGCCGAAATGTAGGCATGTGAACAATCGGGAACCAGGGATGAAAATTGGAAGAATACGCTCCAAAACAGACATTTTTAGCAGATCAGCAGCTTGGAGCAAATTGGAATGCAGAAATATGAATACACACAATGAATGGCGCTGATAGAAGAGTTCCGTTTGCACTCGTTGCTGAAGACGCTCTGTGAGTCAATTCCGGTAAGTCTCTTCTTCTATGAGCACGCCGGGCGTCCTTTGACCAGAGGATACTGCCGGCTCGGCAAATGTATGCCATTTTTAAGATAGCACTTTGTTTCATAAGTTCATCGTTCAATAGTAAAAATGATCTGTTATCGCAGCCCCCTACCTCACAACATTCGCCTCTAGGCGCGCCTCGAGTATAGGCGGAAATTACGATGTAGCGTGATATAGCGAAAAATTCCCTTCTTCCCAACCAAAGCCATCCTCTGTTAACAAGGCCTCCCATTGTGGGCCAAGACAACGATCCCACATAGCAGGCTGTAAGCTACCACTCCGCCAAGGGCCCTCTGTTTCCAAAGGGAATAACGAAGTGAAAGGTGTCAATTGATTGTGAGATATATTGCTTTCACGCGTGGAAGTATTAGAGCTTCGAACACCAGGCGAAGTACTGTTTGTTGAATAGCCCAGAGCCATCGTATCAGCAGTTGTCCAACCGAATCCATATGCTGTTGTGCGGTTTTATCTCCTACGGTGATGAGATACTGCGCGATTGAATGTTAAGTCTCCACATTGCTCCCATAGTATTAATTACTTAGCACAGATTGCTGCTCTTACACTTCAAAATCTTCTACTGAATAGATCGCGAATGCTGCAAAGGAGTATCCCTTCGAGACATTGGTGCGGTGGCTTTGGCATAGCTGGTCTTTGAAAATAGTTACTGTCGAGCAAATTCTTTGTTACACAAAGGGCGCTTGAATGGCTTCTACTTTGTGTGATATCCGAGATGCCGGGCCAAATGCTCAGCTTTCTTAACTGTCTGAACACAGTTGGAGATCTTGCGCCTGCGCCGGGCCTTAAGGCCTCGAGATGGTGATTTCGACCGTGGCCTTTCAGAGTTTGCCAACATTTTATCGAGAAGCTCAATGTGTCACTCCATGAAACTGTATTGGTGGCATGAAAGGACGCTTCAAAAAGTGCGCTTATGCCGACGCCATCGCGCATGTTACATAATCATACTTACCCAGCTCCGTTGTATTAAATCTTGTAGTTTTACCTACCTTGTCTTTAGTCGATGCGTAATACTTGCGGAAAATGTGTTCTCATCACTTGAGGCAGCCGTATCATTCGCCAAAGATTGTGGAGGCTAACTCGAGAAATGCACGCAAATAGGCCTCGCCAAACTCGCTGGTTGGGTTTCAACGTTGGACCCAAACCCCGAAATAACAGTAATATATACCATATTACAAAGTTATACATGTATTATTGTTTGTATTACAACCGCAATCCTATAAGACAAACACAAACTCAAAAGGTTCCTTTCCTGGTCGTGGGTAGACCCATAGGTACCCAAAAAAGCAATATGGTGAGGTCTACATACATCTGACCGGTCCACAAAGATAACCACAGCTTATTGCCCGCACCACAGATTTAAACGAAGCGCAATATAGCTATGCTTTGTCATAGTGAACAGATCTCCTGGAGCTTGCTAATTAGAACAAAAAGGATCAGAACACAAGCAATTTGTCAAGATCATTCATAAAAATAACAGTTTCCGAATCCCAGATGCCTGGGCAATAAGTCCGAGCCAATACAGAGGAATCACCAGTCCCACTACTGTGCAGACATGCCACTTCCCCTGAGTCCGTTCCATTTCGCGAGCGCGAGGGAGAACGAGACGCCGGCATATAGATGATACCTTTCATAGGCGAAATGTTTGCGTATTGTAGATCCAGTTGGACCTCCTGGTAAAGCGAATTATCGGTAGAATGCTCTCCTAGAGATGTTTTACAAAGGTCTGGGTAACTCTCTAATTGAGCTGATGATGGAGACCCAATGTGGTCCAAATCGCTATCGTCGTTTCCTGAGGGAGGCAATAGTCGACAAATTTCGGAATAGAATGAATAAAGTGCACTCCATCGTGGAACTTCATGGTCGATACCTTGTGGTAGAGGTAGGTCCAACAGCTGATACGATTGGTTGCGGCTGCGATCATCTTTGGCAGATTGAGGGGCAGATCTATTAGGCGAAGTCTGGTAAGCTTTTCATCTTTGACTACCAACCACTTTCGTTAAAATATATCAATGTATTTTATACATACCTCTTGACAGGAGCCCTAGGCAGGCAGATTTCATCACCCTTGCGACAGTTTGCGCACTGGGTATGCGGCCAGGCTATGTCACATCGCTTCTTGCGAGCATGGCAGGCACTGCACGCTGTTTTCCCTGGTCTTCGGCCGTTTCTTTCGATTGATTTAGATTGTAACGGCGCCGCGTATTCCATTTTTGAATTTTGTGAAGCCAGGCGGGCGACCTTCAGCATATAAAACCGGAAACTTGGTTGAGAGGGAATAAGCCCCACATTCATTACCCATAGTTATACGTTTTGTCACGAACCAAAATAGCCGTTTAAGCTCTTTCGGATTTTGAGAAATATCAATTTCTCCGCGAATGTGCAACAACGGCTGGAATTTGGGTGCGCTTATTTTCCGGCTGGCGAATGTTGGTGTGAGGGGGAATTGGATCTTGCGGGGCAATTCACGGGTGCGCGTGGGCGCGGGCCATTAGGACGTTGTACGGACCTTCCGGTGTTGCCCCTGTTAGCTCACTCTTGGGTATAACGAGTATCCATGAGGCGGTATAGTTGCCTAGGGGCTTACCGAGCACTGGCAGGTATCAGATAGGTGGGCTGCCAAAGGATGAAGAGTATGGATGACGCTATGAAGACTCAAAGGCTGCGTGCTGAGTTGGGGGAGGAATGCTGGTAATCATCAATATATGACCCGGGAATGCAGAGTTTGGAGCTGCTCGCTGCATTTGTCTTCTCATAACTAGTCCGGTTTGTTATATGTTCTTCGCGGCTTTTGTCTCTAACTCGTACAATTGAGCCGGTCCAGCGAATGTTTACCGGTGCCTGCGCGCACCCGCGGTTTCTTGCCGGCCCTCAGTTAGATGAGCACGATTAGGTGTAACAATTCAAACAGTTTTGCCTTCAGTAAGGCATCCTTAAATTGAATCTAGTGCAAAAAAAAAAATGATTAGAATAGTTTAATTAGACTTCACCATAAACCGCAATTAGGGCCAAACCTTCGCCCCAACCCCCAACCCCCAAACCGCAACCGCACCTGCGGTTTTTCATGGGCCCGGTTGGGGCTCCAAAAAAACCACCGAAAACCAATTTTTGCATAAAATAAAGGTCTTGGCGTACGTAAATATACTTAATCATCACAATAAATTACTGTTAGTTATTCATCCTTGTATTGGTCGCACTCATTAATATCACTTCAAATTGGCTACAAAATATACAAAAGTAGGAGTAATTTATCTATATATATAAATCTGTAGCAGTTTTATTATATTTCATATTCTTTCATGAATTTCGACAAAAGATAGTTAGTGAATGTTGAATTTGTAGATTCCTCCACGTTTTGCTTTTTTCCTCTATTAAACGTAAGGTTTTCTATATACAAATCTATAAGCTTACGTGCTATAATACTCTAAGTATTGTCATTTGATAGTGAATTTTCTTATTCGAAATCATATTTTTCCTTAAATAAGAAGGGTGATCTAATTAGGGCTCTAGTGTTACGCACTGCAAACTGGTCACAATTAGGTTAGAAGGGTTCCAGGTTATACTTGGCTTGTACTTCTCAGGTTTCCACCGTCAACGATCTGTTCTCTTAACCGTACTGTTGCTTAACAGGTCTTACTGCGGTCTAGGTCCTTTTCAGGAATTGAGGAACGGTGCCAGGTACAGCGCCGAATGGATCTATGCCGAGGTAATGCTCTATCCCTGGCTCGGAAATTTGATAGAGAATCAGGTCTTCATTTTCACGCCTCGCGAGCTTTGAGCATCCCTGTTAAATTGGGCACTCAGGCCTGCTGGTTAAGAGATCTCGCAAACTCACTGCCTCTATCTCTTGTAGCCGTGGTAGAGGCTATCTGAAGCTTCTGAAACCAAGTGTAGGGTTCTGACCTTGTTGGAACTTTTGAGCTACGCTTGGCTCAAGGAGGTATGGCATCTACACGTTGCAGCCTTAAAACCAGGAGTAACTCTCGTGCACACGCTACAGCAGTAAGCACAGCATATTTGTGCCAGTCGTAATTCTTATGCGAGTCATAATAATCGCAAATTCTGCGAATAATCAGACATGGGACATGGGACATTGTTCATGAGACCCGCGGCTTCCATCTCAAATCACAGAACGTTCAACTTAGGGTCATTTGAATATTCATCCTGAATAATGACATCCTTGGGTACATAATTTCCTGATGCAATATTGCCGTAGTGAAAGTGTAGCATACGATGGTTCCGGCGTGCGGGGCGATCCACCACTGAGTGAGTATCACATTGGTCGCAATTTTGTCCGTTTGTATGAGGATAGTTTGCGGCGTAGAATCGATCACCCGCTGGTTGTTGGTATTCTTCCATGCCATCGAGAAGCTTAAGATGCTCGGCGAGTCTGTCTGGCTTCTTTTGATCAATGTATAGCCTGCGCATCTCAGGGATAGCCCCAAGAAGTTTCCCAGGTGACGCGTTTAGTTGGCCTGTCTTATAAAACAGACCGTCCTTCAGCTTACCCAGATCTTATTGTATCACACCGCTAAATTGGGTTTTTTGGCTGTCTACCACTACGCTATCTTGACCATGATCGCCCTACATGAATCCAACGTCATGTTTGGTAGGTCCTCTCTTTGCCGTGGCCCATGAGTCTCCCAGTACCGGATGCAAGATAAATAAGGATGTGAAATCATGGCTCTTCATTCGTGATGCTATATTATTATACTCTAAATGCTTATTTTCCGAAAACCTTGAAGCGATCCTGAATAGGAGCGAAAGCCTTCTCGCCGGGCTCAGAAGTAGGAGTACCGAAGACCAGCTGGGCATCTAACTTCCATGAGGCAGGGATGTTCCAGGTCTTAGCGACCTGCTCATCGATCAGAGGGCTGTAGTGCTGCAGGTTGGCGCCGAGACCCTCGGACTGAAGAGCAACCCAGACTGGTGATAGTAAGTCTCCTGTCTATTTTTTGCGATCAAATCATGAGTAGGAGAAGCACATACTGAGGTACTGGGACATAGCGTTTGACTCAATGGCGAAAGGATCGAACTTGTCGGCGTAGATGGCGAACTTCTCCTTGATAGGAGCGAGCGACTCGAAGTCGACGAAGAAAAGGACCTAAAATAAACAATTAGCTATTTGATCAAAACTCGATGTGACAGATAGTCGCATTAAGGCTAACGCACAGTTCCGTAGGCGGCGCGGAAAGATTCCAGCTTGGGCTTGGTGGAGCCCTCAAATTGCTCTTTGGGGACCACGCCAGCGGTGACGAGACCCTCAAGAGCATTGAGAGCAACGTCCCACACCTTCTGGTGCTCCTCCTTGAGCAGGAGGACGATGCGGGAGGTCTGGGTGTTGAAAGAGCTAGGCACGTGGAGAACAGAGTCACGGACAATGCTCTCAATGGCCTCGTCGGTGATGGCGCTCTCAGCCTTGAGGTCGTAGTAGGTGCGACGGGACTTGACCAACTCCAGGAAAGTGAGAGTAGCAGCGTTCTTGAACTCGGGTTGAATGGTCATTGTGAAGGTGTTGAGTGACGGAAGATAGCTGGTTAGATGGGTAAAGTGATACAAAGTGACTTGGAGGAGAAGGAAGAGAATGTGAACAGGGACGGCGGTGTTTATATACATAGTGGATTGGGAATTCATAAATCGGGAGATCTGGCAATTTCTTTTTCTTTTTATCCACAGCCTTTGTACGGTCTGAGGGCATTCGTTCCCCTGGCAGTTGTCCCGCCATATCGGAGTTAAAAACTGCGACTTGTAGCCAATCAGTATACAGATTCGAGTCGGATGTACGGAGCTAGGAGCTAACTGTCGCCGAGACTTCGTAAGCGGCACATAGAGCCCACATTGAAGCTGAGTGGCTGAGTTTCAATTATTAAGCCTCTAACTTACATTAACTAGTTAGTTAACTAGTTAGTTAACTAGTTAGTTATTATCAATGTGTTACAAAGCAGAGTAAGCATTTTTAGTGGGCAATCCTGGCGGTGCGGAATCATTCCGTCAAAATCTCTCATATCGTTCAGATAATGCTAACTATCGATAGCCATACTAAATAGTTAGAGCCCAGTATCATTTCACGTCCAATCCTGATTTCGTCCGATTTCCAAAAGAGAAATCCTTTTGGGTACCTCAGTACAAACCATCAAACTGGTAACACGTGCAGGAGAACCCGCTCAAAACGCCAGAGATCAGTTCAAGAACTCACCTCCAGCAAGTAGTCCACCCGTCAATGCGACAGATACTGTCGTCTTGGCTGCATAGTTCTTCACTACCGGGGCATCCGAAGGCAACAGGATCGGAAAACTCGCACTTCGGCAATCGCATGCACAGTGACGGGAAACGCCACTGGCAAGCACAGTCATGGTCAAAGTCACAGTGCCTTTCACAGCAGGCAAAATACAATTCGGGGGGGGGGGGCACCTGAGCGCCCGTTGAAGTAAACGTCGCATTCAGTTCATCGGAGGCTCCGGAGGTAGCAAGAACCAGAATACCAGTCACAGTAAACCTCTCATTATCGGTTGGAGGCACAGGAACTGGGGTACTGGTCACAAAAACCTTTCCATCCCCAGTTGCAGAAGCGAGGCCAACGAGGCTTGGACTTCAGTCGCACTTGGAGCCGCAGGGAAGTTCCCAGTATCAGTCACAAGCAAGGGTGCTGGGTGCTCGGCGAGAACGCGGGACTGAGAAGACAGACCTACGCCGTGGTGGTCCACGGCGTGACTTGTCGATTCTCTCCCTCCGCCACGGTCGAGAGGAGGCAGCTGAAAGTCGAGAGCGTCAGACGAATTTCTACTGCTGCTGAAATCGTGTACATGGACTGGCTGATGACCAAAAGGAAAATGGACGAAACGAGGCCAGCGTCCGCGAAGCTCCTGATCGAGTTTGCCGACCCATACGCTGCCAACCAGGCCATTGTATGTGGCCTGGCAATATACGAAAGGAACCACGACTGCCAGCTTTTAAACGGCAGTCACCGCCTCAAGCAATGCTATCGCTGCCAGGTGTACGAATACATAGCCCAGAATTACAAGCGAGACATTCAATGTGCCTACTGCGCAGGGGATCATAATTCCAAGGAGTGCCCACATGCACATGACCGCCGCAAGGCCAAGTGCGCTGAATGTGCCAAGCCACGACCTCAACTACTTTGCTTTGGATCGGGGATGCCCCATCTGAGGTGAAGAGCTGGCGAAGATCGAGCTTAACAGGCGCGAAGGCCGCGAAAAAGAAACCATCAAGCCGCTCCCGCTCCCGGACGAAAAAGAGGCGAGTTGTCGAATCCGCCGAGGACCAGGAAGGGATAAGCGCGCGACTGACCCCTTCGACGTGTATTGCAGCATGATCAACTTGGAGATGGATTATATTTTTCAATGCCTATCTTTCATCAAAAGGCATCCCAGCTTCGTTCCTTCGCCGAATCATACTAAACGACTGTCCCTGCCCAATGACTGGACCTTGTTGGCGAGATTGAAAATGAAAAATAGTGCTGCAGCACACTATCGCCGCTTACTATTGAATGTGTTCAATTGGAGACAGTTATCAATAGTAATAAAGATTGAATACATAATCGAGAGCAGAAATTGGGATGATGTCCCAAGGTTATTGTTGTTGGTGACCTTGAGGGCTCCAAGCCGGGGTGTACACCATTTACGTGGGCAAGACCGTGCTCGACATTCAACTGACGGGCACATTAAATCTTCGAAATGATGTTCAGCTTTTCGGTGCTAAATTACCATCATAGTCATTTACTATGAGTGTTCAAAAAGCGCAGTGAGTTGTTTCGTTGTTTCCGGATCCGAAAAAAGGCGCAACTTACGGGATGCTCTTAAGGCAGGTTGTATAGTGTCTTGAAGATGTTTTGTGCACGCCGGCATAGATGGAAAGAAGATGGTAGTAAATGTGCTTCTTCATCAAGTACGGTGTTGGCAACTGTTTGAAAGGCAGATAGGATGCGAATTATAGCTGTCCGCTGCATGTTACTCAGGTTCCGTAGATGGGTATTGTCTCGGAGTGGATCATCTCAAAGGCTCGAATAGTAGTTGGCAACCTCTGCGGCGCACGCTTTGTGAAGATGTTGCATTTTCTCTAGACGCAGGTGTCGTAAACCCCAAGTACAATGTTGGGCCTGGGTGGCTCGTTTCATGACCTGTTGTATATGTCCTTTTCACCGTAGCTCATGGCCGAGGACCACTCCGAAAAGCTTGACAGTCATCAATGGCTTGGGTTCATGTCGAGCTGGACCTGACTTTGCTTTTTTCCTTCCTAGGTAACGTGAGCGAGTTCGGTTGTTGCTCTCGGCAAAAAGGCTCTTGCGCCAATTTTATAAGCGGAATTATTACATATTCCGCCTTGATTCTTCAGCTATAACTAACATTTCTGTACAAGGGGACGGGCTGCACATCAGACTGACGCCATGTAGATAACTAAGTTATATTATTATTTGAAGGAGGCAGAGTGTATGGGCCTTCTCGATTAATAGTCCAGGTGTTATCTGAACCCGAGGCTACCGAATAGGCTCAGTAACCCACGACCGAGGATTATCGCTCTGCTAAAAGCGTGGTGGGCCCTCATTCTTTCAATCCCCTCAAATTAGGACCCACGGGTCCAGGCGATGGTGAACTCGTCATACTGTTTATAACTGGTTTTATTAGAACATTCTGGAAGCTTATTCGGGGATTTTACCAACCTTGTAGTGTTAATTTGCAGATTTTAATTGAGATGATGAAGGCAGTTCAAAACACATAACTTACGATCAATAAGACAGAAAGGAACAGATGGTGACATTCACACATGGGTCGGTTACTTCGCTTGGGATAGCATTTTCGTAAGGGTGGTTGCAGTTGCTATCTGCGCTTAAGGTAATTTTGTTGCCACTGTCGGTAGAGATATTGACTGATTTCGTGCCGGTATTCAGAGTTTGGCTCCCGGCTTTGAAGCTATAGCAATTGTTTCGGGTCCTGTAAAGAGAATTGCCTTCAGCTGCATGATTCACTGTCACTATTGATGAAATATAGGAGCACCAACAGGCTCAACACGGGGGATTGTTGACTAAAGGTCACAAGTCTTTCATCATTCCATCTTTTAAAACTTTCATTCAATTTGACGTCATGAGTATGGCGACTAGATTGCGGGAGTGCGATGATCATCGCAATTTGAGTTGAAAAAGCCTTAAGATACTTCATGCCCCGGATGATGAAGTAAAAAGAAATGCCTGCAAGTTCATAGTTGTAAAGTCGAGATTCTGGCCTATGTCGGATTGAGTAAAATGAATCAAACCCTCACAACAGCCACCGACCACCTTATTTTTCGGCACTTCCAGCCGCGTAATATCATTCCGGGTCATTGACGGATTCGCAATCGCACCAACATATGGATCAGGTGATAAGCCTTGGTAGTCAAAGAAGGGGTATTGACTATATCCGTCAGCGTGCGCTTGTTGTACACCCAACCGCTCCGATTGAGTTCCGTATCCACCATCCGATTTGGAATAAAGAGGCAGTTCGTATGACAGTTGGATCTTTTTAAGTACGACCTGGATTGCCGAGATAATGCTTGTTATTGGATCGCATGCTCGCATGCCAGAAAGAGTCTGTAGAGAGGCGTAAACCCATGGCAGTTGGAGAGGTGCAGCTTTAGTATCGTGATGAATGTGGATGACGTCCTTCAGTGTGCCGATCAGTTTCCACACCTCCTTGGTGGTGATTCGACCGGCTGGATCCGAAGGACTGAAGGGCTTCCGGTTCTCGACGGTGGTTCTGGTTGCGAGGTCTTCCCCAGTGAAGCCGTCGGTGCTTTCTTGAGTGTTTGTGGGAGGGCTCTCGGGCCCTCCCGCATGTGGGTCCGCCATCGGTCAGGGGGTCAGTTCCCGCTCGGTACACAACGTCGCAGTTTTATATTAGAATAATCTTAATCACAACGTCGCTCGTCTGTCCTTTCGCCTCCTACTCTATACAGTCGATACCCTTACGTCTAGGGGTACAGAGCCGCTCCAAAAACTGTACAGGATCTTGTGGTACAGCTGTATCGAGCTGTACAGTAGTAGTAGTAGTAGTAGAATTCATTTACACTGACCCCTCGCAAAGCGATATGCAGTATACGACAACTATATATCCGAGTATGTACTTTTAGAATGATCCACTTTCTGACAGGAACTTAGAGCCTCGCCACGGCCTACCCTGGCCCATTGCCGTTCCCATTGTTAGGCTGCCTTCATGGCGCGGCTGTTGTGAAATTTCAAGTGAGACGGATAGCGACTGTCCGGATTTGGCTGCATTTCTGATAGGAACCCCGAGAATGCGGGCAATGCTGAGTGTAAGAATCTGGCTAAAGAATGTGCTGCAGAAGCTGGTTTGTTGCGGGCTCGATTAGCCGGATGTTTCCTGGTTTTCTTGTCGTCCTTGAACGGTGGTGGTTTATTGTGAAAACGACGATGAAGATCTTCGATTGTGAGTGTGAATTTGAGGGGAGGTGCAGGTTGGTGAGTTTTAGGTGTCGGTTGCGCTAAAGATGTGGGTGCACGTTGGATGACCGAGGCATAGGTCGGTTTTTGGAGTTGAGGTGGAGAAGTAGCAGTCTGTGCCAATTGGAGAGGGTGAGGAGAGCCGGCTTGCTGCGACGGTTGCCGGTGCGGCTGCGGTTGAGGTTGCGGTTGAGGTAACGGGGTTGGTGGGGGTCTGGTAAGAGTGGTAGGACCGGCTGCTGGAGATTCCTCGTACTGTATGCTGAGGTTTGAAATGGTTGCCTTCGGGGGTAAACTGTTGGAGGGAAGGCGGTGGTGCGTAGGTGGTGATTTGGTCGAAGTAGTTGTTGACTGGGACACTGAGTCGGGGTTTTCGAAATGTGATTTTAGATCGCGATAGATGATCTGCCACATGCAATTCTCTGTGTGAAGTCGCGGTATTTCTTCGATGGGGGCTCGCAAGAATGTGGTTAAAGGGGTTGTCGTTCCACAGGCAAAGCAGCATGCAGCTCGGTTGTTCGGCCCTAGTGGCTTGTAATACAGGCCATTCTGTGCTAGTTGGAGAGGGGTGACGCCGCTTAGGAGCTGTCCATGAAATGAGACAGCCCTGGCGGCGATGGTGCCGTGGGTGGTCGAGATACGGTCATAAGGCTGATCGGCGTGATGCGGGGCGGTTTGTGCGGGTAGAGTAGTGGGGTAGGCGGGTTTGAGGAGAGAAGATGGGGGACGAAGGACAGGGAAAGGTCTCCTGCCCTTTTTACCCTTTTCCATGGCGGAGTCGTCCGAGACCGAAAGATCCTCCATCTATTCATACAGTCTGAAATCTCGATAGTGTCCCTTAAGATGTTACAGGATGGATGGATGGATGATTTCATTTACCCCGACCTCTCGCCAAAGCGATATGCAGGCTACAGCAACTATATATATCCGTGTATGTACATGTGTGATGTGCCACTTCCTGAAAACGAATTTGGAGCCTCGTCAAAGCCTATCATGGCCTAGTTGCCGTTCACGTTGTTAGGCTGCCCTTATGGCGCGCGACTTTGAAACCGCTGTGACGCCTCAGCGAAGTCCAACACGGCGTTCACCGTTTTGGCTCGCGAGACGGTGTCTGGTTTACCTCTCTCACCTTCTTTGGAGCCTCCCAGCAGACTCGATACGTTGCTAAACGCGTCCCCAACCTTCATTCTTAATTCTCTTCTCAACTCCTGTAGTTTTGGACAGGCCACCAGGACGTGAGTGACTGTTTCTTGCGCGCCGCACGCGCAGTGATCGTCGTCACGGAAGCCAATAGCATTCCTAAAGGTGGATAACCAATTATGGCCTGTGCGCAGCTGTGTCAGCAAGTACGCCCGGCCCCTGGGCAGGTTCCCATAAAGCTTCCTAGTGTAGGCCGCCGGCAGAGTGTTATCGATCTTCCGTAGGTGACCGCCTTTGGTGGATGATTGCCATTCCCGCCTCCACTGAGCACGGATGTTGTCGCGAATAAGCGCCTTCGTCCTTGTCAGCAGAGGGCGGAAGGGATGTGATTTGCCCGGGCTTGCCGCGTCCTTAGCCAGCCGATCTGCTGCGTCGTTTCCTGGATTGTCGCAGTGTCCAGGTATCCATTGGAGACGAAGTGCGATTCCCTTTCCTTGGACCTATGTGGCCGCCTGGAGGATCGCGTGGATGATACGTTGTCCTGATTTGTTACCTGGGCTCTGGATTGCTTGCAGGGCTGAT